AGATTAATTGAAAGTATCTGATTTATGTAACATTTTCTGCGAAATAACTGGTAAGTATAAGTCTTTGATAATTATGTGCAAAACTGTCAGAATATTATTAGACGTGTGGGGAAGTTTTTCGTTAGGGATTTCAAGGCACTGTCGACTCTAAGCTTTTGTCAATAAACTACTAATTTGGCAACATTTTTATCCTTTTAAGATTTTAGAAATCGTTTTTATGCTTACTGTGAGTTCGTAAGGCGTTAACTTGTAGCAACATTCGTCCCAAAGGGTAGTTTTCTTTCGGATATCTTCCAGAGGGATGTGGTTTAGATGATCGAAGCCTTTTTTTAAACTTGACTTTATGATGAGGTCCTAGTCTCCATTCTGTTCGTCTGAAGAAATTAGATGGAACTGGGTCTTTTTTTTACTTTTGGTTTGCATTCGTGTTGAGAAAGTGGTTCTTTTCAAAAAGAACAGCGAAATTATTAGTGTTACTTTTGGTGAATTGATAAATTGTCTGTTAAATTAGATGGAGAGTGAGTTTAAAGTACGAGAAATCTCTGCTGATAGTTTGATAAATAGTTTATATTAGGTAGTTATTAGTTGAATATCTTGACATTGAAATGTTTTGTCGGAAACCTGCTGGGAATTCTTTATCGTGTCATACACTGATTTTGTAAAAAGTGAAAGGGAAAATAATGCTCCTTTCGAGTGTAGGTTCACCCACAGGAAATTGAAGTATTTGGAGGCACCTAACACGCAGAAATGATGAGATCTATCAGTTTAGAAGCAAAAACCTGGTGCGATCAGGTACTCCCCCACAGCTTAAAGCGGTTCTTGTTCGAACACCATTTTATGGCATTAAGGTATGAGAGACACAGAAATATTCTTTTAGGTCTTTTCCCGTTGTCTCGCTGAACTTTCAACTTTGCCTGTGTAATTGCTCTATTCAACCGTTCAAATGAAGGGATAAAATGATTATTTTCTGTTTAAATTTTTAAATCTTTAAAGATTCATTTGAAATAAGGAGGCATACGAGATCATAGAATAGAAATATCTCGTGCTAGAGGGAACGATTCTGGTTGAAACTTTCAGCTATATTTCCCACAAATATGGGCAGATCTGTCACTTCATTCTGAAATTTTGCAGGGCCTCTTGTTTTTTGTATTTTCTATTTATCATAACCATTGTTAACCTTTATTTCTAATTAATAAAGGATGAAAGGTCCATTTTTGCTTCATTCGTTTATTAGCTTTACTTGAACAGTTGAATTAATAAATGCAAGTTCATAATTCGTTATCACGCGATTAATTCATGATTAGCGTGGTGGTGTAAGTTCATCATCACGCTTTTAACTGGTTGCTTTACGCGTAAATTACGGAATATATTATGAAATGAGATCTTTTCCAAGCAAAGCTTGAAATTCATAGATTGTAGTATGGGGAAGCTGAGGGGATTAGTGAGAGATGTAGGAACCTTTAAGACTCGAGTTCGGGTTCTATCTCGTAGGTAATCCGCAGCTATTTAAACACGAGAATTTAGATTTTATGTATTTTTAATACCACCTATTCATGAAGAATATTTTTAGAGCCAGAAATCTAAAATAAACGAGATTTTAACATGGAGGTGAAGTAGGGAAAATGGTAACTTTAATAAGGACCTGAGGTTGTTCCATATGTTTTCAAGTATCATAGGGGCAGATCATAGTATCACAGCGATCATGAGTTTCGAATGTTTTCAAAATTAAAAGAAATGACTTAAGACAAAAAAGGCAGAGATGAAAGGAGAAGCAGCGCGAATGCACATCGTCAAGAGCTGGAATTAGTTTCCGAAAGGTTGTAATTGCAACACAGTGTTACGGAAAGTATGAATTAGCGTATACAACTCAAAGCGGGGTTCAGGCTTGCAAGAGATTCCTGCCTGTGCAAAACATCTTGAAAGTGAAAGAAGATAGTAAAAATTTATTGTGCTTTTGGAAAAGTGTTGGGTATGCAACAGAAAATAATTAGAAATGGATTGAAATTTACTGAAAAGTCAGGCAGTTTAATTTCTGATTACCTTTCGATTCTGAGTATTCCGATGGGAATTACTACAGTCATAATTGGAGAAACAATGAAATGATTTTCTGAGATTTCTGAAGTTAAGACCATTTGTGTTTGAATAACGCGAAAGGAGTTATAGTGTGGAAATTAGCACTTTTTTGCTAAATGTAAACATATTCCATATTCATGTATAAACTACTAGATCACTTCAGATAAAAAATGTTGGGAAGCCGTAATAGATATATATATAGCCCGATGGGTGCATATTAGTGATGATCTGTCTTCTACAGTGCCTTCGTCTCATCACTACTATATAAACAAAAACTTAGCTTCCAATCATCATCCTATCACATTTCATTTCATTTCTGTTATTTAAAGACAAAGATTTTGCTTGCTAGAGCAGTTTTATAACTATCACAACTATTTTACTGACAAATTTTAGTTGTTATGTTACTGAAAGTTTTTTTGGGGGTTAGGTGAAACGATGGCTTTTCTTACTATAAGTGCAATGCAAACTCCAATTCAATATCTTAATAGTTCGTAAGCACGGTAGAAAGTGAATTTTGCTCTCATGTATTCAATTCTGGTTCAATAATCAATGTATCGTCGTACGGGCAAGTTATATCTCGGAGGAGTAAAGTAACATATAAAATATATATAAGCATTTCTAAGAGTATCTAGATTAGACCTTGATTAACCTGGTAGAATTCTTTCACATTCTTTTCGTCACATTGTTAGTTAACTGTTATTGTATATGGATTCTTTCAATTTTGTTTTTTAATTGATTCAAAAATTAAATCATCAATTGCTACTATGGTTAGCTGTAAGGTATATTAGATGTAAATCAGTCATACCTGCAAGTTATTCGGAGATAATACGCGCAGTATGGAGCGGTCAACTTTTCCACGCTATTTGGTAGTATAAGCCAACAGCACAGAGATTCGTAGCATTATTGTTGATGTGTGGTGTCTGTTCAAGGTATAGCCAAAGAGTATGTGTGCAAGTGGTTCGGTTCATTCGACCTCAGTTGTTGATCGGTCACGCACTCTCATCCGTTTCATCTGTGCTGTAATCAACTGTCCTTTCCAATAATCAATCCATTTCACTGTCATCATTTCCGCCCCTATATGCCTTAATTTTAATAAGGAGAGTGATTTCATTTCTCTTTCTTCTAAAATTGGACCGTTTTTTCTAAATTTTAAAAATCTTAATTTTTTGATTAAAAAAGGTGTTTTATAAAAGTAAGCATAAAAGATTTACAAACAATTATGGTATGCACTGAAAATTTAATATAGCAATGTTTCTTTTGACCATCCTAATTTTATTATCTGTAATATTGCTATTGGTTTTTTATTAATTTGTCTCTTGTTTTTTTTTTTTGTTAATTTAAGTTTGTTTTTTATATTAATTTTATTATTAATTTAATTTAATCATTAATTTATCAATTTCATAGCAAAAAATTTTAAGAAAAAAAACTTTTGATAATTATGCTAGTTCAAATATGAGAAATGTTAATTGGTGGGGTCATTGCAGGATGTGCATGTACCGATGCAGGAAGTTGACAAACATTGATTTGTTTGCAATAGGGTGTTTTTTTTTTTTTTTGAAAGTAAGGATACTTTTTACATTTCATAATTTGCCTTATAATGAAAATTTCAATCCTTCATACTTTTTTCTTTATAATCAATTTTCCTTTTCTTTTTTAACCCCTTTTTGCCAACTGTATACAAATATAATTATCCAATGTCTTTGCAGAACGAATGAATACTGTGCTTATTATTCATAGAGCAATTGAAATCACGTTCATCAAATATTTTATGAATATTTAATATTCGATTTTCTTATGACTTCCTGGTAACACATATATTAAAAAAATAATAGAATGAAACTTTTATACACCAGCAAATAACGAATGATTCCTTAAAATTATGAAGTTTAAGCTATGGCTACTGATATGATGAAAGCATCAATTAATTGTAAAACGTTTTTTGTTTTGCTTTTACAATGTATTTAGTACACAAAATGGAGGAGATAGGTGATATGATGGATATGATTAACATCTAGCATGAATTTATGTGAAATAATCAAGATGATAAGAATTTCCTGAAGGTTTTTTTAATGGTAACACTTTCGATAAACCGTTTCTTTGTTTTAAGCAAAAATGCCGCCACTGTAGGGAAATTGAATCGTATTAGTGATAATACTCACAGATACAGCTGCGATTTGATTGCGCTGAAAAATTAGTGTTAGGGGAAACATTGGCGATCTTTGCCCTTTTGCAAGTAAAAACTAATTTCATTGAAATTTATTGCGAAGTTTCTTTAACAACGAAATCTTTTATTGATCTCAAAAATTTTATTTTTTGCGCTACATGAACTACTACATAAATTCAGAGAGAGAGAGAGAGAGAGAGAGATTTACGTAGAAGTGTCCCTGTCAATTTGGATTTCAAAACTTTAGACAAAATTCGTTCTTGGTGAAACCAAAGAAGATTACTGATTTTTTTCTCGAAATATATTAGACCCTTCTATTGTTATTTTTTGACCCTATTTGTATCTGATATGTCTTCTGACAGCTTGTTAAAACATATATAATTTCTGTGGAACTCCATCCAATGTTATTTTAAAAAAAAAAAGAAAAAAATTAATTTCAGAAACTTACCTATAAAACCATTATCAGTATTAATTACTATTAATGCAATAAAAATCTTACCAATTCTTCTGAAATTATTTTTTATTGTGCTTTATGTATTGGAAAAAGTTTCTGAAGCTATTCATTATTTTGAAGCTTGTGATATTAAATTTTTTCATATTCATTATTTTGTTCATTATTTTATTCATTATTTTGAAGCTTGTGATATTAAATTTTTTAGCAATTTATATTCATTATTTTGAAGCTCTATTCATTATTTTGAAGGTTGTGATATTAAATTTTTTAGCAATTTATAAATCTCAGTCAAGTTTAGAAAAATTGGCGATGTTACCCGAACTTCTGCTCATTGTAGCAGTAAGAGCGGGTTTCACTTGGGGACAGGTACTGGTACCACCGTATACCAATCTGGCACTTGGTAGGAAAATTGAAGCATCCTCAACATGTGGTGAGCTTAACGGACAACCGATAAAGGAAATTTTTTGTCAGATAGCTGGTAAATTTTGACCGTTTTTTATCTTTTATCATTTCCTTAATTATTCATGAACAGATAATGTTAAGACTGGGAAAGTAGTAGAATACGGAATATGAGTGAGATAAGGAAGTAAAGATGAAGCAAAGATATAAATCTCTGTAGAAACTTATGTTTCATAGGTTCAAGTCAATATACTCCTTTAAATCAATATTCGTACAGTACCGATGAGGATGGCGTTTCCGTTTTTGCTGAACTTAAAATGGAAAAACAATCGTTTGTTCAGGTAAAACTTCCCTGCTAAACAAATAAAAAGATTTTTTGGTAAGATTTCATTCTGATAGTTTTAATTAGCTGAATGAAGAAATAAATTAAACAAAGGTAATTGAAAATTTGAAAATACTATTTTTCACATAAGCAGTTCTAATGGTAATTACTACTCGTTTATATTATATTAATGTTCATCTACAATTTTTTTGAGTCCAGAACAGCGGATCAGAATTCTTCACATTATTTTTGTTTACAGGGTGGGCAAATGTGTGATTTTTGTCAATCAAATAGTTCATTTGCACATCCAGCAACAAACATGGTTGATGGCAGAGCAAGCTGGTGGCAGAGTCCTCCATTAAGCCGTGGGATGCAGTACAATCAAGTTAACATTAGTATTAATTTGGAGCAGGTAAGTCGCTCACATTACCAATAAACCGCTTAAAAAATGGAGAAAATACTGAAAATTGAGAAAAAGCAAGTTTTCTGGGTTAAAATCTGAACAGAAGGCTTATTAATAATTTACAATACTTAAGATGGAAAGGTTTGAATCCAGTGGTTACTGGGGGCTGTTCTGATAATTAATTGTGAGAATTCAGCAGGAAAAGAATTAAGAGAAAGTTGAACTAGGACATTTTACATGTAAGGAATTTTTTAGGAATTTCATGTGGCTTATGTATGGATCCAAATGGCAAATAGTCCTCGACCAGGATCATGGGTGCTAGAAAGATCGGTTGATGGCGGTGAAACTTATATGCCTTGGCAGTATTTTGCTGAAACGCCTGCTGAATGTGATCGGGTCAATCTAATTTTAATCCATGTTATGATTAATCGCTTTTTTTCATATTATCTTTCCTGAATAGCATTATGATTAATTACGGATTCATAGTTTCCAAGCAAAATTCCGGAAGTTTTAATTTCAGTTATTCGGACGTCATACGCTCCAACCAATATTAGAAGATGATACTGTTATATGCACCCATGAATTCTCCGGAATTCATCCAATGGAAAATGCAGAGGCAAAATTTTTTTAAAAGCATAGCTAGAAATATCTTATAATTCAAATTTTTGCATTTTATGAATATTTGATTTAGCAAATTAGATGACAAATTCTATTCTTTAAAAAAGTACGAACATTTTAAAATTTCCAGTAGTACAACAGGAGGGAGTATAAAAGTGAAAATCATTCTAGATAATGATAAATCTGCTTGAGAGCCGACCAGGAAAACACAACTTTAGTCATTCTGAAATTCTTCAAAACTTCACTCGTGCAACAAATGTACGACTTCGGCTTCTACGTACCAAAACGCTGCACGGCCATCTGATGGATGTGAATCGACGAGATCCCACTGTCACACGACGAGTTAGTCTGTTTGTTGCTAAATATATTTCAATTAATCAGAAGTATGTATGGACAGTTCGAAGGAAAGAATGTTCATATAATGACTTATTTAACATGGTGAAAGAAATTTTAAACTTCTTATATTCGATAATGCGACAAGAGGACAGGTTTAGTACAACCGTATAATAATTTCTGATGGCTTCATTTCAAATAACCTTATGAATTCTGAGAAATAAATAAATAAAAGTGATTCAAGAAGACGTGAAGAATTTTGACGATGTTTCGAAGCATATTGCAGTATTTCTATGCGATTAAAGAAATCTTCATGGGAGGCCGCTGTGTTTGTAATGGACATGCGGACACTTGTGATATTCTTGATGTTCGACGTTCTAATATACTCCTTTGCAGGTATATGTCTTTTGTTGATTCGTTAGTTTCTTTACTATTTCTCGTTTTGACTTCAAATTATCAAGTTGAAATGAATTTTATAAATACTAACTTTCATTTCTATATCGACAAAACAAGAAGAAAACGAAACTGAAGTGAGAAAAAGGAAGCAAAAATTAAAAAAATGGCTAACATATTTAAAAAACAACAAATTTTTTTCCAGTTCTTATTTCCAATGTTTTCCTGTAGAAAGAGAAAATCAGGCTTACGGATATTCTTTCATCCTTTATTATCAACTGGTTATTTTCATAATATACTATTTTCATGTTATTTAACTGCAGGTGTGAACATAATACTTGTGGCGATCATTGTGAATACTGTTGTCCAGGATTTGAACAGAAAATGTGGCGAAGAAGCAAGGAGGGCGCTGAATTTGAGTGTGAACGTAATTCTTTCAAGCTTTTTTACTGCTGAAGACTGAGAAAATACGTAACAATCGCACCATTGACTCCAGCTGAAGTTATCTGCCTCAAAAATAATAATACTTCTTGGTTCACTGCAGGTCCATAAATGATTTTATTTAGAACTTCTTCGGTCGCGGAATCCTTAAGTTATTGGCTTGAGTATGTTCAACGGTAGATAATAATGACAGTGTAAGGTGCGCAATTATTTGTAATTTCAATAATTACAGCGTGTAATTGTCATGGACATAGCGAGGAATGTGTTTATGAGAAAGAACTTGACAGAATGCATTCAAGCTTAGATATTCATAGAAATTACGATGGAGGCGGTCGTTGTCTAAATTGCAGAGTTTGTTATTTCATTTCTCCTGCTTTTTTCGTTTTTGAATTCCTATATAATACTTTGCAATCCTCATCGTGAAAAATTAATTAGTTTTAAGTATTTTTTCTACCAAAATTATAGGACAATACAGAAGGCATAAATTGTAATAAATGCACCTTTGGTTACTATCGGCCACGAACGAAATGGTGGAATGAAACAGATGTGTGTCAATGTAAGTTCTGTTTGTTTTTTGAAACTAACTGAAATTTCACTTTTACCAAAAATTCCTTAGGCATCTAATAAGATCCTATTTATGTTCGAGTTCTGCATGGTACCCGGAATATCTCGACCTAGCTTTCTTTCCTTTCAAGTCCACAGCTCCCTCACGCGCGTACACCATGTCCTCATATCTTCGGAGTCATTTCGATCTTTACTGGTTGCCATCGAAGAAGACAATGGGTTAGCATTAATTTTTCCGAAAATCATGTTCTTAGGTGCTCGTTGAAAACTCCAACACTCTTCTTTCCATCGCTTTCTCCTTCTGACAAACTTTTTTCCCGCCTTCAGTAGTCACCTGAACAGGTGTGGATGCATTGACATTTCGGGAATAAAGCACTCGTTGTTTACGGAGTAATGATCAGTGCAATGATGATCAGTGCGTTATTTACAGAGTAATCAGGAGTAATGATCAGAGTAATGATCTTCGAAATTTAACGTGTTTTTCGGCTATAAATTGTATCTCTACCTGCCTTGTGGTTATCATTAATAACATAAGCAGCACATAATGTGTTACGAAAGTACCCCAATATTGAACAACTTCAATAGTGCAGCTTCTAGGCTGATTTTGTGAAAGTCATTCTTCCCTTCTCGACAGTTTTAAGTGCTTGAGAATATTGGCTTAACAACTGCTTTTGTTCTAATATCGTCTTAAAATTGTTTTTTTTCGCCGCCAAAAAATCTAAGTTTGGTGGAAAATCACAAAGCCGAATTCCACATTGCAGCTTGTGTGTGCGATCCGGCAAAACATACAGGAGATTGTGAGGATGAAACAGGTCGTTGTATTTGTAAGCCTCAGTTTACCGGGGTGGATTGTGATAGATGTGCACCTGGTCACTATTCACCTCCAGAATGTAAACCTTGCGATTGTTTTGTAAATGGCACTTTGGATCATATTTGCCTGGTACTATTCTCTACTGATCTATTTGAATTTTGTTATTTAGTTTTAATTACCACAATGATCACTTTTCAATAGATGTAAAATAGTGTTGGTGGAGTACGTGATAGTTATGCCTGGCAAAAGATTTCGTATCTCTTATTTTTCTGTATTCAGTCGAAAATGCTGTAATAAATCCGCTTCTTATTCACTAATTAATCCATTTAGAAACACCAGAAAATTTTCAGCCTGACAATGGACGTTGCCCATGTAAAAGTAATTATGGCGGAGAGCTCTGCCAAGTATGCGCACCGGGTTATACAAATCTCATAGCCGGCTGTATCTGTAAGTTGTTACTAAATGAGGAATCAGAAAAAATCATGGATAATTGTATCAGTTATTTAAATTTGAAATAATTTCTTATTTTTGATCTGTATGACTGCTGCATATAAATTATTCTACTTTTTAAAATGTCAGCTTGCAAATGTGATGAACTCGGATCGCTGCATAATAATTGTAATGAAAGCACAGCACAGTGTATGTGCAAAACCAATTTTGCTGGGCTTACGTGTGACAGTTGCGCTGATGGATATTTCGGAGATTCCCTGTGTGAATGTAAGTTTTTTGATGCTATATTTGAAACTATTGTTGGTAAAGTATACTCTATTGTACTGAGCTAAATCATTTCAGATTGCGATTGTGATGCAACTGGTACGGAAGAGAGTATTTGTGACAAAGAGACTGGTGCTTGCTTGTGTAAATTTGGATTCTCTGGTTCTCGATGCGATGAGTGCAACCTGAACTTTTTTGGTTATCCATACTGCAAAGGTATTTAATTTTTTAAGCCTTGAAGTTTCGTAATATCATTTCATATTGATTGTTGAAATCAATTCGGCTGCTGTAGCAGTGAACCAGTGAACTTTGGTATTTTAGAATGTGACTGCAATGAACATGGCTCAAAGACAGCAGAGTGTGATCGAAAAAATGGTGATTGTCCGTGTTATGCAAATTTCACCAGTAAAAAATGTGATCGTTGTGCTGCTGGATTTTATGATTTCCCGAACTGCAAGCCATGTTCATGTCTGCCTATTGGCTCTAAAGGAATGACTTGCGATAATAATGGACAGGTTTGTCGGTTTTTACACAACTCTTTTTATTAGGTTTGAGTGTTTTGATGGTCAAATAAATTATATTGTAACAATTGCATACTTATTTTTTTTTTCTACTGTATTATCAAATTTCGGAGAGATTTCTTATTTGCAGTGTTACTGTAAACCAAATTTCCAAGGTGAAAGGTGTGATCAATGCAAAACGAATTTCTACAATTTTCCAATCTGTGAAGGTACACACATTCCATACAACAACTTACTTTTTTAATATTAAAATGAGAAAGGTAGTTTATCGTTTTATTAATTTCAAATGTACAATTACATTCTAAATATTGCAGAATGTAATTGCAATCCTAAGGGCGTAGTGGCTGGTTTTGCCGGTTGTGATAAGGTTGAACCGGGTGAATTATGTACCTGCAAAATGCATGTTATGGGTCGCATATGTGATCAGTGCAAACCGACCTACTGGGATTTGCAATATCATCATGAAGATGGTTGTGTACAATGTGATTGCAATTTGAATGGCACACTTTCGGGATTGAACGAATGCAGCACTGAGGGAGGACAGTGCAACTGTAAAAAACATGTTATTGGTCGTCGATGTGATAAATGTGCCGACGGGTTTTTTCAGCTCGAAGTGCATAATCAGTTTGAATGTCAAGGTAGGTATTGGCTTAATACTTGTTGATTATTATGTCCTATACTCATTTCAGCTTTAATACACAACAGATTGCGAAAATTATTGCGAATGGCTAAAAAAATGTTACCGGCGTGTTTACATTTTTCTAAAAATTCTTGTAATTTCAGCTTGCAATTGCGATGTCGGTGGTGCGTTGGGAATTGGCTGCGATATGGAAACAGGAGAATGCCGTTGCAGACCTCGAATCACTGGTCAGAAGTGTGACAGACCCATAGAAAATCATTATTTCCCAACACTATGGCACAATAAAGTGAGCATTTTCATATTTTGTTTTTTAGATTAAAATCGATCTGTTCATTAGAATCTCTATTATCTTCTCAGTGGTGTACTAGCTTTTCCGGAGATTTCTTCAGTATACTTCGAAAATGCCAATTAGTTCAACTGTTCAGTCAAATCTAGCAATCTTTAGCTTTCAATGATTCAGATGTTTATTCTCAACCATATAAAATAAACATTATTTATTGTTTTGTTCAGAAATTGTGAAATGTGTGTTCCATCACACTTTGACAGTGCGAAAATCGCTCCTATAAAACTAAAAGTAATTTTGTTTATTCGTAGTATGAAGCGGAAGACAGCATATCAATGGAACAGAATCCCGTGCGTTTTGCCATCGATAAAAACAAATTTCCAAAATATTCATGGAGAGGATATGCAGTATTCTCACCGATCCAAGAAGACATTTTGTTGGATATAGCAGTTAGCAAAGCCAGTCTTTATCGTCTTCTTTTTCACTACGTTAATCCAACCGATGTTCAAATTGATACCAGAGTTGTGGTGATGCCCCTTTTTACGCACACTCAAGGTTAACTTCCGTCACAACATTACATTTATTTATTTGGTGAAATTGTCATTTCTCGTTCCATCACTTTTGTTGTAGATGTGGAGCAAAGAGTCAGATTGAATCTTCCACCAACATCCGAGCCAACAACCATAGCCATCAATGCCAAACAACCATTCATCTTAAATCCTGGAAAATGGCGCATTAAGATTTCAACCAAACAACGACTTTTTTTGGTAACAGAATATATTGCCAGGCAGAATGTGTTAATGCATATTATGAATTTTTGTTTTCTCACTGAATATGAAAATTTCAGGATTACATCGTACTACTACCTTCAGAATATTATGAAGGGACAGTGTTGAAGGAGCGTATTTTTGAACCTTGTAAAGCACTTAATTCGCAGAATACAACATGTTTTGATTCGTTGTATCCACCACTCCCAATTGCATCACGAGCAGAAATCATCGAAGGTGGACTTATCATGGAAGAACAAAATGATGGTAGTACAATACAAGTTGAAAAGGTCGAATACAAACATTAATGGCATATACTTAATATGCACAAATTTGACAAGAAAATATCAAGTCCCGCAAAAAAATACGAGCAAGAGAGAATGAAAAGCATTGTTTTCTCTTAAGCAATTTGAAATAGATTTGATAGTGGATCCTCTACAATTAATATAATTTGCAGATTCCGATAGAGAACTTGCCTGCAATCGTTGATGAAGCAACATTTGTGCAATCTGACGGTGAAGGTCGTAAAATTCGCGTATCCTTAAAGGTCCCAATAAGACTGCATATTTTATCAGCATATTTATTCTTTTTTATTGAGTTGGCTATTTACAAATTTTCCAGGTACCAGAAGATGATCACTATATTTTTTTGTTGGAATACTACAACGAAGACCCAAAAACAATTCCATTAACTTTGGAAGTAAAGCAATACGATCAGCTTCTATTGAAAGAAAACATTACTCTTAAACACTGCCCATATTCGTCAGTTTTTTTTGGATTTCATTAGCAGTTTTTATTAGCTTAATAATTAAGAGCATATAATGGCTTAAAGTATCTATCTCTCGTCCCTAAATGATTATAGTTCCATTTCCCACTTCATTTCTTCCATTCCATAGTTGCTTCTGTGCAATTTTCGACCCAAATATCCTGCAAAGGAGTTTGCTACTCGCTTTAGCCTTTAATCCAGGTGCTTTTGGTTTCAGATTATCCTGAGAAACTTTCTGACTTTTACGGATAATGAACGTCCTTTTAACCTCTTGTAATTAGATCAGTGAATTTCTTCAACAATGTTGAAGATAATAGTCATTTAGTAGTTGATGCAAACCATGGATGACGATGATTTGATGAATAAATATTTCAGAACATTTTGTCGCGATATCGCATTATCTGATGCAGGCATTGCATTAATACGTTTGAAAGATGGAGAAGACGTAGAAATTACACTGACTGTTGAACCAAAACATGAATTTGGTTTAGCTGTAGCTAATCTTATTAGGATGAAAGATTGGGACGTCAGCTATCTTCAACAAGTTAGTCGCATAACTCTTCAGCAGTATTTTACTTCTCACTTTTTCAATAGCAATCCACCATTTTTTATTTAACATGTTATAGGTTCCTGTATGTATCCGTAAAAATGGACACTGTATCAATCAGTGGTTTCCTCCTGTAGCCAACGGCATTCTGAACGAAGCTGAGTCACAAATGAATGCGAATAATTCAATCATTGGTGAAAAGTTGCCATTTATGATTGCCAATCCGAAAGAAGTTCAAGTCATGGCACTCGATGAAAATATGGTATAATATCGTTTAATGTACAATGTCGAGAATGGAATGTATTGTTGTTTACTTTTATATTTAATGTTTTTTCACTCTTTCATCTTTGTAGGGTACAGTAGAAGTATCTGGAGTAGTGCCATCTCATGGTCATTATGTTTTTATAGTACAGTACTTTAATCCGGACAACACGTTGCTAACTATAGATGTTACGCTCCAGAATGGACATCTTCATCACGGTATGCTTCCCATCTTTATTCTGTATTTTGAAACCTTTTAATTTCTTCAGCTATTTTGTTCACCTTTAACAACCGTTGTTTCAAAAAGATGTATTTTTTTAAATTTACATAAAGGTAATATTTGCCATCCTGAAAACAATATGTCTAACATGTCACAAAAAAAATATCTTTTCATTTTTAGCAGAGATACCATTTTCCTACTGTCCAAGTGTTATTGGTTGTCGGGCAGTAATTCGAGACAAAGAACGTCCAGATGTGATACAGTTTTTCATTGATGATAAGTATACTGCGTCATTTTATTTCAACGAAAGCCAAAAAGGACCACTATACATTGCAAGTTTTTCAAGCTTTATTTATTTCATTTTCAATCTTTTTTGCTCAATATCTTTAAATGGTTATATTGTTCGAGATTTAAATAATGTAGCCGCTCTAAAGATTACTAAAGTCTTATTTGATGTTGCAGAACAAACTGAAATTATGATATTCGTTTTTTTTTTTTCGTATTTCCTTATTTATTCAGGACTCGATAACATCATTACCATTTCATTCATATAGCGATACATTACTGACCCCATTACCTGTTGATGTCTCAATGCAGTATATACAAGAATGCAGTTCGAATAATTTCAAAAATGAGTAAGCACTATTCGTGTGAATCATTAAAGATATATTCACTGAAATTTAAAACTGAAAATATTTCATGAAAATATCCCCAAAAAAGTTTAGATTTTGGGAGTTAGAGATCTGTCCAGTTTTGCCGTTTTTTAAATTTATGAAGACAATTTCTAAGGATAAAATCACAGAAATTCAATGTTGAATAAGTAATTTAACCTTTATAGCCCATCAAATGTAAGTGAATACTGTCGGCAGAAAGTATTTTCTTTAACTTCCGAGTACAATATGGCAGCTCTTCCGTGTGAATGTAGTTCTCAAGGCAGCACAAGTTTTATGTGCAAAGAATATGGTGGCGAGTGTTCCTGCCGACCGAACGTAATAGGACGTCAATGTGATCGTTGCGCACCCGGCTATTATAGTTTCCCGAATTGCATTAGTTTGCTATTTCCTAATTTTCTCTTGTCCTTTGGTTGAATTTAAATTTTTGGCTAGCAGTATTCAATTTCAGAATGTAGATGTCCAGACAATCACTTGTGCGATGAGAACACTGGTCAATGTTTCTGTCCACCACATGTACAGGGGAAACATTGCGATAATTGCGTACCCTATGCCTTCGGTTATGATCCTCTGATTGGTTGTCAGCTGTGTGGCTGTCAACAAAATGGCTCAGAAGCCCGACAGCTTCAATGTGATCCAGATAATGGACAGTGCCTGTATGTCATCCTTCTATCAGCTCTATTATCATTCTTCTTTGAAAGCGAGATTCAGACACAATTTCAAAATATATGTCAACAGTGAACTGTCTCTGTCCATGATAATGAAAAAACTTATCACAGGTGTAAAGTCAATGTTGGTGGCAGAAAGTGTGACAAATGTTTGCCAGGTTTCTACGGCTTTCCACATTGTTACGAATGTGCGTGCGAAATAAAGGGTACCACGGAAGAAATTTGTGAAGCAACCAATGCAGCTTGTAAGTGCAAAGTAAGTTTTTTTCGCTTTAAAGGTATTTCGTTTCATTATCCGAATTGATTCACTAATGAGGTTATTTAACAGACATACCAATAACTACATTGTTTCAGAAAAATGTAATTGGTGAGAATTGCGATATTTGTCGGCCTGGTACTTTCGACTTACGTGCATCAAACTCTGATGGATGTGCGGAGTGTTTCTGCTTTGGTGCAACCGATCGCTGCCGATCTTCATTTTTTCCCGTTACTTTTGTAATATTTTATCATGTTGTGTATAATATAATAATTAATGACTTACTTAAAAATAATTAATGACTTAATTAAAAAAAATGTATTTCTTGCCTCAATAATTTTTGATTTCTCAAAGGTTAATTTCGATGAAGAAGCATGGAAAGTGTATCCAAATGATTCTGTGATATATTCGCATGGTAAGGTGATATATGAAGCAAAAACTGATAGCAAAAACGATGTTTATTTCTTGGCTCCAATAGGATCGGGCTACGACTTCACCATTTCTTATGGTTTACAAGTAATACTTGTTTGAAAATTTCAATATCAATTAAAGTCAAAACTTTAATTTTACCATAGTAAAATAGACATTTTGAAGAGCATATTGTCCATTCTTTCAGCTATCTTTCGTGATAGTATCGAATCCGCGAGATGGTGAAACCAAAATGAGCTCTGCACCTGATGTTCAGTTGGTTGGAAATAGCACAATTCTGGATTTTTGGGCAAGAGAACAACCAGCTAATCCGCGAATGCCATTCAGTGTTGAAATCAAACTTTTGCCCGTAAATTTTAGTAATCATGTCTCTGAAGTTGCAAAGTGCGCTTTTATTTTGTTCCTTCGTTTATTTTTAACTATACAATTTCATTGCATAGAATACCATCTGATCACAATAATTTAACCAATATTGATTTAGGAAAACTTCATGGAATCGACAGGGGAACCAACGACTCGTGATACTCTGATGATGGTATTGCATGACTTAGATGAACTTAGGATTAAGGCTTGTTACTATATAAATTGCGAATTGGCGGCAGTTAGCGAATTACAGCTTGAAATAGCTAAAGATGATCAAACCATTGATGATAGTTACACAGCTTCTTCTGTCGAAATCTGTCAGTGTCCACCACCTTATAATGGACTTTCTTGTCAGGTATCAAAACTTGATTCTTTCCTAAAGTGAATTTTGAATTATGTCTCGAAAGAGGTTTTTTAAAAATTAGTGCTAAAAAATTACTCACCAACTTATAAAATTTTTTAGCAATGTTCTCCTGGTTATTACCGCGTCAAGAATGGTCGCTTTCTTGGTTCTTGTGTTCCTTGTGATTGTAATGGTCACTCTGGAAGCTGCGATCCGACAACTGGAATTTGCTTCGATTGTGAGCACGACACTTTTGGCGATCATTGCGAATTTTGTCGAGTGGGTTTTTATGGTGATGCTACCAAAGGAGGACCTTATTCATGCTTGCCATGTGCTTGTCCATACGCTACTGATACAAACAACTTTGCAACAAATTGTCAGGTTAATGTTCTCTATTATTTTCATCAATACTATCATTTTTTTGGAGAAGTTTCAACAGACGTTAATGGTCTACAACGGCGTATAAGTATATTTCTTCAACTTTGTTATACATTACCCAGACTTTTCATTTCCAAGAGAAATAGTCACCTGATTACATTTTTGCAATAAAACTTTGCAAAATGATGAAACTTTACCGTTTAAAGGTCAGTGAAACAGGACTGTTGAAATCATGCTTCTGTAAGAAAGGATATACTTCTGATCGCTGCGAGCGATGCGATGTTGGCTATTATGGTCAGCCTACTGCAGTCGGTGGATTTTGTCATAAATGTGACTGCAATAATAATAATGATCTTAGTGTGGATGGTTCTTGTCATCCTATAATCGGTGATTGCTATCTTTGTCTAAATAATACCGATGGTGCACATTGCGAGCATTGCAAACCGTGGTTTTATGGTGACGCTGTGGAGGCTAAAAATTGTACAGGTGAGAAGTAATATTATTGCAGGAATTTTTTTTGCATTATGACAAAATTTAAATGAAGAGGGGAAATTCTATAAGATTTTAATTTTTTGCTGCTTATTTTATTTTTCTTTTTTTCATAAACATGAAACACAACTACTACCAATATTTGCTCATTTCTGTTAGATTTCTCTACTATTTGGTTGAAAATGATAAAAAGCAGTCGAACTGATGAGTTCTTTTTTGAGATTTTTTTTGCAAAATTTTACAGATTGTTCATGCAATCAGTGCGGTAGTTTATTATGTGACAACAGATCTGGAAGATGTGAATGCTTAGCTAATGTAGAAGGAAAAAAGTGCGATCGTTGTGTGGTAAATTCTACTTCTTTCATTTAACTACTGCATTTAAAAATATAACAAATGGACAAACTTTGAGAAAAAAAATATATTAACATAATGGCTTTATTAGGCGAATGCATGGGGTTTCATGCATTGTCACGGTTGTGAAATGTGCAACTGTGCATTAGCATCATCAAGTCCGCAATGTGATGCTGAAACCGGACAATGTTCCTGTATGCCCGGAGCTGCTGGACAAATGTGTGAAATCTGTGAATACGGCTACTGGAATTATGGACCAACCGGATGCTCCAGTTTGTTTTAATACTGATGTTTCATTTTTAATTTCTCATTTTCTGAGAGGAAATTGGTTTTTCTCAACGAGTGAAGCTAAAACAATCGTGAATTCCTTGTTTAATGGTGATGCCAATGAAAAAGGCTTATATTTATATTGTTTTCTGAAATGTGACTTAACTGATATCTGTCAGTTGAAGATGAATTGTAAGTTTTGCTGATGATTTTTTAATGATAAAAATTTCAGAATGTGATTGTGAAGCAGATTTATCAATGGGAACTGTGTGTGATGTTGACACAGGGCAATGTCATTGTCAAGAAGGTGCTACCGGACCTCGATGCGATCAGTGTGCTTCACAGTACCTGCGAATACCAAATTTTGGATGTCGATGTGAGTTGCTTCAATCATCTTCAAAAAAGATTAGTAGGAATGAAGGAAATATTAGATATCTCCAAAATTACATTCCCTTATAGTATTGTGTCTGAAGTAAACTTTTTTCACTCTCGTTGGAAAAACGAAAAAATAGTTATTGAAGTCTTCATAGCCTTTTTTTTTAACTGCACAGTTCATGAGTAAAATTATCATTTTAGTGTGCGATGAATGTGTTCACTCAGTGATGCATGATCTGGATAGGCTAGCTGATACTGTTGATTTTGTTAATGAAACAATCAACAATATTTCAACAACTGCTCTTACGGGTACACGTCTTAAACACATTCATAAGAAAATTGATGACGTGAAGGTATGTAAATTGTTCTTTTCTTTCATTATCATGATTTCAGAAATTTATAGCATAAGTATGACACCTTAACATATAAACCATTTATAGCCGATAGTTACAAATCATATGGACTCAGCGTCTGATATGGGTGTGAAAAGTTTGAGGAACGATATATTTGGTGCAATTTCTGATGTTATTAGTGTGGTTGTTCGTGCAAATCGATCCTTGGATACACTTAGTGCTATCAATAATACTGTGAATGGCATCATCAATAGAACTAATATCGTAAGTAATTAAAAGTATTGTATGAAGATTCTCCAGGAACTTTCTTCCTATCTACAACAAAGTTCTGAGAAAAAAAAAAGATTACTGGATTGAAGATCGGATACAAGTTATAAATTGAAATGGGCAATTAAAATCCATAAACTTGATAATTGTTGATCGAGAAAGGTATTGCATCACTATAAATTTGTTCCAAAAGATTATTCGAGAGAGGCAGATAATATTGAGGTCAAAAACGCTTATACTACCAGAACTTTAGCAACTTTGCTAAAAAGATTATACTGGCTAAATGGAGTTTAAATTGACAATGTCTTCATAGAAAAAAGTTGTTGAAGATGTAGGGTACTATGGGACACTCAATTTAAAAAACGGAAACTGATCCAAACTTTTTTTCTGCTTCACAAAAATATATCCGTCATTGTCTGGATCTTCAGTTTGCATTTTTGCGGAACGTTTTATTTTAATTATAATTCGGAAAATGATTTTATTACTGTTACTCACTTAGAATGTGATTGAATATCTTTTGCTTCACCTTTTTTGTAGATATGAGATCCAACATCGTAATTACATTGCAGCTTCCGGCAGATGTGTTTGATCGTGTTGAAATGGCTGCATCAACTGTTGATTCCTTAAAAAATCTCGCCTTCTCACTTGGCAAAGATTCCAGTGCCATAGATCGTCAAAAATGGTTAATGGATTCAACCTCATATTTACAAAAAATCCTCGATGTTGAGAATGAGTTGGTTTTTCCGAAATACTTTTATTTTTTACAAAATTGCGTGTAATTTATTCATTTCCCAAAATGGCTGAACTTATTTTTCACTGAAAATCAGCCCTAGCATATCTTGCCATTTCCATCTATTGCTCTTTTTTTATTGATGATAATAAATCATCAAATGAAGCGCTCCATTGCATGATCAGATACTCAGAAAAAAATTTAGTAAAGAGACGAGGAAACGAGTGGAAGATGCAAATGATGAGACGCAAAAATTGTTAAAACGTATGAGAGAGCTAAAGGATGAAGAAAATGCGATACATGCAAGATATTTTAATATAAGGGATCAAATGAACGAATTAATAAATAACATTACGGAATACCACTCTCTTCTTTATCAAGTGAACAGTTCGGTTGGAAATACTCTGCAGGTCAGTTACACTTTGTTTATTCTGTGAATCTATGCTTCTGAAAATGCTTTTTTCCTGTGTTCATTATTGATAACATCTTTCATTTCACTACCATATTATATTGCTGTATTCCAGCGAGTGAATAACTCAAATATACGACATATAAATTCGGTGCAAGCTGGCGTAAAAGCAGGTGAAACGAAGATAAAAGAAACTCATACAATTATCAGCAGTCTCACAGCAACTTCTGAAACTTTCATTGAATCACTAAGTAATCTGAACAAAGCGCTTCGTAAAGTAATGAGCAATGTTCAGGATTTGTTCGATGAACTAAGCGCCATGAATGGCAAATATCGTCAAAGGCGGATACGTAACATTAATAAGGTTACTGTATCATTTATCTACGTTTTCCGGATTTATTTGAGTTCAGTTGTCTAATAGCTAAATATTCGTGACTACTTTTTAAAATAAATTATAGTAAAGTATGAAGTGTCGTTAGCATAACTTAATCGCCATTACAGAATGAATACAGAAACAAGTCGGAAGAACTGGAAAATGAAGCATTGTTTTTGTCTTCTTTGTTTAGTAGAACACGAACTGAAGCAAAGAATGCAATAGTAGCCGCTAATGGATATAAAGAATTGTTGGAACACTTGAAAAAAGCACGAAATATGACAAATCAGGCATCTCTAAATACAGAACAAGCTAGAAAGTTCCATGAAGAAAGAGCGGTAATGGTTAAATATCTAGAAGGAGCACTTCTGCACATTTTCTATTTGTGTTCTGCTAGAAGTCAAAATTATGTTTATCATTTTGTTTTTGAGATTTCGAAAAATTTTCAAAATTTAATTGCAGGTGGCATCAGCGAAAACACTTCTTGAGCAATCAGCTGATTTACTTCGCTCTGCTGTAGATCTAAAACAGTCAAGCGTAAATAATGTAGATAGCCTGAAAGTTGTTTTCGTGGAAAAAGCGTCAGAATTACAATTCCTCATCGAGAAGCAGAAAGGAACCCTTGAAAGCCTTCGCCCTAAATTCGATGATGGAGAAGTGGTATGTTTTTATGTAAAGTAATTGCAAGAATGCGATAAGGTATATTCTTTTGTAAAAATTCATATAAAAATTTACTCATTTATTTTGCATTATTGGATGTATTTCGTGAAATATGTGAATTAGCAAATAGTTTTCAGAATGCAAAACTAGAACATTCTTTAACCACTTCGGAAGAGGCAAGAACAAGAATTGATAACACCATTTTTTTATTTGATCGGTTCAAGCCTGATTTGGAAGAAATAATTGGTCGTAGCGAGAAGTTCATTGGGTCAATTTTGATTTCTGCTAACGATGTGGATACTGCTAGGGAGCAAATTTCAAAGGTGAATCAAGAACATCATTATCATACTATATTGGTTTGCATATAGATGATGGTTATGATTAGATGTAACATTAAATTAGCTCTTCCAAAAGTTTGATTTAAGCTGGTAAACGAAAGTTCACCGATGATGGAAGAGCTAGAAATGCAAAGGAAAGCTGCTTCAAATACTTCGGCAACAATAGAACATTGTCGTGAAAAGCTAAATTTGTTAAAAGAAAAGATCGCTCTCACGCGAGATTTGGCCAACAGGGTTTGTTTGTCCTCGTTTATTGAATTATGGGGAGGGGGAGGGGGAGAGGGTAATCAATGGATAAATTCCAATCATTCAATTACAGATCAAATTGGGCGCACATTTCGAAAAAGGAAGCATTTTGGAGTTGCCACTGCCTCCGCGAATAACACGTTCTGCGGCTTATACTAACATCGAATTTTTCTTCAGAACAACAAACACTAGTGGTATCATTAAGTGTTACTTTAAACAAATGATATAGACAAATAATTTCAAAGATGATATGAAGGAAAATGAGAAGCAGAACTTTGTACTTCTTTTTAGGTTTAATATTATTCTTTGGTAATGAACTTGGCGTTGCTGGAACTCGTGCTGTGCCAACCGATGACTACGTTGCTGTTGAAGTAGAAAGAGGTCGTTTGAGGGTAGTTGTTAATCTTGGTGATACACCCACGCAGTTAATCTCAGATTCGTAAGTTCTTTCAACTTCTGGTAGATTAGTCACAATTAGCATTAATTAAAGAAATTTGAAAATAATTTGATGTAAGATTCTCATCCTCACTCTGGAAGTCAAATATGGTGTAAGGTATTGACCAAATCTGAATGCGATATTTGTAATTAACCATAACTCCGATAACTTCTATTTTTCAGCTCAGTTGCTGACGGCAACTGGCGAAAGGTTGCTGTAGATCGTATTGGTAAAACAATTACACTACGAGTATCGTCACCAAATTCAGCAAGTTATGAGGAGGAAAAAATGCGAACCATAGGTGGCTTCAAATCGGTTCTCAATCTCCATCAAAAGAAAAGTCGCTTATTTATCGGTGGTATTGTTCCCGGTGTCAATGTAAGGAATCTATTAATCGGAGGTCGAATTATTATTATACAAGATAGGTTTCTTTTTTCAATTAATCTGAGAGGATTTATAGATTTCACCAGATGTACATAGTCGTGAGTTCGTTGGTGACATCGAAGATTTACGTATTCACGGTGAAACGGTCGGTCTCTGGAATACTAAAAAAGGAGGTAATTACAATGTGGAAGGTGCGAAGAAAAAAATTTTTGCTGCTTCATCGTTGACTGATGAAATTGGTTCGTCATTATTCGTTCTTTTCTTGCTGCCATAAAAATATGAAATCAAATAAATTTTCGGTCTGCTCATTTGCTTTTTCTAATCAAAAATTAATTAGAAAGTTTCTGGAAAAGTGACATTTAATGATCTTTTCAGAACTTGAGAATATTCAAAGTAGCTCTTTTTATAAGTAATTTGGTGATGACATTTGGTGATTATATATAATTTGGTGATGAAAAGTTACGGATATGATGTTTTGCAGCACTGAGCTTTAATGGAGACGGATACGTTGTCCACAAGCTGGGTATTTGGAATCCACGAAAACAAACAATTTTTTCTTTGACTTTTCAGACATATTCTCCTGACGGACTATTCTTATACCTTGGAAAAGAAGTACGTATCATGCAGTCAGCAATTTCAAATAATTATTTCTTCCACTAAAAATTCTAATCTTAAATATCTACATTTGGATGATTTTTTTAGCGCGATTTTCTATCTCTTGAACTGCAAGATGGTAGAGTGAAGCTCTCATTTGATTTTGGTTCGGGAGTTGGAAGACTGACAAGTACTGGTAGTAATTACAACGATGGTAAGCCTCATTCCGCGTACGTGTACCGGTTAGAACGTCATGCTCGTATGCAAATTGATGATAATGATGTTTCGGAAGGTGATTCACCTGGCACAATGTTCGAACTCAGTTTATCCGATGTTTTTTATTTGGGCGGTGTTCCCTCTGATGTTTCGACGTTAGTTCACTTTGTTTTTTTTTTTTTTCTGTAGCTATCATCTTGAATCATTCTGAAGATGAAAATGCAGCGTATATGATGTATCTGTTACTTTAAGTTCCTTAAAGTCATTAAAGTCTCCCGGATTTTATTCTCGACTCTATTATTTTCGATCTTACTGAAAGAGCTAACGCATTTCAGGATTCTATCTTCGAAATAAACCCTACTCTTTACCGTCTGTAATGCATAAATCTATCAATTAATTTAGTGGTTGTTCTTCTTGTTCTGTAATATATCTTTCCTACTCACGGCTCATCGGCGGACAGCCTATCCTAATCAGTACCGTTTATGTTTTATCACGATTATGACCATAATATCGTAAAGCCCTTCCACACTTTAACCCATTTGCTGTTGTCATAACTTCATTTATAAAGCGACCAGTTATGTAGGTGGACGATATTTACCAAGTGCAAATCTTATAATTTGTGTAAGAACAATGACGAAGTGTAGATTGATGTATAATAAGCAATTACATCGACTTCACAGTTATATCTTCCAGACGCACAACGGTTGTGTCAATGAATGGTTGTATAGAACATGTAAAACTGGACAATCTCTTAATGGACTTAAGTAAATCAAGAACTGCGAAGGGGGTGCAGCTAGGATGCAACGCTCGACATGTGCGAGTTATATCAATGGTATCGGAACGTTCCACTGCTACTTTCAGTAGTTTCAATGCTAAAAAAGGTTATCTTGAGATGGCATTCCGATTTAAAACAAGCCGACCGTCTGGAATCCTTGCATCGGTTATTTCGGACGAACAGGTTGGTTTTCAAAATGTTCTAAAGTCAATAAGAAATTTATCAAAGTGCGTATTTTTAGCTGCAGATATTTCATTAGAGATAAATTCTGTTTTATAAGTGATTTTTCAATCAGTAAGAATGAACGCTGAAACTACTGAGAAATTTGGACTGTAAATTGTGAGATAAGAACGAACATGATAAGGAATGACGTCATTGGTTCACAGAAGCTGAGTCGAAGCTAGAAATATAATGTTCAGGAAGTCTTGTTGCAACTCCGTTACCAAGATGGATTTATTTCGGCTGAGTACGGATCTGATAACAAGGATGTTGCTGAAATCGAATTCAGATCAGTCGCTGATGGTCAGTGGCATTACTTCGCAACTATAGTGAAACCGAAAACTATACGACTGGATGTGGATGATCTTTACTCAAGTGAAATCTATAGGACTATCACTGATAATGAGGTTGTTCTATCGAAGGCCTTCAATTTATTTTCAAAATATCAAGTTGCATTTTTCTTTCTTGATTATTTGTAGAGTACTGGCTTCTTTGAGTCAAATTTATTTTACTTGTCACAGGTGATCGGTGTACCGATTATTGTGCAGTTTGGTCAATCGCTTGATTCCAATCTACATTTCGAAGGTTGCATTGGTGATGCAACATACAACGGTCAATTACTCGATTTTGCTGAGGTGAGCTTTTTGAGAATACAAAATGCACTGTCATCAGTTATAAAACGGAAAGAATAAAAAGAATTATGCCATTCAATTTCATCCTTTGGTAGAGACTCGAACTTTCTGTGTAATTTTAAGATTCTTCATACAGTTTTCTTTTATAATAACAATTATTGCAGGCATCAACTAAAGGAGTAAGTCTAACAGGCTGTTCTTTTCCGGAAGATCTCTCGACGACAGATTTCCTTCCTGGACAAGCAACAACAAATGAACCTGTGCATGTCGTCATACCTGGGACCAACAATACTCAGCTATTGGTGACAGAAACTGCTGGAGAATTCACTGCAGAAAATGTTAATATTTCGAAGATCATAATCTTAAACAAAAGGCTCATTACTCATGTAAATAATGGATATTTGTGGATGACTATTTGAACATATGTTTATTTTTAGAGAATATCATCAGGAAAATTAAGAAGAATTGCTCGCAAGCCAAACGAATGCGCACTTCTGAGAAGATCGTTCGGAGAGAGACCAGACTCCAGTGGTATTCGATTTGGTTTGTCTCCTTCATCACGTCTTGAGTTTGATAAACCACCTGCTTCTTTTGATAAAAAGTAAGTCAAAATACCGTAAGGCAAACCAATTGTTGCCTGTTTACAAATAATTATCTGAGGATAGAAAAACAAAACTTATTCCGTTTTGTTTCCCTTCAAGTAAAACTGTGTGCTAATTCGGAAGTAATAACTATGGATGTAATGATTTTTCAAATGCAAACTGATTAGATTCAAAGGTTCTGTATCCATCCCTATTGCTTTTAAAAATGAATGCCAATTTACAGCAGTCTCTTCTCGGTACAATTGCGTGCTACAGCATCAAATGGAATAATTATGTTCACGACAAATTATAAGCATACTGATTACTTAGCTTTATATGTCGTCAATGGCATTGTCCATTTCGCTTATAATTCGGGATCAGGACAAGTAATGAATATTTTTGCATCATTATCTATTCTACAAATTTTAACTGACTTCATTTTTTGCTAGCGAATAAAAGTTGTTACAATTTTATTGTGTTTAGGCTATTCTAAAATCAAATAGAACTGTGATGGATGATGAGTGGCACAGTATAAGAGCGGAGCGCGAAGGCCTTGCGGGAACGTTATATATCGACTCCGTAATGGAAGCAAATGGACAGTCTCCTCCTGGAACCGACGCAGTTGATACTCAACCACCTATCTATATTGGTGGACTTCCACCAGATCTTGTACCTTTTGCATCCAGAATATTACCGGTATCCTTTTCTCTGAATTTAAGCAATGGTAAGAGAGCAGTAAAATTTTGTTCTAGTTTCAATGAAATTGTTGTTAGTTAGTGATACTTATTACAAGCTATTATGATAATTAAAGGGTGCTAAATCGGTTTTTGGTGGATGTTTGAGAGATTTCAAGCTTAACGAAATGAAGTTTGATGTACCACCAGCAGAGATTGGTACAGTGCCATGCAGTCAATACATCGAAGAAGGATTATATTTCGGAGAGAATGGTGGCTACGCTATATTAAACAAAAACCTGAAGGTATGGAATTTAGATGAATAGAAATATAAATTATAATGAAGAATCATTTTATGACATTTGAGTACATTCATTATAGTGTCGTAAAATAAACTTGAAGGTGCTGCATTATGGCAAAGACGATTTATCGATGTGTAAGATAGCATATGGTTAAAGTATGCAACGCTGCAATTAATAGATAATAGTTGACATAGTGATAGTGAACTATCAAAACCAAAATATCCTAAACGCCTTGCGCGCTGGCTTCAATAAATCTGAACAATAAAAAATGGTATATTACGACAGGCCAGTATTTTTTAGGTTGGGTCATCGTTCAATATTGAGTTAGAAGTGCGACCGCGAATAAAAACTGCTGTTTTGTTGTCGGTTGGTATTCTGGAATATTTAACACTTCAGTTCATCAATGGCACTGTTAAATTTACAGTGGATAATGGTGCAGGTCCGGAGACGGTCACACACGTACCAAGCATGACCAATGCTCTGTGCGACGGGCACTGGCATCACATAAAGGTTGGTAATACCTTAGATTAAGAGGAAGAACCGTTTCTACATTCATTCTGTTATCGAAAATAGGAGAAACAAGATATCATTCTACTGATAATTGGAACGCTAAATAGACCATTCCGTCTATCAGAGTAAGAACTGTTCCGCAAATGTGATAAATTGTTCAATTATTTATATTCAGCTTTACAAAACGAAGAATTTGATGACTTTGACTGTCGATGGAAGAAGTAATTTAAGCATAATGAAGAAAGGAAAAAAAACGGACACAAATACGAAGGATCCACTATATTTGGGCGGCGTTTTAAAAGGCACCAGATCGAGAGGCCTAGAAACAACAGGTAGTTTTAGATAGAATTTATTATGAACGCCTTTTCATATACCATAACATCATTTTTAGAGGGATTTCTGGGCTGTGTTCGTGTTTTGAATGTGGGAAAGAAACCGCGGAAACGAAAAAACGTTGACTTATCACAAGTGTCTAAATTTGGTGATATTACGAATTCTTGTCCAGTTAATTAAAACGAAATCAGTAATGCTTTAATGTTTAACTCTGCATTTTCAAGTAAAATTACATCCATTACATCTAATGTTTCATTTGGACATAAAATGTCGCCAAATCTGGTGCACGGAATATAAAAGAAAATATCAAAAACGAGAAAGCTGTGAGATGAAAATTTCTTGAAACCTAGGAAACTATGGTTGGTTGTATGCTTAATGAATAATGATCACCATTTACTAACTACACCAAAAATAAATATACCTAAATCACCGACACTGTTTATAAAATCTACTTAACAATAAATTATTCATTTCTTCGTATAAAATTTGTACTATTAATAAAGCAATATCTTTTAGTGTCTTGACAACTTTTTTTAGGAAAATGACCTTCTATATTCTGTGCAAGTAATGCAAAAGTAAGCGTAGCGCTGCCACTTGAGTGTTACATTTAATTCCCTAAATGATGGGTTGAAAAAGCTAGCATTTTTGACTTAACAATTTGCATCAGGAATATATTTAAAGTAAAAACAGTGGTACAAAAAACAAAACAGTGAAACAGTGAAAGCACATAAAAACATAAAACATAAAAAACATAAAAAGTGAAAAACATAAAAACAGTGAACAGTGGTACAAACTGAGGTCACTTGAAAGAACAATTACAACAAAAAAATTAATTTATCATATTTCTTTTAATTGGGACTACTCACACTTACAGTTTAGTTGTACAACTGAAACGCAAGCACGGAATTCCAAAAGAAATCGAGAAGGTGCTTTATACAGCTTGCAGAGAAGAGATGGAGCTGATCTATGATACTGGTTAACCGGCTGGTCTAGCAAGCATTCATCTATTTGCCCTTATGAAAACTTCTACATGCCATAAAAGCTCTTAGCATGAAACTTCGGTGCACTTTAAAAATCACTGATGTCTGATTCTGAAGGTAATTATTATTTTCAAAAATATGATAGAACTACTAACATAGTGAAACTGTTGAAAGGAATAACTCTGAAACGATGCAGAGACAACAACCTCGCCTTTTATCAGAAGGGTATAAAAATAAGAAAACCTTTCGATTGAGCAAAATTACTAGAAATTCCAGAATTTATTATTTATTGAGATATTTCAGTTGGTGACTTTATCTGCTGAGTAGTATATCTCCGAGACACACAATAGATTCACAGTTAATGAACACGGAAGGACATAAATTAATCCCGTAGGCTGTGAGAGAAGGAAAACAATATTATATACTGGTAAGGACAAAACATTCATTTTCCATTTCTTTTTGCGAAATGTAATGAAATATGAGTTTTAGTATTGCATATCCATACAAATGAACCTGATGGACCTTTCGATATTGTTATATAGGCCATTGTTCGATCTCCTGCGAATAAACTTCTCTTAATTCAAAACCTATTTGCACTTTAATTTCATTTCTCGCGTTTCTCTGCAATTTTTGTACCAGTATTTCTTTCAGTCATTAATAATCTTCGTTTATTACAGAGTATTGATCCGTGAAACGAAATAATTCATTGCAACTGGTATTATTAAGTGAATCACAATTTGCATAACATTCAAATTTAAGGAATTTAGCATCAACAGACAGAAATACTTTCATAAATGAATAAGAGAAATGAGCTGCTGCTGTCCTCTAATCACCCTGACGAATAATATCGAACCTCTGAAAAATCGTGCTTCTCAAGTAAAATGGGAAAAAGCGGAATTAGAAAAACGACTTAATCGAAAGGACGGCCAGTTCATCGGAATCAAATATGATCGTGCACAGGGATATTTTATGGCAGTTTGCTAATGATTTGTGAGCAATTTGCCCATTTTCTCCACTTACGAATACCGTTCTTCCAAAATTATTATTAGATGATTTTTCATTAGAAACCGACCACATTAGGCTTTGTTGTTTTCATGTGGCTTTTGTCACTTATAAAATAATCGTCATTAAAGCGAACAAGTGATCAAAAGTCATAGGCACTATTAATAATTTAGCCATTTAATCATTAACGGAACACTTCATTAAAGGTTGACAAAAATTTTTATTGGAAGCACAATATGAACAATCTGACTCGCGGCGATTCCCGGATTTCCATGACTGCGGCTCATTCGTTAATTGGGTCAAGTGTTTTCATAGATCCAATAATTACTGGTACAATAACATCAAAACTACGCATATCTAGACGGAAGAAATAACTAATTGTAATAAGGCCATTCGCTTTGATTGAAGTTGGCTGTAAACCAGTGGGTATCTGGAAATCAATGTGCCTTGTTTCTGGACCTGTACCTGATGTCATTTTACATGTCCCCTGAAACACCACGAAATACAGAATTATTTCTACAGATTAGCTCAGGTTTATCATGAAAGATAAGCTTTTTGGAAATATTTGATAAATGTATTCGTTCAGAAGTGTGAAGTAGCATTACCATGGATTCGACAGCAATTGTTAATGATTTTCTATCAAACAAATGAAGTTCATAACGATTCTGCGATAAAAAATCAAGCTGTTGACATAATGAGAGCAGCACGCAATCATTTCGACTTTTTCGCGATTTCCTTCGCTTCCTTTTAGCACCATCATCAATTACCAATGTAATTTTCGCTGTTTCCCCTGAATTTTTTTAACCATTAACATGAAATATTTTAATATTTTTCTACATGAAAACAAGTTTAAATTTTTTAATATCCAAAACTTAAGCGATAATAATTTAAATACAATTTAAATAAACTTTAAATTCATCAATTCAACGAGAAGGATTTGATGCAAGATCACGCCAGTTTACGATAAGTTTACAAGAAATTATTACAGTCTTAAATACAGTTCTACCGGGTAGAAGCCCCATGTCCGAAATAGTTAACTGAGCAGATTCAACGCCGACTTTACGATTACAGCAACATCCGCGTACTTCGTTTTCTTCCTCACTCGTGACCGGTTGTCGCATGTATGGTGCGTCAAGATTGAGGAAAGAGAACACGGTGAAGTTATGCTCTGAAGTGTTCCGTTGAAACTATTTATGTCTTAAAACTGTATTTTCCATATTGTTTTTATTAAAAATAGTTCATTTATGAAGCATGCCATGGAATTTACTTTCTCCTTTCACAAGTCAAACGACTATTTTCTTGCAAAACAAACCTCTTCTGTCCTAACTATTGATGTAATTTAGATATTAAGTTAAACAACTCGAAATTCAAAAATAAAAAATACCAGCAAAAATCTCTCTAGCATCCTCATCAAGCACATCGAGAGTTGCTGAACACGTATAACGAACCCAACCATAATTTTCTTTTTCAATCGATGATATCACATCCAGTGGCAGCTAAAATTTAAAACGCTTACACGATGCAAGTGTTGTTTGAAGTCAATATATGATATCTCTGATTTCACAAATTTTTTCATTATCATTTACATTTTAAGACTTTTTTTAACTCGTTCCAAACATTAAATTTGTTAAATCAATTTAAATTCATTTCTAGATACTGAATTGCCGCTACAAACTGTTCAATCATCATTTCATATATGTATATATAAATGTGCATACCATAACCAAAACAGAAAAGAGCATGCTTACTTGAATATGAAAGTATATTTGGTGAAGGCCTTCTTCCAAATTAAAATTTTCATCGCAAAAATCAGTGAGCATTCTGCAAATTGTTCCAGTCTACATCATACTAAATTACATGTGCACTTTTCTACACAAACAAGTAAGATAAATGTGACGGTTAGGCTTATAATAATTTGAACATCCGGTTTTAATCGACGGTCATTCCACTCCATCTTTTCTGTTTGCGAAAAGATATTGGGATTCGATTCCACAAGTTCTTTAATAGCTGTTGAAGATTGTTACCAATAATTTCAACAGTCAAAGTAAATTTGCATCACAAAATAAATATATATTTAGCCAGTTAGTTAAAATTCTAAAGCAAACCTTGTCAAATCGATATACTCATTGAGCACTTGCTCGTTACTTTCATACAGAACTTCGCTATTCTTATTTTTCCAGCCGGTCTGTGCTTGTCCAATCAATTTTACAATCAATCGCCCTACTTTAACTTTTTCCAAGACACTTATTTGAACATGCCCCTGTAATCCATCTTTTTGATACTTCTGCCACTTTTTTGAATTCCACGAATTATGGACTCCCTCATCAAATTTGTTTTAATTTATTTTCATTACAATGAGAACATGAAATTCTTGAAAACTGTTACAGCCAAACATGAAAATCAAATGGAAATATAACTAATGAAAACAGTGAGAGCGGACCTGAACGGCTTCACCACCGGTGTAGGGCTTCTCGGATTGCTTGCTAAGTAGAACATCAAAATGTTCGATTTTCATGATATATCATCCATTGAACGCTCCCTAGTCCCAAAAACATTCCACTACTTATATGCCTAGTTTCCTCGAAACTCCCTACCCTCCTCTTTATAATACCTATTTTTTCTGAAAATAAATTCAATCTTTATTATGAAAACATAGTAATGTGTTTTTCGAAAAGGAAGGATATAGGCATGTAAATCTATCGACAACAATCAGCGCAAAATGAAAATGCCATCGTCAGTAATTCGATTCATTTATAAAGAAAAGTAAACATGTAAGTGACTGAGTACTTTGTCAATCTGCATTTATTTGGCTATAACATTTGCAAGCAGCTCGTTTTTTAAAATATAAAATATTATGCCACGTGTTACTTAATCGGTGTGCTGAAATAATTCGCTAACGGCTAATTTCCCACTTAACTATGGTATTCAATGGTCACCGTTGAAACTACTTCATACCGTAAACATGTTGAATATATTCAAGAAAAAAGATGATACCGACACTTGCAGAAATTTTAGATCAATCTCAAAATGCAAAAGCATAAGCTTGATTGTGCTCTAATCACATATTTTTAAACCTCAAAATGGTTACAAACTGGCAAGGAATGAAAACATCATATTGACTTGTGATGCATCTTTTATTATACCAAATGTTAAGAATTGAGCAATTTGTATTTCTTAAATAACATTTTGAAACTAAAGAGTATCTGTTGCAAGCATAATGATTTCTAGATTTCAAATATATCCTAGGGATAAAAATAATTCAAGGAAAAAATTTGTCCCGAAGGAAATATTGAACTTGATTTGAAACGTGATGTTCTATAATGCGTTTCAACAGAGCTGCTTCAAGCCTTCAAGCCAAAGAAGTCACTCTAGATAAATGAGATAGGGCCAATTTATTGAAAACAATTTTCTCGATATATTTTGATTATGGAACAAAATTAGAAAGTAAATAGCAAGCAAAATCGTCACAGTGTTCCTTGACCAATCAATTCATTCTATTCCCTCCCTACAGATTACTTCAAGAAATCATGAAGATATTTATCCATCTCATTAATATAATAGCAAGATCAAAATTATTCAAAATGTTAACTAATTAGAGATCTGCGAATTGAGAACCAAAAGGGCAGTGTAATCGATGACAGCTCTTTTTGCCTTTTTTTGAGTGTTCAACACTGCAAACACAAAAGATTCAAGGATCAAAATACTCTCACCGACAATCTTTCTCTTCTTATTCCATTATAGAGAGCAAAGGTATCATTTCGAATTTCAAAATTTGATGGAGGAAGGATCATAAAATGCTTCCGTTTTAATAATAAAATGAAAAGTGATAAAATGGAGTTTATTCCTGAAGATCAAAGATAGCAATAATTGAAAGATGAATAAAGAGGAAATTGAAATAATTGCAATATTACAAATAGAGGCAGTGTTAAATGAGAAAAGATGAAGTGTCAAACAGCGAGATGAAAGGCTGTGTTAGGATGAGGGACAAGCATACCGACGTCATATTGAATCTTTTATTGGTTTTTAATTAACCCTTACCTTGCATCGCTGAGAGTCCTTCATCCACTTCAGTCATTCATTTCAAAGCACAACGCTCTCTTTTGCCCATACCTTTCAACCCCTTATCACTCTTTTGCCTTTTTCATACACTATGGATTCAATCATTCCTCTTGTCGTTGCTTCTAAAATGGAATCTTCATAGTCAGAAAAGAAATTATAAGGGTCTCAGGTCTTTCTTTAAGTATAATTTTGGCAGCTGGATAAATTCTTCTGCAGTGGCAATTCACTGAAAACAAAACAATATATTCAAATGATACTGGTACAATCTTTTTCAATATATTAATCATTTAACAATAACTTCGTTTCATCAAATCGAAGAACCTCGTCAAAATGATTCTCCAATCAACGATCACATGCCAAGTAGAATATTGTGAGAAATTGACAAATTAATTTTGTATGACTATGACTTACATGCCAAATACCACAACTTATATTTTCGTTGCGCATTCTAACAGCAATAAAACCAGCCAGAGTATACAGTTTCACAGTTAAGAATTAACCCTTCTAAGAGATTTAACAATGTCAGAATTTAACGATTAATTTTAATTCCTCGATCCATTAAACTGCTAATGGTTATTTCACATATCAGCAAAATATAACTTAAATGTAAACAGTATTCTTAATTATCTGACTCGAAAAGCTTGAACAAAAATATTTATTAGTGACATATGCACATTTCTTTTTGATTTTTTTTTCGATTTAAGAAATAGGTAAGACACAAACACAAAACTTAATTTTTTAAATGCACTGAAGTCTATTAACTAACTATAAAATCTTGCATATATAACTTGTGGAATGCAGAAATGACAACAACATTAAGCAATATTGAAACTAGAGATTATATATATTCTAAGATTCTCGAACAGTCAGAAGGATTACTAAAATAACTCACTAATGACAACCTTCAGATGCTAACGGTAACTCTAAAAGATAATATAACTGAGATTTGTTGTATTACTTCTAATTTTAAGTAATAATATGTACCACTCCCAGTAAGAAGTAATCCTAGAGTTCGATTTTGGAAAGTAGATAATCGTTACAAATAGTGATAAAAAAAGTTAAATAATTAAAGATTTATGTTTTCGGCTTTAGTATTTTCGTAAAATTTATAGGTTTAAAAGAATTGCTACGGAGCAAAATGTCTGCGAGAAAATGTTTTGATGAAATAAAAGTGAAAATGAGAGGAAGGATTGGTAGGACAAGACAAGTTTAATTTGATAACATTTGGATGATATGACATGATGAGGAAAGAAATTGTAGATATGAGTAAAGTGATGATGTGTACCGCATGAAGAAATCAAGCTTAAGCCTGATTCATGCTGCTCCTCCTACTACTCTTCTTAATGCATTTTTCAAAGAACATTCCATCCTCACTTTGCAAATGACAGCTGCTAACATTATACATACTCTTTCAAATATTTTAGCAATACTTTCAGCGCAACCTGACTGCGCAGTTATTTCAATATCTTCATGAAATAGCTATTAATTGACCTACTGCGCAATCCTTTATTCTCTTGAATCTTGGGTAATTTCGTCATTTAATGACTAAACTGTTTAAACCATTTAAAGATGGTCATAGGCTAATATTTAATTTCTACGACATCTTTTAGGCATTGAAATGGTATAAAACAAGTATACAGAGAGGTACAAGTCATTTTTATTTCAAAATATTAATATACTCTGGAAAATCCTTCCTTTCATGATGGTGTTTTGGAGATGGCAGCAAAGTAGTTAGCGCCAAAGAAAAGCCAAGCCAGACAAAACAAGTCAGTCATACATAAAGATGCGTAAAGTTTATGTCCCTAAGAGGATATGGTAATCCTCAGATCACTGAACACAACAGTAAATCTGGAGGAGATTTCTTCATTATTTACCTGAGGAATCATTCTATCAGAAATAAAAAGTCATAAAAACACGAAAAAGCGCAATGGAAATAGCAAAGTTTTTGAATTTCTACTCTATTTGTGGCTCAAATTTCTATGACAATGAAGTGAAATTCTTAACATATTCATTAGAAAATTTCCTGGTAACAAAAATTAAAAAAATAACAAGCAAAATAGTGGGAAAAACAAGGTTCGAGGGCACTGGAATAATAATTCGTATATGGTGCCCAGCAGGCCAAAGCATAATATGGGAGAAAACTAGGATAACTTGTCAAATATGCAAACATATTTCAGATGCATCATCTCCAGAAGTTCTACATTCAAAAACTATCTTTATTATCACTCTAATCATATCCATCATGCCTTTTACCAAACGACGAAATCTTTTCAAATAAATTGTTGAGATGATAAAATAATGTGATACTTCTGGAATAATATTAATATTCTAATGTGCCCAGAGAACGGCGAAATGGGAAAATATGAAGTTCAAAAGTTACATTTTTCGAATATCTTACCAAAAATTTCATGTTTAATATGCATGAATAATTCCTTTTGAAGTTTATGCTGTCAAGAAACAGAATGATGTAATATGGTTAATGGCCGAAGAGATTCTGAATCTTTTCCAATAAATTTCTCATTTATAATTCAAAGATCTTTTTTTTTTGATGTAACATTTTCTATCTATAATAATCAGTTCACATACAAAAATTACGATACAAAGAAGGCACAAATTCGTCTTAATACTTCCTGCTAATTGAGTTTTCATATTCACTCGATTTAATCTTCTAGTTTTAAAGTAAAGTCTAACAAATATTAGCCACAAACAAGATGATGACATTATTTTCCAAAAACTTACGTATATATCATATTTATCTTCTGACTGCTGCTATTGCTAAATTAATGCTGTAGCTTGAAAATACTTTAATTTGAAAATTTCCATTTCCTAATTATGTGTTGACTAGTGTCCTAATTTTTTTTGCTCTAAAGACAAAAGATGTTCCAAGAGTTTTAATTCTGAATCTTCCAGAGCTATTATACTATCTTCAAAAAATCAATCATTTTTCACAAAAAATTCTCTAGTTTCACTTCTTATCTAATAAGAAGTTCTTATTAAAGACTGGAATCCTTGCAGATGTGGGGCTCATTCAATTTCCTACACAAACGAATTTAATTTTATTCAAATGAAAACTAATAAATTTTCTTCTGAAATCATGTATAAGCAAACAGTGGCGAATTTCGCTAAAATCGTTTAATTTTATTACATCATAAATTGACTTACTTTTGAAAGAGAATAATAAAACTGCTTAAATTAAGAACTTCGTTTGTCAAAGTAAAATTCAAGTGGGAGTAAATGGAAAAACGCAATTAAACCACAATGTGTAGCACTTTATTTTAGGAATTCGTAAGGAAGACCTAAAAAGTAGTAACTGTAGAGATTTCAGCGGTGTTATTCTCAGTTTTATATTTTTCTTTAGACCTAAAGTTGAGGAGTCTCATTTCAGGTCACAAGGTTAACTTATATAGAATATCGAGTAGATATGAAGACAGAAATGATCGTAGAGGAAAATTGAATGGGGACACATATAAGAGAGGAATGGATATAGCCGATAAAAAAAGATGACAAAAGAAGTGATAAACTACGCTGCTAACGATGGCTTTAGTGATTGAATGATGCCCGCAGAAAAAAGGGACAGGAAATAGAAGCAAGAGGATATATCCATAGATAAAAGTGATAGATGCTTGTTGAAGGGAAAAAGTAAAAAATAAAATGGGAAGGAAGAAGAAAGCGGGGAGTTGAGGGTGCACTTAGTAAAGTGATCCTTTGCTATGGGGTCTAGGTCGTTGTCTTCCTTCCTTCCAAACAATCGCAAGAAAGCCTCGCTCCCATGGGGCTTCCCGGTCAGTCTTTCTTATGCAAACTTTATAAGACAACTTTTCAACTGCCATTAAAATGCAATTGGCAATTTATAAGTTATGTGCTAAAGTAAATCTTGCAGTGCATATTTAAGTATTAGAATGGTTAAAAAGTTTGCGTCTGTTCTGATGAATATTGCATTTCCATGATTTAACGTATCAGTTAATAATCAAATAGTTTGTTTTTTGAATGATTCCCATAGCAAATCAAAAGCCTTAGGCAATTTCAGATAGATCTACTTTGATAAAAGTATCTACGATGGTTAGTGTTTCAGCATTGTTAAGATTCGTTTTTTCAACTTTCTTTTCTCAACTCATGATTCAGCTGTCCTTTACAGCGACATATTTCCAACATTTAAAATGTATTTTCATTCTTTCTCATTTGCTTTTCTTTCTTTAATTGTTTTTGTCTAATGTCGTATCAACCCTTGCAAGAAATTGCAGTTTCGAATTTATATGAAGACTACTTTTCTGGAATAAATAATCCGTCACTAAAGTCCATTCTTATCTATAATTTGCAAATTGTTTAAACAGTGGCTTAGCATATCTGAGTAACACCGCTCTTCGAAAATGATCAAATTTCTTTCAAAAAGCTGGATGAATAAATAAACTATGAAAACGTACCATGAATTACAAGATGATAAATTAGGTTATGCGCGGAATTACGGATAACTTATAACAATAGATGAGTGAAGTGAATGAAAGCTAAGTTATGGAACATAGCGAAGGATGAAAACTTATAATGAAAAAATTTACAACTTCAGCTTAATTTTCATCAGTTGAAAAAATACTAAGGAAGATAGAATTCAGGAAAATCTTTCTTAAATTTAGAAAAATAATGCCTACAAAACCTGTACCAAAAATAAAAGAATCGTAAACGTGAAGAATATGAGCCATGTACGTGTCTCAGTAAGAACAACATTATTGCACTGTAGCCCTATCAGAGTTTCTCATTACCGTTGTGAGTGGCAATTACATCTTGCATCGTCATCGTTCTGATATACATTTATGCGTGTGTGTGTGTTTGGATATCTGTCTGTCTTTGTTTGTGTTTGTGTGTTGTATGTATATGTAAGTATATATATAATTGCGTATGGAATGAAATAATTGAAATAGAGTGAGAGAGCTGGGAGAGGTTATGTTTTATTTGTTGTGAAAGGTTTTCTATTGTGAATTCGCCGATTTGTGCTAATGACGGACTTTTCTTTTTTTCGCTCAAGCAATCATTCTGTTAGTTTCGACAGATTTAGCACATAGCAGTGAGGCCATGTCGGATCTGTTGAGTGGCATTGCGAGTTTTACAAAAATAGTAGCCGATTCGTTCAACACATATGAAATCAGGAAACTTGGTAACAAAGTGTAAGCGATCCTATTGATTTTCAAAAGTTACTGCCTGTAACTGTGAGTTCAGTTCAATTCAGTCGGTCATTTCATCAGTTTTAAGCATAATATACCATATATGTTATTATCACTATAGTTCGTTTATCATTGATTGGTTTCTCATACATAATTCATGTTCGAAATGTTCAATATTAGTCTTTTTTAAAGGCTGGAAGCTTATATTTGGTAACCGTCACTGAATGACGTCATTTTATCTTAACATGAGACACATTTTTTTGTAATTTGGGTTAAATTTTGTGGAATTTCGAACTCTTCGGATGAAAATTGTCAAGTTTATAAAGGACATAGAAATAGTAATAGGGTTTTCTTTCAGAAAAATTGGTGGGTTATTCTGTAATTTTTTAGGCAGGGAATGGTAATGAACTATACAGAAGCAGAAAGTAAGGTCCGAGAAGCAACGAACGAAGACCCATGGGGACCGACAGGACCTCAAATGGCTGAAATCGCGCATATGACATATCAGTATGATGCATTTCCCGAAGTGATGAGCATGCTCTGGAAACGGATGCTACAAGACAATAAAAATGCTTGGAGACGAGTATATAAGGTAAGAACATTTTGTGATACGTCATATGCGCAGAGAGTGTTTTCTAAAACACGAGTTCAGATATTGGTATCTGCCGGTAAAATTCATTCAAGAATCCGATAACTATGTTTCAGAATCTGACCATTTGAACTCAGTGTTTTAGAAAATAAAACATTGTTCTTTTCGCTGTTATTTTTGGTCAAATTCCTAGCTATTTTTGGTATTTTATTGCTTTATATGATATAGTTTATGATGCTTTTCTACAATTTCTATAGTATTATACTTGGTCTTCTTTCAGTCATTGACACTTTTGCACTACTTGTTAAAAAATGGCAGTGAACGAGTAGTGAGCAACGCGCGTGATCATCTGTTCGAGATGCGTACGCTGGAGTCTTACAAATTTACTGATGAAAAGGGAAAGGATCAGGGACTTAATGGTCTGATTCAGTTTATTTTTCCAATGACTCTTTGATTTCGAAGAAACTATAACTTCGATTTTTATTTTAACAAACTAAGTGTTATATGTCCCGAGTATGAAAGAAAATTAAAATACATTCGCCGTTGTTTTTGACAAACTCTTCAAACGCTTTTTCAAAATGTTTTGGTATCACTGATTTAGGAATATGTGAATATTTTCGCAAATGTAAGTTTTCATAGTAGGTAGTGAGGATAGGTTTGTTGAACTAGTTCGATTTACTTGAATTATGAGCTTTTTAATGTGGAATGAAATCTAGATTGCAATTTTTATGAATCACTTTTTGTTTACAGTACGACATCGGGTTAGCGTTTTGTTTGAATTGATTCAAGATGATGAACAATTAAAGGCAGAGCGAAAAAGAGCAAAATTAGAAGGCAAGGAAAAATACAAGGGCTATTCAAAAGACGATATGCGTTTGGGTGGACAAACTACCTTCAGTTAGTTATCTAACCTTTTTCGTATTTTTAGGCATGATACTTATCAAGATATGAATATTTTTATTAGTTTTAAAAAAACCAACTCTGCAGTTGGTATCAATTTTCTCATCACATAGAATTAGTGCTGCCTTTTACATACAAATATTAAGTATATGATTTTGTGGCATTATGAGAAGTTTCAGCCTTAGAATAGTCAAAATTATTCATTTGTTATTTACTGCAGTGTAATCAGTTGAAAATAATCAATTGCTGAAGAACTTTTGAATGAGCTTTGAATATATAGGTGCAATTTGAACTTATAGTGACTGTTAAAGAGGTCACTCGCGATTAGAAATCTACAGCATTGTGTACTGACAAAATCAAGATACTAAAAAAGATCAGACATTTGAATGATTTGTTGAAATGTTGAGTGAAGTAATATGTTAATTTTTTGGAATAAATACAATATATTGAAAGCTCATCCAACAGCTCTTCAGCACTTGTAGAAAATGACGTTAAAATATTTCAGTGTGGTGAGATTGAACCTTTTATGCCGTCTTTTGAGGAATGAAGCTTTGGATAGAATTTAATTTGATTGCTGTTTAAAGTAGAAACGCTGTTACTTTTTCCTGTTTTAGGTAGTAACAATACAGGAAATTCTGGTAACTGGAGAAATAGCAGTAATTTTTCGAAGAGGCGAAATTCATGCGATGAAGATGGAAGGTTGATTCTTTTTCTATTGGCACCTTATTTTTTCGGTGAATATTGCTACTATGTGTCATTCATCCGGTAACATTTTGGTTATTTTAGAGATTGTTATCGTCATCGTGAAGTAAACTCTTTCCAGTTCCCAGATGAAGAGATTAGCCACGGTGGGGGTGATAGTCCAGAACTCGGCATACGAGAGGTTGGTTAGAAATAGGCTTTACAGTTATCTTTGATTTATTAAAGCGATCGAATTATTAGCGCTTCCGTACAATTTCATATTTTTCTTTTGCTTGTTTACCAGTCACTTTACTTGCAGCACACACCAGAACCGTTTGGCCAAGAAATTGAAGATGATGAAGAATTCGGTGATTTTGCCCTGGCTCGTAATCTTCAGTCTCAGTTTCAAAAAGTTCCTACACCGTCGTTAGTAACAACACAGTCACAACCCATTCATAAGTCCTATCAACTACATATCATCGATGTTCCGACTCCTGCTGTCGTACCTCCTCCTCCTCCTCCTCCTCCTCCACCACCTCCTCCTGCTGGTTCGAGTGTAATAGCTACTACGACAGTAAAACATTCCGATAGTGGCATTTCTCTACAAAATAAACCACTCAACGGTTCATAACATATTTCAAATATTAGACTATCTTGTTTTATTTTTATGTGCTGATTTCCGAAAACTTGTGTAACGTTTACGTGCACCTTCGAGATACTATGTTTTCTCCTCGGTAGACTTTTCGATTCCCGCATCCTGATAGTTGGGTTTTTTGATATTCTTTTATTTTGCATAGTGGCCACTTTATGCATGACAAGTAAATATGTATATATAATTTCTTTATGTAGTAGTGAAAGGCCTCCTCTCTCTGCCTCTTTAGTCTGTTGTTCAATATAAAATTTCGTAGATGCAGAATGGACTGATCGGTAATGATCGGTAAACTAAAATTGATGCCGCGGAACAGGAAAATTAGAGAAATTGTCAAAATCTAGAAATGGATGCAATCAGTTTAATCTACTGTTGTGTAGTTTTCACTTCGAGTTTTTCGAAATCTGATGTGGTTTTCACAGTTACGTCTTAGTTTTTTGTTAAATGTTTCTGTATTTGTCAGTATGTCTTGTCCGCATATCTCAGGTGATTTATTCGCTACAGTGTACTGTTTCTTTTTTTTAATCCGTTTGTTGCCACTAGCTGAAGCTGACTTTTAAAGTAGAAACGCCTTAAATATGTGGAAAGAATTTGATATGCATCAAATAGTCGTTGAACATTAAAACTAATGTGTGATGAATAGCTAAAAGGAATAATACAAATAACGTTGACACTAACTTATATTTTTCAAGATACCGACATCTACTTAAATTCATTATAAGCTTTTTTCAGATCTGCTTGGATTAGATGAATTCAGTGGTAATGGAAATGCGAATAATTCCGTAACTTCATTTTTCAATGATAGTTCGAAAACATCCACTTTGCAGCCTTCCTCGTTCATGAAAGCTGTAAACCAGTTGGCTAGTGATCAACAATCCACTTCGCCATTACGCTTTGGCAGTTTATCTCCTGAGTATGTTAATCTTATGTACTTTTACTTTAATGTGTCTTTTTTCTGTGATATTTGGTGACTTGTATTATGGTACTAGTCGTTTGCTGAGCTTATTGTTTAGTTTATATTTTTGAGAATAAAATTTGACGAGATATATTTTGGTTATACGCTCATCACAAATTCGTGTTGACAAGTATTCTGAGGTTTTTTAACTTAGGGAATTATATTATCATGCTTTTTTTAAGTGTTTTGTCCTCTAATTTAATACTTTATTCTAGATCAGTATCAGATGCTGTACTTCCAAATCCAGATCAACAACATGTATCTGCCGCTGCACCATCTGTTTCATTTTCAGATTACGTTGCTTTATCCCCAGCTGCAGTACCTTCACAGGCAGCATTTTCATTTCCATTGGGTGGCAGTGCTACCCTTTTTTCAGGTTGGGGTGACATGTCTACAAATCATGTACCTTCTGCTGATACTACTATGCAATCATCGCGTCACAGTACCGTTCTTTTGACTACAGCAACTCCATTAGTACGTTAAATTGTTGCTTTGAGCTGCTGAAAGTTGAATAGTAAAAAAATAAAAACTCATTCGGACTTTCCAAATTGTAGTTTGTAAAGGAAGAACTATTATGTATTGCGAAACGTGTAAATGCACGACCATAAGTTTGACAACTTTCTTTGACTTCCTGGAAATTAAGATGCTGGCAGTGAATTTATTAAAGAGCTTATAATTATCGGCCTACTACGACTTTTTACATTTATTTTCATGCAAAAATGAAAGGCTGCGACGGTCTTAATCTTAATTAAAGCTTTCATAGATTGTGTAGGATGTTTTCATCTTTTATTATTTTATATATTCATGAAGGGATGCTGTTCCAGTAATATTAGGATATTATCAATGTAAATCATTCTTATATACGGTCATTCTTATATACTTTTGATCATTAATTTTCATCTACAGATGCCAGTGCCTACGTACTCCGTTTCCGTTATTCCGTCACATGTAAATGTACCATCTCCACAAATTGACCAGGTTTCGAAATCAACTGTGGTTAGTCTCATAAAGTATTTAAAGATGAAATTTGCTATTTTTCTGTTTTTGTGCATTTGACCAAATCTCGCTAATTATGAAATTATGTTGTTTGTATGTTATCTTTTTGAAATATTGTGAACCAAAATTATATTTGCAGAAAATTCCATCGACGTGGGCAGATGCATCAAACAAAGTGAATATTGATTTGGATGATCTGGGTATGAAAAAGAAACCGCAGAAGCATTCTGTACCGATGAACCAAATGACTCCTATAATGTCTATACCAGCAACAGGTATGTCTTCAATGTAGATAATTTATGCGAAATAATGGTAATGCTTTTTTTGTTCAGGCTGCATGTATCAGTTTTTTATAATTTCATGGGAAAAGAAGGCATTTGGTTTGGGAAATTGAGTTTCAGACAGAAACATACTGGCGAAGTCGATTGTTTTCACCGATGCACCTCAGCAGCGACTGTCTTCGGATGACATGTTAGATTTACTAAGATGAGACTGAGCGTAAATATGTCAGTTAGTGAAAATGGTGAACGAACAGTTGCTCGTTGTAAGACTATTTCCTTAAAAAACTTTATTCTTTGCTAGGCGATTTCCTTAAAAAACTATGTTGTGCCCCAGTAACTATTTTTTTTATTATGGCTTTTATAATTTTGACTTCTGACTTTGACATCTATGCCAGCAGTAGCAACCTTTTTCACTTATTCAGTACTGTAAATTAATGTTTAGAAAGCGTTTGGATCGTTGTATATTATATTATGATTTACGTATAAGTTTTCAAATGAAAAAAATTTTTCTTTGGACACATTCAGTTAATGTTTAACGTGTTTTTACTGCCTTCAAAACACAAATTATTAGTTCCTTCTCAAGAACAAGAACAAAACTGATATAAGATTGTGAAAGGGCCGTATGAAATACCGCTCAAAATTACTTGGGTCATTCTTTTGCACTCAAAAAATTTGTTGAAAATGACAACATTGTCGGAAATTGTAGTGCAGCAAAAGTAGCATGTGGACAGAAATAATGGTTAGAAATGTGAATACATGCTATGTCACTGTCAAAAATGCTTTATTGTTTTTGTGATATATAGTCACATGAAGTGCTTTATTACTGAATCTGATGCGAATTATGGCATCATCTCCTTGTGATTTTTCACCGGTAAGCTCATTCAGTGACCTTCAATGTTGGAATGAAGGGGTGTATACTAGCCCATATCTTGTGTTTCAGAAAATTTCCGATTCAATAATGATTGCTGATGATTTAGTCAAAAGTATGGCGCAAATTTAATAGTGGGATATTTGTAAAAACCGGTACGTTCATCACTGCACACCTGTTCTGTTTAACCCATTTTTTTTATTAACTTTGATTTTATTAACTGTTCAATTTTTTTAGTTATTGCGTTGATTTTTTGTGGCCTTAATAATTTTTCTCTTTTTGATATTTTGATATAATTTGAATGGTAATGTTTCACATTATACATACTCATTTCTAGCTGGATGATGGGATATTGTTTCGGTAGTTTTGATTTTAGTGAGGTGACATAATTTTTTCTTTATTTGAGATTAGTAAGTATAGACTGATGCCGTTATGATTATCATATTGTGGCATATTATTTGTTTAAAACTTTATTCATGTTTCCTTAACGGCATAAATTTGAATGATAATGATTGGGAGTGTAAAATTTTTCATATCAGTTGACAGGGGACTTTGTATCATGCATTGTTTTTGTTTAATTATTTGCTTTGTATATGAAATGCTTAGTTTACCTTCTTTGGATCCATAAAAATGTTCATTAAGATTCCGGCGTATTTTACATCATATTCTTCGGTTTGTGTGACAATAACTTCAGGACTGTTGTTGTCACGTAAGATTCTCAGCTGATAAGACATTTTTGTTAATATTTTAAACGAATGAGTTTCGAAAATTTGATTCAATTTTGGCACGCATGTGAATAGTTTGAAAATTGCTTTATGCAGCTCATTATCGCATTCCGTGCGTGGCTTTACGTCCCGTCCCGTAGGACTGTAATTTTATTAAATTTTGTTAACTTAAAACTGATTATTGCACAATGAAATCTTCCTCTTCATTATATAATATTCACTCCGATAGATTCTTCAGTCGAGAGTCTTCAACTTACTAAGGGCGCTCTTTAAATGTTTAGCTGTAGTTTATTACGTGGGTTTTTAAAATTATCTGAAATTTCCCGAATTTTTACACCTTTTATTTAAAGCATGTCACGTATTTTGTGTATGTTTTTTCCCATAAAGTTTTTCGAGTGGAGAAATGAAAGAGTATAAGATACAGCGGTATCGTATTCACGGTGAGTGCACGTTTTCGAATTTCAATGATAGTAGCTAGCTCTACGATGCGTATTGTTTTTTTATCTTGTGATAAAAGAGTAAATGTTGCTAAATTACAGAAGATGGGATTCGATCTTATAATTGAATAATTTTACGTATACTTCAGAAGAATATAATCATGTGAACCTGGTATGGGAAAATTGCGGAGGGCAGAAGGAGAAAAAAAGATTTTTTTGATCGTATTCTAATGAGTTTCCCCGTGGATGTGGTGAAATAAATAGCTGTGGCATGCAGTAAGTTTGCATATCTTCCAGGACTGAAGTGGTTGCCGTGTTCTGGGAGTCATATTTTGAATAACATCGCGAGAATAAATTGCTTGGGATGAGAGCACACTTCTTAGCTAAGTCTTTCATTCTGGCAATCATAATGGTTATAATTAGTAGACATGGAGTGTCAGCATTTGAGAATGAAAACATCTGCTAAACTTTAATTTGCATAAGTAGGGAAGCAAACGATCGATATGTTTTGCACAAATCTTTGAGAATTCGACAATCCTACCTTAGTTTCTAACTTCTAATGAAAGCAAAGATGCTCTGAAAACATTTTATCTGACATCTAACATTTCCGAAAATCCTCATCTTTAGGCTTTTCAGTGTGACAAATTTATTCAATATTTATGATATTACTTTTTCCAGAATTCTTTGAAAATTCATTGATATATTAGTTATTATGACTAGTTCCACGCAACTTGCATTCGAGTCCGTGTTTATCCGGCATTGCTTATGTTATAAATATCTTCCAAATATGGATTTAAGTACCTTCCACATCTATAACCATATATTATATCCATATTTCTCACTTTTATAACTCATTCGGATTTACTGATTTGAAGAAAAAGAATTCAGTGTTACGCAGTAGTTGCACAGATTTGTATCAATAATTAAGATCTTTCACGATGCAAGCGATAAGTAAAAATCGAATCATTTACTTTCTTGTGGAGGTGATGTGCTTAGTGAATGATGTGTGTGTGTGTGTGTGTATGTGTGTGTGTGTGTGTGTGTGTATGCGCGCAAGACCTACAAATGATTAATCGAATTATAAAAAGTTCTGCTGAAATAACTCTTTCAGCTGCATTAGTAATGCTTGTTATGGCTTTTCTGCAAATTTTATTCCCTCATGTTTATTTTATTTTTGCTTTTTGTGACTGCAAATTTTCGAATTTATTTGTACTTATCAAATTATTGGAAATAGTGTTCCTGAGGGACTTCCTTTTATGAAAAGGTTATTAAAATTGGAAAATTTCATATTGATTGAATCGAGTTTGCATTTTCATACTTGTAAGGGGTAGTATAAACTGATTGACGTCAGCGTTACCCCGCTCGACAAGCATCCACAGAAGCATTTTTCTTAGGCGACACATATGCATGTATAAGGCAAAAGTGGGCGAAAAATTCATTGCCTTTAACGATTAAATAATTTTTGTCGTGCCTCTACGAAATCTTTTTTTGTACTTTTTTTTATTATCAAAAGGTAGGACCTCAAGAGAACTCATTTGGAAATGAATGGAATCAGATGAAATCTTACCAAAGAATGGTTTAGTATCAACAAGACATAACTATTATTTACCCGGTTAACGGTTAAATTATTTCTCATAATGTATCTCATGCGATGATTGATAATAAACCGCGAAGCACGACTGCTAAGTCACTTCAACCAATGCGTCTTCACTTTTCGATATCCATCTATACCTGTAAGTGGTTGTCGGATTTCAAATCTGGTGAATTAGCAAATCAACCATTTCTCTAACAAATGAGGAGTATGTAGAAAGGTGATGCAGCAATTCTTTTAATTTGCGAAAGATAACGTAAGCTTAACTTGACGTGAGTTGATGTACTTCTTCATCAAGTAGATATTACCAAAACTATCAAGTTCATAGAGGTTGGCGTTGTGACATGGTGAGCAGCAACAATGAGGTTGTGAGATTGTTCGTAATAAACTCGATTTAACTCTCAATATGAAATCTACTTATGCATCTGTAATGGAATTGGAGACATGAACACGAAAATTGAGTCCAAATCCGGTAATTTAAAACATCAGGGGTGATGGACACAACCAAACGATGTTGAAATCAGAGAAAAATATATAATGATAAGCGGTTCAAAGTGGAAATGGACTTGAACGCAGACATTAAGAATATCGCTTTTGGGAATCGTCCTTTCATATCCATTGTCAACCGTTACATTTACAAAATTTTTGCAATCATTATCCGAAAACTACACCTTTTTTGAACAAGAGAGGATGAATACCAAAACGCAATTCGCTTTTTTCAATTCATGTGGTGAAGAAGAATGGCATCTTCTATTTTTTTAGCTTCAAAAATTGGACCTGTTATGCCATTTTTAGAATCAATAAATCATGATTAGAATCTATTTCGCAAAAAATTTTTTTCACTTCTTAAGCAATTGTATGAGGTGTCTTTCTACTTGTGATATTCAATAAAAGCATCGTTTAATCGAGAAATCACCAATGCTCATTGCCTCTCGACAACCGAACTTTTTAGATCTCCTTTCCTTCTCAAAGGCTATTTGACTGATTATTATATTATTATTATTATTATTAATAATAATTATTATTATTATTATCATTATTATTATTATTATTAATTATAATTAATTATTATTATTAATTATAATTAATTATTATTAATTATTATCATTATATTAATTATTGTCAATTGTTGTTATAATATAATAAGCCTTACAGCAGAATTTATAACTGAATTTCACTGTGCTGCATTTCACTTGAATCACCGTAATTTAATATTTTAATACAATTCTTAGAAATCAGATCTCGATCATTTAGTTTATCCGACTCATATAATCATGCCATCATCTGAAAAGGCGAATGAAAAGTGGCGAAGCTAGTAATGATGAATAAAACACCTCGTAATTAGTTAATCATCGTTATGATGTTAATTCAGTTGTTTAATAAGTTGTGTACCAGGTGATTAATATGATGCGAAAATTTATTGACAATATGAAATTTGTAATTTAAAAAAAATTAAAAATTTTGCATTACGCTTTTAGCGTGTTTGTTCGCAGATGCAAAAAAAAGTAATATTGAATGTGTATTGCACATATCACCTATGGGTTTAACAGATTATGCTGTTTGTGCAATTTTGAATCCGATATTTTCCTATCCCTTCATATTTCCGGTTTTCCAAGAAAAGATTTTTTGGTGACACATGGTAAAAACTACTTCTTTGTTTTTATCTAAAAGTGATTGCTAAGGCGGTTGCCAAAATCAGTCAGCATAGCTACAATGTAGCACTGCACTATAGAATCGTTTTGTTTAAGTTTGATTTTCCTTTTTCTTAAATCACTCCGTACGTCTGAGAAGTTTACGTTTTATACGCTTTAAGTTTGAAAGAAAACGTTTGTTGAAAATATATAATATTTTCAACATGTGTATTTAGATCCTATGCTGATTCTAGACATTCATATGCTTCCGTATGAAATGATACACTTTATTTTGGCATGTTGTGATTAATCTTTTATTCCTTGTTCGCTTTTCTAATTTGATCTATACAATGATGAATGCTTTCCAATATATTCGATGTCAAACTTTTTACTATTTTTTATTACAGTAAACGAATCCGTTGGCGGTTTTATTTTTTAGATGGAATGAAAAGTTTATTACATTTTCAGTTCCATTCCTCGCAGATAATGCTTCATGTTACTGATTTTACAACGATTTATTTACTGACTTTGATCGCCTTAACAATGTGTACATCACGTCAACGAAATATTTTTGAAAGAAGTCACGTGAGTCACGGTGTTCGACAATGTTCAAAATGACTCACATTTTAGAGTATTTTCTGGCTTTCTCTTTGTTCTCTGACTGTACAATTTCTTAGCTTTTTCTTTAAAAATTAAAATATAATGATGATTTCAGATTGTGCAAACGAATATTCAAAAGGGTGTGAAAACACTGAATGATGATGATCTTAATGCAGGTATTTTGATGCAAGTTGTTTTTGGTGATTAAAATCCTCGGATGCAAGTAAGATTTTTGTCAAAAATATATTATCTTAAGTTTGCATTGTAAACGGGTTTTTAAGCATGTGATATTATGCAAACACGAATTTTTTTTCTGTTTTTTATTTACAATAAATTGAAGAATTAAAAAAGTAGAAGATGAATTGCAATATTATCTCTTGGATATCCTGATGTTAAGTTATCTGATGTAACCCAGAATATTTTTTTTTTGAAGAAATTAATGATGAAAAAGAATTCTAGAGCATTTAACTGAAGCGCCCTATTTGCATTTTACTAAAACACCAAAAGAAGTTGAAATATCTGAAGGAAATGAACTTGTGTTGAAATGTGAAGCGATTGGCATTCCACCACCAGTCATCGAATGGTTCCTTTTATTACATTTGCTAATGAAATCTTTTGCCATTCGGTTTTTAAAAGAATGGAGTTGACTATACTAACTTTATTTTATGAGGTTGTAAATGTAATAAGTTAGTTTTCACCAATTAAACGATTCTTCACCCGTAATGGACTCAGAGACTTCCACTAATACAAGCAGTTGGTTATAACTATCTCTACCAAAACTGGATTCAAAGTATAGGTTTACATTTTAAACAATGCTCAAGCAATGTTCAGTTTTATTCATTTTCATTGCTTTTTCTTTCTTATTGTTTTTCAGATTTTTCATTTTTATTGTTTTTCAGATTTTGAGAATAACCATTACAAAGATTGGAGGAAATCGGTACTGAGAAATAAGCTGGGAATATTTTATTAGCGCTGTTGAATGAATGTATACTTCAATAACATATCTTGCAGGGCACGTAACGATAATTTGATTCATGCCATGGAGGAAAGTAATGGTGCCGAAAAACTGCATAATGCTGGTCTTAGTACCACACAGTATGGTGTAACTGTATCCAAGATGGTCGTTCCGTGTATCAAAACCAAAAATGCAGCTAAATACAAATGTTTAGCGAGTAATGGTTATCAGAAACTGGAAAGTGGAACTATTGTTGTTGGTGAGTTTCAGCACTTCCATGTAATGTATGCATATAATCCCTTACCTTCAGTACCATAAGTTTAAAATTTTACACTTTTATCAGATTGTAAGCAGAGTTGGTCAAGTTAACATCTTTAGTTTATGTCATTATTCACACAAATTTCAGAAGGGAATGTGAAATGCTCGCAAAAACATTCACCACCAATAATAAACATGTGGACAGACAGCCGCTTCGAAAGATCTGGTGCAACAGTGCAGCTATTTTGTCGAGTTTATGAAACTCCGCGACCAAATATCACTTGGTACAATGAGGAAAATTCTAAACTTAACGATGTGAAGAAATACAAAGTAAACAGAATTAAATAAAAATATGCAAAAAAATGAGTCAAGCCTTGGTTGAATGAATTATAATTATTTTAAATTATTGCTGTTAAACAACATTTCAACGATTCACCAATATTTCAGATATTGTCAAATGGCGATTTGATTATCTATGATACGCAATGGGAAGATTTGGGAGTATACGTCTGCATTGCTAGCAATAAATACGGCCAAGATCGTATTACAGCATTCTTTTATCCTACGGAACCGTAACTTTTTCCCCAAACTCATCTAATCTTATTACTTAAAAAAAATTCATTTGATTCATTATTTGAAAGTCTCCTCGTGTAAAGATTCGGCTGCTTCGTCTTAATCAGATTAGGTGAGATTTCGAAATCGAGCGTTAGCATACATCAAGAAATGATTATGTTCCAATAAAAGCAAAAATTTTCTTACTAATCAACAAACAGAAATACCAGATATAATAACACTTGCAGTTGAACTTTTTATGAAATCAATTATTCATATTGTCTATTTTCAAGTAGCGATTGCTAAGCAAAATATAGAAGCAATTATATAATTTAGCATATCTGTTTGCAAATATGTTCTATTGGCAACTCCTTCAAAGCAACAAAAGGAAAAAACTTTTTTTTTCAGTAATGCGTAGAAAATTGCATCATTTTTTCTCCTTCTCATTCCCATGCATCAGACATTTTTGCATATATATATATATTGAAATGATCTGTCAGGTCTTATATATATATATATATTAGACCTGGCAGATCATTTCTAGTTACACTCTCACCTGCATCACTGTATCGTTTAAGGGAAAGAAATCCTAACCCCTCAATCTTCATCTATTAAAAATTGTATTATGCAACGCATGAATTTGCAAAAATAAAAAAAAAGAACAAATGATATCACTATTAGTAAAGTTCGATACTCAATAAATCAATAAGCCAGTAATTAATAATAATTGAAATTTCATCGCCATGTTTTATTTATTCATTGATCTCTTGTATTGTATTTGTATTATCGAAACGCATGAAATAATATTCTCATATTAATCGCTAGAAATGATTTTGCTCTATAATTGATTTTATTACTTAGCCTTAGTTTCAAGAGATTTTTTGCAAAAATACCAATTAAGAATAATTCGTTTATGTCGGGAAATTTTCTGTTACGAAGTTCGAAGAGACATATGAATAACCTTTACGCTATATTTATATATTAATAATAAACATCGCAATATAGTGCAAACAAGGTAATAGTGGTTATTTAGTTTCATTGTCGATTCTTTTTCACTGTACTCAATCTGGGAAGTTCTTCGACAATATGAACCTTTTAAATCACTCAAAATTTTCAAATTCTTTTTTCCATAAATTTTTTTCCAACTATACTTTCTTTAAATTCTTTACGATCAGCTTCTTATGTCATTGGTGTAGTGCTTAAGATATGCTTTTCTCAACAATCCTTATTTTATATGTTAAAGCCGTAATATTTGATTCGATTAGCATAGAAGTGTAATCATACTAAATATATATGGATGATTTCCACATGTATTCAATTTCGAATTATTCGATCAAATGGATTATTTTCTTTGAATGTATTGTAATCATTATCCGTTGTTTATCCATTTTTGTATTTGCTTTATATTCTTGCTATGATCTCACTGAAATATTACCAGAATATTGCCGTGTAACAATTCAAATCTAACTTACTCTGTCATTTCATTATTTAATTTTATTAAATTGATCACACTTCGTAAAAACTTTACGTTCTCCTTTCTAAATAACAGAGATGCAAAAATCTCCGGAATTTACAGCCAAATTTGTAGCGAATAAAGCAAGAAATGAGTTGCATTTCATATCACATTGTGCATTCAACACCTATATATTCTATTAGAAAATATTAGTCGTTGGAAAGACGATTTGAGGAAATTTGCATACTAAATGAAGATTTTAAATTTCGTATGAGAAGATTTTTTCTAAAAGGATGTTTATGAATAATTCAATAATTTCATTGATAATTGACATTATGAGTGTTTTCTGGGGAATCTGTCTAGCATTACAATCCGACAATTACACTATAAACATCAAATCGCATAGTGGTCACATATCTTAATAAAATAACTTGACATTAAGCAGCCAACAGAAACAATATATCACTTGAACAAATAACAACTTGTTCCAATAATACTAACAGCATGTGTGAATTGTGAGCATTTCTGCCAGGTACTAATCACTAAAAATACTTCAGTGATTATTAATGGCCACGCATAGAAATTTGATGTTAATCAGTTCGGAATGACACTTCAATATTCTTTCAACATATAATAAACAAAGGATATATTATTTCTGACAAACCACTCTATATTAGTCGAAATAATCCATAAAGAACATGAGATAACGATATTATGGATTTGTTTTGGCATGGCACAAAACATTTTATTGACCAAAATATCAGAACAGGATGAGAGTTGGACAAAATATTCAGTAAATGATGACAAGTACGGAAATTTTTTAAGACTCATACGATCCCTCAAGGATAGGGTTCAAATTTATATATATTTCTCATAAATCTTCCTGCCTGTTATATTTTATTTTCAATATTTCCTATGGTCGGAAAATACCATCATTATTGAACCGATACTTCCAAAAAATTGACGAAAATTTTAGCAGTATTCACAGATAAAAAATTCCAAAAATAGTGCTTGAAAGCAATAATAATCAATTTAGTAACTGAGCATTAGCAGTTTTAATATTTCATACAGCTCCAAAAACGAAATAAACAAATGAATTTGGAAATCGGAATAACTTTTATTGTTTGCTTCAGTTTACTTCAACAAATTTGGATTACAAATCGTTATTTCGTTGATTTGGCATAGCAGATGCGTCAAATTCTGAGAACTGAAATTTTTATTACTTTTAAACATTTCATACAGTTTCATAACGGAAAACTGCAAGGTAAGTTCTCTTCAGTGTAATAATATATTAAAAGACTAAAAATCATTTCTTCAGCTGTCTACGAAATTCAGTCAACACTGAGGTAATACTTAGTGGTTGACTAAACCGGTCTCATGTGCAAAGTACTAACAACACTATAGCTGTAAATTCATTTTTCGTCAACAAACCAAGTATAACTTTTGCGGAAAAAAGACTTTAAACTCCTAGCATACCGAAAACATATTTTAGCAGTAATATTCATTTCATTACTTTCGATGTTATTAAAAACCTTCTTTGGTTGATGATAAAAATAAGCTTTTTGGACTGAATTTCAGTCTTCTGTAGTCTCTTTTTCTAATTGCACGTATTTTCGAGGTCTTAATCAATTATTCTTAATTGAATAGCCAAATCGAAAATGAGGCGGAAGATGCACATAAGCAACCTAAGTTAATAAAAGTAATTATCAAATACAGTTGATGACAAGATTCAGGTTAAGTATGTTTTCTCAGGTTGGTTTACTTGATCAGCAAAATGTTTAGAATGCGCAGCAAAAAACCTTTAGAGATTTAGAGCCAGGAAGCGCAGTCATAATTGAAAATGCGAGGAAAACTGACAGTGTTCATTAGTGTAAATAGAAAGGGATGAGTGACTAATCGAAGAAATTTCAAGATATAATAACAAAACAATGCCGTCTATTCAACATAATTATTTTGTGAGATGAAAATTGATGAAGGCCTGAAGGGACGAAAGACTAGTTGATCACACTATAGAAAGTAAAAAGCAAGAGATAAACCTATACGAGGCATGGGTAAACTACATGAAAGCTTGCAATTCCTTTCCTCACTACATACACATGAATCGTGATAATATCAAGATGTCCTCCCAGTATAGATATCACTTTCAGTCGTTAGCAGAATGAATTTGAAAGATTGGAAGCAAACGTAAAATATTGTGGAATAATGCAAGACAAATTGTAGCTCTTTTTATTCATAACTGAAAAAATTCTCCTTCCGAAGGAATATCAGCAAGAACTTAACGTAGAAATAATCAGTCTCTAAGAGTAAAGAAGATAATTAACTATCTGTTCTGCATTATGGTTTGAATCATGCAAAAAATAAAAAAAGCAGAAAAATTTGTTGAACAATATGGAAATAAGTTTGGTAGGATTATTTACTGAGAAAGCAGTATTAGAAGATCTGACTGAAGAAATGCTAGAAATATTTCGGGATTCATCAAATATATGATGTACAATACAGTGTAGTGAAAAAAAAGAACGAATAAATACAGGAAGTTTAAAAAACAATCACAAACAAACTAGGTGAAGATAAGTGTAATACTGACAATGCAATAAATATATGGGTAATCCGGCAGTTGAATACTGCACCAGGATCATTAAGTGGACTGAGACGATCTGGATGAACTGAATCGAAGAATTATGATTGCAAATCGTGTAAGGCACCTTTACGATGTTATTAATCAGATATATTTATCTCGGACAAATGATGGAAAAGTATGCTGTTAGATGAAGCAAACTGGTAAAAAAGAAACATTAACGCAGCCGGAAATCACTAATAGTAAAATTGGAAAAAGAACCGTGCTTGTTATAATTTAGCTTGAAAAATGAGGCTGAAAAACTAATACTTAATGCAACTGTATCAAAGCAAATTTGATCATTTTGCCAGTGGCTGTTATTAAATCACTCAAACTAACTATAAATATTGACAAAGCTGGGCTAAGTTATGGAAAAGAAGTACAAATCAGGAAAGTGATAGGCAGTGAGAATAGGTTCATCATGCAAACCGATATTATAATAGCAGGCGACAGTAACTAAATTAAAAGGACGGTAATTATCTAAATGATAGTAGAATGAATGCTGTCGGAGAAGTTGAGAAAATATCTAATGACGAGATAGGCGAAATAAAAATGAAACAATTACAGAGACGACATGACTAGAGAAATAAATAATAAAAGTATCTTGTTGAATTTTAAGTTTTGGATTTAAACTCAAGCAATGGATATGAAAATTCGAAAACAATGACAGCGGACAGCTAGATGATCTGTGCAACTGAAATAATTATTAATAGTCATGATCGTCTTTATTTTCGCAGTACGCCGAACGATGTTCTTTTTATACGAGGAATGTTCACTTCATTTTTAGATTCATCCTTTGCTTAGATTACTAATAGTGTGACGGAGCTAATAAGAACAATCCTGTAAGTTAAAGTTTTAAAATCTGTAAATAAACCAACTGTCAACTTTTCCTTCGTTTTCGTATCAGATTTTTTTCATCTCCAATTGTTTCATTGAAGATTTTACAATAACTTTTGAACTCTTCCCAGAATCTTCCTTACACGCTGTATATGTGCATCTAAATTACAAATGTATAGCTGGAAAAGTATAAAAGTTTCGTAAAAAACGATGAATTTCTTACTGAATTATCACGTAGGATTAAAAATTGGAACATTAGCATTTCATTTCATTAGATCCAGTGTTATTCAAAAGTGTCCAGACATATTTAAGAGCTTTGTATGGCTAAACGGTTTGCCTCGACTGCCTATAGTTATTTGTTAAATTTTTAATCGATTTCAAACGTAAGTTGATTGTTAGATTCGCTTGATGACATTGATCAACTTTCCACTTATTTATCGTTTTTGAATTTTGTCCAATGCAACTCCGAGCCATTATAATTTGCACCGAGGCCTAAAAATTCTTTTATATCTTAGCTAAAACTTGCATCCGTCTTTTGACGAACTAAGGTCATCAAAGTCATTATGTGACTTTGACTTAAATTTTGGTACAAATAGTGAGCAAGTAGCGATTTCTGCCTTTTATTATTCTTACTTTTTTCACAGTTTTAAAATCAATTGACTTTCGCAATATATAATCCTGACTTGCAACCTTGCGAATATGTTTATTGACTATGCAAGGATGCATTTCTGCTTGTTGAGATTTGACGAATTATGATTTTTAGAAGTGAAATAAGCACTCTAATGTCAGTAAATTATTGCCAAGGCGTCGTAAGCCTCAGCAACATAGAAGTTAAAATGTTTATTAGTACGATTCATTGGTTTGCACCTTAATGGATTTGATTTTGCTCAAGTTCATGGTTAACTTTTTGAACATTATCCCTCTACCGAATGTGTTAACAGTATGAGTATGATTCACGGCAGACAAGACAAAATGTATTAGAAAGATATGCCTGCAAGCCAAAAAATAACATCACTTTTGGGACAACGTAAGAAAAAAAGATTCTTATGACTGGATGATATAAAATGATAACATATATATTGATAATTCATGCAAACTTATTAGAAAAAAATAATTCAGTTTACAAAATTCATTCTTCCTCTTCTTCGTCGTCTTCTTCTTCCTGCAATTCAAGCAATATTATTCACCCACAGCTATCTTTTAATAGTTGAAGCAGAAGACTTTAAATCTCTCTTCCAAGTGAAGTTATCAAGAAATATTTCAAGTTTTCTCATTGAGCTATTTCCACTTCTATATGTGTAAAATGAAGTTATGTTATGTATAAAACCATGGCGTTGCTGTTTGTGGAAGGAATTTTGAAGGGAAATAAATTTTTCAAGGTTTTTTCTGTGACAAAAAGAATTATTACGGTGAAGTAATTTGAAAAAACAAGTAAATAATAATTAAAATGAAAAAACTCTTATACATCCTCCTTATCGTAAGAGAGAATCATTTTCTCGTAAACAGTTGGTGGCGGTGGAACATTCGGAAAACATGGATATGAAGTTTTCTGGAAGAAAACATTGTTTAAGGATGATAGACGTGGGCAAATATGAAGTAATTCGTAATGAAAAGGAATGTTGAGGAAATGTCCATAAATGAAAATTATAATGAACCAAAATACAAAAGAGATTTTTGTTGAATTTATGATTGCTATAATTCACAATAACAGCATGCAATGATATTTTATTAGTGGATAAGAACGAAAATGTAGAATTATACAACATGATTAATTGAAAAATACATTCTCAAATATAGCCCTGCGCTCTCTGAAATTTCTCCGGTCGATTTGCCGATCGTATTTGCTCACTATCGATACCTTCGGCTAAAATGTAGCGGGAATAAACTTTGAAAAAAAGTTTGCTTCAGCCGCAAAGGATCCACTATTCTTCAGTTTATATACTATCTTTTTGTAAGGGAAAATAAAAGTTAATGCACATCTTTTCTTTGATATGGGAAATTTTTCTGAAATGGTTTGAATTGTGGTTATTGGCGCAGTTAGTGATGCAGCTGAAGCAAATTATAAGAAAAAAAATCCGTTTACTGATGTTGTCATTTCTGATTCTATTGTAGTTAGTACAGATCTCACTGCTAAAGTTGCATCTTTAGAAGGTAATATGACACACCTCTGTAAGAACTATAATTTTTAAAATTACTGTTTGGAGTCATAATCTCTGGACAGGTATTGAAAGATAATAAATGGTGTGGAAGAAGACTTTTTAACTCATTTTCATATTCTTTATATTACGTCGGAAAATATAAAGCAGTAACCGGATGTTTGGAATTTGTATCAGCTGGATCAAGTCCCTTTTCGAGTGCTTTATTACGCGCCACTTGTCGTTGACGCTCGTTCAGCTCACGCAACTAGAATATATTTACGCCTCTATATTAAACAACACCGTGCTAACATGTTGAGTCTGTGACCGAACTTTAACATATGATAGTAGCAATTAAAACCAAATTTGAAAATTTTTTTGTCAGATATGACAATATGGAGAAATGAAATTTGACTTTTCCTGCAAAAGGCACTAAATGTGAGTGTAATTACGTCGTATTCTTGACGTTCATGCCGTTTTTCCAAGTCATATTTATCAGCTTCCAGTTTACAAATACGTTGGTGTATTTGACGTATCTTTTCACGTAACTCTGCCGGCCCAATTTTTTCGAATTCAATGGTGTGCTTCACAGATACCAAGTAATTACACTTTGCTTCTTCTTGTTGCTCTTTCGTCATACTCATTTCATGTTTGGCCTGAAAATGAATCCATTTAAACAAGAAATGGTGAACTCATCCATTTTTGCAATAAGGTTCAAAAAACAAAGTGCTAAGAAAACAATATTGGTGATAAAAGCGCATTTAACACGCATAGATACATGTATTTTAAACACGTGCATTCACTTATCATAAAGTATGAGACAATAGGTTCCGTTTTTCGTCATACATCATTACTTATGAAAATTTTAGAGTGCTTTTTTTGATCCAATTTTATTTAGTTTTATAAGTTCAAATATTGAAAAACTCAATTTATGAAGCAAAGAAATAAAAAGATTTTATAAAAAGATGAAACATGCAGTTCACTTTAGATATTAAATACTAAATTTATAAATGTACCTGAACGATGTTACCGAATTTATCCGCTTTGTCGGATTTTTGAGGAATAATGAAATTACGTCCCATATGTCCCGGAGTCGTATTCGTAAATCGCGATGATAACATTTGTTGGCGTTTTCGTTTTTCGTCCTCCTTTTTACGTTTCTCTGCTTCCATTTTAGCTTTTCGCTCCTCCTAAGATGTAAGTTTTGTTCCGCAAGTTGATTTACGACATCTACACAAATTTCATGTATTTAGTTTGAAATTTTCAAATATCTAATAAAATGACTGTTTAAAATTACGTTAACAGCTTTGATGGAAATAAGAAGGAACCTCTTCCTGCTTCCTTCTTTCTTCTTCTTGCTTAAGTCTTTCTTGAAATTGTCGTTCTTCCTCTTTTCGTTCAAGTTTTCTTCGTTCCTTCTTTTCCTTCAACTTTTTCAATTCTTCTTCCTCCCGTTTACGTTCAATTCGACGTTTTTCCTCATATTTTTGTAGTTTTGCAGTTTCATCTTCTATCTGGCGTCTTTTTGCCACCTAGAAAGTAATTCATTCCTGTTTTTTGGAATCAATAACTCTGTTCGATAGTTTCAAATACCGGGTTCAAATTTTCAGACAACGGGATAAAGAACTTCCCGGTAAATTAATTTTTAACATTACAATTAAGGGTAAAGTAAATACCATCATGGCTTTTTCAGCTTCAGTCATGTCCTTTCCATTCTTCTGAGTGGCAACCTGCGATGATAACTGTCTGAAACAAAATTTGTAGTTCACTGAGTGAAATGACACTACTAAAAGATCAGCAAAATAACCTAACGACTGGTATCTCTCTTTCAGTAGGTTGAAATATAGCTATATCTGTATCACAACTAGAACACCTACTGTGCTGAATAGTCGGATACTTGCAAACTACTTTCACAATAAATATCCAAGTGAAAAATTTAGCAGTCTGTAAGTGTTATTTAACTTTTCGATAATATGAAAACTACATGCTTTGTCATTTGCTTCGCTTCCTGTTCATCACCATGTTCCTGTTCGTCCCTATTCATTTCAACAACTGGTATCGTTTCTGCTTCGTCCTCTTCTTCTGTGCTGCAACAAGTTCGTTAAGATCACAGTTTCCTAAAGTGTAGAATTTTTTAATTTAAAGATTTGACTATCTGCATGAAATAAAAAAGTAAGTCTATTAAGTGTATACCGTTGTATTCGGCGCCATTTTGGTACCCAAGGTTTCTTTGGTGCTGACTGTGTTATAGCACCACGCGCCTTGCTTTTCTGTACCGTGACACGATCGACACGTTTTAGTGTAACACCAAACTGACTGCTCGGCGTGTGCTGTTGCAAACTGTCCGCGATGGTTATGCTACTATCACTTGACAAAACTTTTTTTAGTCTTGGGGCCATGACTGGCAAGTGATTTTCAGAGACGTGATGCAATACAGCAATAGCAGGAATGGGTGTAGATAAGGTGGTAGCAACATCAGCTGCTGGTGTACGAGCACGAATAAAGCAAGGTACTGGTACTGTAGTAGACAGAATTTCGTGGCGCAGTTTTGGTGGATTCCATGTGGTACCCATCTCTAGCTTTCGTTCGTCATACACATTCCAAGCTGGAATTTTCGCCTGAGGTTTCGGAATACGTTGAGTGCGTCTGTATGCGTTAATCAGTTCTCTGTCTAAAATGTCATTGTTTGGTTCTACAATCCTTCCATCACATCTTTCTTTTTGACATCTTTCTTTTTCAATAGATGCAGTATGCGTTCCGCCCACTGGTCGATCATTCGAACCCTTGTCCATTTTCATTCCAGATATCTTTTTCTTCGCTTTCTTCTTCATTATTGATAAAACTGAGGAACTCTGTTCCGAAGAAGTTCCTAGGCTTGTTGTGCTTTTATCTGACAACTTTACTGGATCTTCATTGATCCTATGAACGAAGGATGATGCACTTGATTCCAGTCTTACACCGGTTCTGCTAAAATTAATACGTCTCAGATGCTCTCGTGCTCGGCGTATATCAATATCTTCATTGCGTTCAAACTCCGTCATCGCGTTACTTTCATTTTTTGTGATTGATCGGGGTGTTTTCTGATAATATTTGCTTGTTACTGTGATGTAATTCTGCAGTGTTTTTTGAGTTTTCTTCAGTTCAAGACATTCCTTTTTCTTCATTATTGATGGATTGTTAGTTTTGAGCAATTCTTCACGCTGATACTTTTTGTTATCTGTCATCTGCTGAACCATCACTCTTTTGGTAATTTTTATTTTGTGTGATCTCAGTGGTACTGTCATTGTTGCTTCTGATTGAGATAATTTTGACTTTAGGCATAAGTTTTTTGAAAGAGTTACCTGTTTACTAGTAAAAGTTTTCCGTGTTTGATTTGGTGTTATTTTTTTTGTGTGTAATACTGAAACTAAATTAGCTCCTTCTTCCGTTGCTTTCAGTTTTTTTGGAGATTCCTTTATCAGAACTGGAAATTTGGAAAGTTTCTCGGTCTTATTGAAATCTACAACATCTTTTTCAATTTCTGTCACCTTGGCTTTGCTTTCAACAACGTGGCCTTCTTTTTGCGCTACTCTAATTTTGCTTGTCTTTTCCATATTTTGCAACTCTGGAAACATTTTCATATTACATGTTAGCTTCCCCGTCTTCGCAAGGAAGAAACTATGCATCAAATTATCTTTGTTGCATTTTGATTTCAGTTCCTTTTCTGTCCTGTCCAGAAATTTCTTGCCGCTGACGGCAATATTTTGTTTGACAGTTGCGCAAAGTGCTATTGATAAGGCGATTATCGCTTTATCGAGACAGCAATTATTCACAAAACAGTAGCACACATTTACTGCTTCACATTTCGGCTTCGATATATTGTGTTTCTTGACCGTTTTTGGATTATTAGATTTTGCAGTGGTTGATTCTCGATTTGAAATTGTTGACAACTCTGTTGGAATCTCCATTTTGTGGTCTTGATTTAGTCTTCTATTTTGAGTGAAGGAATCCTTTTCATTTGACTTCACGGATGTGTGACCTTCCATTTGGTCACCAACCATTTGTAGTCCTTTATTAGAGCTTGTCGTTTTTTCACTTGTTGCTTCTTTTTTTTCAAGTCTTATTTTCATATCCATATATAGCCAACAGTGTTGTGGCCATTTGATTATCACTTTCAAACATACATTCTTATGCTTTTTCACCTTTGCGATATTAACTTCTATCGATTTTACGAGAGTTGTTTCCTGCTTTTTGAATGGTAATAAATCTGTAATTATTAAATTTTGTGAATTGAGTTCTTGTAATTTTGGACTGCCTCTCAGATCGTTTTCTGAATCGGCATCCATTGACAATCCAGAATCAGACGCGTTTGATATAGAATGTTGTTGAGAAGCCTCCGAAGTGTCCAAGCTTTCAGCATTTTTGGATGCCACGGGATCAGAAACATCCACTGCATTTCGTTCTTCAACTTTTGGCTCTCGGTTCATTTTTTGGCGCCAGTTTTGCAAATAGTCAATTTCGTTTTCAGATATCAAACCCCGCGATTTAAGCAACTCATCAACGATCTGATGAGCTTGAAGAAGACGTTTCCTGTATTCTTCCCCAGATATCCCCTCTTGTGAGTTACGATGGCCACTTCTATTATACTCATTGGAAAATTTACGTGAAATTGCTGACATTGATAATTCGTAGTTAAAATTATCCGCTTGTCTCATATGATTTACTTGAGCCCTCATGGTACCATATTCATCTTTAACAAAATTGATAAAACTATTTTGTCCCACAATAGCAGGTTTCATTGAAAACGGTGCTATGGTACTTTTTGCTGTGTAACCACGGTTGGTAGTATCCATGAAACCAAATTGTGGTATATTTAGAGCTATATCGAAAGTTCTTTGTTCACTTATTGGGAATCGTTTTGAACTGCATTCCACATGTAAGGGGCTTTCCACATGTAATGGTTTAAAGTCATATGATCTATAGCGAGTCAAATTATTTCCTGATCCATCGGAACTGTTCACTCTCTGTTCTACGTAATCATTTGCTGTAGCTAGACCGTCCTTGTATATTTGAGTGGAATAGCTGCCTTTCATAATCATACTGAAATGCACATTTGTGCTCATATATGGTGCAGTAATTCCAATTTTTCGCGACGGTACCTTCTCGTACATTATAATGGGTCCTGCAACTGGACTAGTAGTATGTCCACAAAGAGAAAAAAAACGTCCGCAAGAGTAAGCTTATTTTAAAAGTAATACCGCAGTTATCACCGACGTTATTTATGGGTTCGATGGTATTTTGTATGGAAGTACCATAAGTTGATGCAGTTGGAGCTATAGTTGGAGCAGCTGCTCCAGTTTCGTTAAATATACGTTGTGAAGGTGGAATGGCATTATCAAGTGTTGCAAACTCCCTTTTTTGTTGAATAATGTGATCCGTGAATATTCGAAGTAAGATTAGCAGAAACTACATGTGTTTTGAAAGTATTATAAATTGTAGGGGAATTGGTTTTGCTTATATACGTGATGATCCTGAATATGAATGAGCTGGTACAATTATGGCTACTGTTACCCGGATCAAGATCGCTCCTACGCATGGATTTTCCGCAATAATGGAACAAGTCCTGATGATAACCTATCATTACAGAATAGGCAACTGACCGACAACTGCAATGGTGTGAAACGTGTATGTAGCAGGTATCAATAAATAAATGAGGCAGATCGTATTGCCGTCTCACTTGTCAGACTTCTGGGTCCAAAAAAAATTGTTCTGTATTAAAAAATCGGACAAATAGATCAATCAGAAAACAACTTAATTCTAGAATTACCCGCTCCAGATCATCATGAAATAGTATCAATTAAATACACTTACTATTGTTCCTCTTCGTCGGACATCTTGCTTTATTCTATTTGTAGTAATGGAGGGTAACGTGAAGCAAACTGAAACTATGGCTAGCATGTTGCACAAATAATCAGTAGAAAAGTAATAAAGGAAATATGAAAGAAAAAAGCCTCAATTTAATTTTATTTAGAGTATTCTGTCTGTTTTTCTCACTTTTAGTTAACCAATTTAAGATCGACTAATTAAGTGAATATATCTAGAAATCTAGAATCAAACATTTTGTTGATGAATCATGATGTGAAAATTAATCTCGAAGCCATACATTGAAAGATAAGAAAGATTGAAAAGAAAGAGTACCTAAATAAATATTTCGAAGAAATTTGAGAAATTAAGTCTAAGAATCATATACATTGAAACTATAATTTTTGAATGCTTCGTCAAAATAGTAAAAAAAAATTTGCTAAACGAGTCAAATCAGAATTTCAAAGTCAACTCAGTCATATTAATTTGAAACTCGATATCTTGTATCTAACTATAGCGACAATAATCAAAAAAAATTTGTTGCTTCCAGCATTAAATCATTGTATTCAAATATGGCATATGTTTTAAACATAGTTCGGAAAATCGATTTGATTAATCTTTTTTTTATAGAGTTTTAAGTATCCCTAAAGGTGGAAGGGATTACGGTGCAGCAGCAATAGCAATCAATGCATATCTGAAACAAAAATTATTCGTTTAGAGATAGAAAATTGATGTCGACGTAAACGATGGGTGCTGTTTTGTAGTCTTGTACAATACCATTGCAAAGACTTATGAATGTCATTTAATTTACAAATTCTACGGCAAGAAAAGAAAGGTCACGAATCCACTCTGATTAAACTAACAGCGTCAGTATCACATGATCGTATAGCTTGTTGGAAAATAATATTTTAATCTGTTGATTAAAAATTTCTTCTTTACTTTTAATTTTAACTATTATCATTCCATCTTGCTTTAGACCTAATTAAATTCTTGCCTTTCGATGATATGAAAGATAAAAAATTTTTTATTTGAAATGAAGGGCTTCTTTTTTAAGTTGACTGGCCTTTACCTTCCATTTGCAGCAACAGAGACATGTCACAGTCATTCTTGGATCATAAATTAGATTTTATTTGGAAGTCATGTCATGCAGTATTCTCTTCCAGTATTATCATCCTCACTAATTCTCTTAAATGATTTAGGACACATCATAGGAGCATATCATGCGGGGTATCAGAGAAGCAGTTCAGTTCCATTCTTGCGATAAAACGATTTTACTGTGAATAAATATTTGTCACAAATTAAATATTACTTAGCTTTTTACAGCTGGCAAGACAAATGAGCTAACTGAATAAATTAGAGACAGTTTGTTAATCTTTTAATTTGGAATTCAACTGTGGTATAGGAAACTGTGTTTAAAAGTTTTAAGGATTATACATCAATAAGAAAAGAAGCAGAGCAGAAACAAGATGAAAGTTTTTACCTGAATAAAATTCGGTGACAGATGATCGAAACGGACTGCTCAAATGTCACTGTACTGTTGCTACTGTTCCCTTCAGAAATACAAATCCTCACTACACTTGTACAGTTTTTCAACAGAACCCTCAACATTGTCAGTCCTCCTCCCCTTTTGTCCAACATGTGTAAACAAAGTGTGAGAGCGGCGAGAAATCTGACTAAACAGTAAGCCGGTTTGTCACTTGGATCAACAAAGAGACTAGAAGAGTAGACGGATTTTTCGACTTACGTTGCAAGCATTTTTCTGGGAGAGGTAAGTTTCGGTGATCGATATATATGTGATGAAAGGAGAATGCGGAGAGGGTAGTAATAGGGGAAAGAAAGAAGATGGTTGGGCGTCTTTGTGAATGTGGTCAAAAACTAATTGATCTTCAATAAAATGACAACTTCTTGAAATATTTTCCACTGCAACACTCTTTTAATATCTTCATTAATGGTAGCAATCAGACAAATAAGCCGATAGTTGCAAAATTTATAATGTTTCACTACTGGACTTGTAAATAAAGCCAAAAATCCTTCTTGTGCTGTGTGCAGAACCACTGTAGTGTATATACGACCTCTCAACATCTAAGCATTACACATCAGTTAAATATAAGCTGAATTTGTTTACCTTCACCTGATTGTTAAGTAACGGGAAGATAGGAAAATTAATTAATTTGGAATTAATGGATGAGTTAGGGAAGTAATTGGGGAATAGAATGATGGTATATGTTGAGGATAAATGGATCAACCATAGGTTAATCATTATATCTCCATTTGACTCCTACAGAATTGATATTATAGTTTGTACACTTTAGGGTGGGATGCAAAAGTAAAGAAATTGTCCTCTGTCAAACGAGAGTGATAAAGTGACAACATTAATACAATTAACCCTGACAGTCTGACTTTTATGGTCAAATTTCTTGGGCTTATTACATCATTCTGCCAAGTACATTTCTATTTCTTCGAATTCCATTTTTATTCCACTGCTTTAATGCTATCAATATATTTTACGCTTACATAATCACGTTTAACGTTCACGTGTTCGATGTCGTGCTATTCCTGCACTAGTTGAAGTTGACAGATTTGAAAAACTTCAAACAAAAAAATGAATTAATTGCATGTGCAATGACTCAACATGTAATATTAATTTAATAATAGAAAATATGCACAATTAGTCATTTAGATTGTACGCAAATCTCCGAAAAAACGAATCAACTACTAAACTACTAAAATGAAATTAAAAGACTCCCGATTTTTTATCCTAAAACCATGTTAAATGGTTTGACTTAGGGTAGAACAATCCTAGACCTATTATATTTTCCTACAATAAAAGAAAACTTCAGGATCCTAATCATCAACCCTTGAGAAACAGAAGTCACAAGAATAAAAAGAATTCAACAACACTCAATAGTAGAAATACTCATCACATATCTACGCAAAGTTTTCAATCAAACAGAGCTAATCGCTAAACACTTTCATTAGTCGGTTACTAGTTGGAATTCTCGAAAGCTTTTGAAAAATGCTTCATATTTAGAGTTGAATTAAATTGCATTTAGATAAGAAACTACAGAAAGCTTAAAAAGGTCAAGTAATGGTCAATTGAAAATGTGCAAACAGATTTCTTTTTCAAGAGCTTCATGTGTTATTGTAGGAGTGCTCCGTTGTATCAAATTTTTTCGTATAAGAAATTATCAACTTAATTTTATGCTTAAACAACTAAAATGAAAGCATTTTCTAGAAAATGAGAGAAGGAAAATTTTAGACTTTTGATAAATTAACAAAATACCATCTCCGTTAATGCCATTGGTATATTTCCCCTAAATGTAAGGAATGTATTTCAATGAGAATTTGGAGATGTTGAAGAAAGTGAAAAACAGTTGTCAGTTAAAATGAGATTGGCGTTATCATTTTTGCTATTTCAAATTTCTTTATGTTAAATTTTTGAAAAATTTTCATGCTACTTATTTTCTTCTTTTCAAAAAAATATCTTCATTTTCGGTTTATTTGATATGAATGTTTATGCACATATGTAATGCAGTCACTTGTTTAACCACTGTTTGTAAAAAATTATAAATCTCTTATTTAGCCAACATAAAATAAAATGTATGATGAAATGAAGTTTTGCCAAGATCAGTTTCCATAAGCTTTACAAAAAATCGAAGTCTTTTTGCAGAAAAAAACGCAGACTCGCAATTTCTATTTACAGTCAAGCTTTCTTTGATTTATTATAACATCAAAATCGCGCTTCATTTTTCTGCCAAATAAAAATTTTCGAAGATTTAGAACAAAATTTTAAGCCAATGAAAAATCTTCATGTCAGAGCTAATGATTTCGTCTATTTTCTAAAAGATTCGAAGCGATACGCAATTATTCTACGAAATCATTCATTTGAATCATATCTAAAATATATGTCACAGAAGTATCTTTTCGAAATAGAATGATGAAAGAAGAAAAAAAAAACAATATAATGAAAAAATGACAAAAAGCAAAAAAGATATGGAAGACTGGAGAAACATGAATAAAATAAGATAAGGTTGCCGAAATGTATTGAGTGCACAAAATATGAGACGTATTACTTTTTTTATCATTGAAAAGATGTGGCGTAGGAGATTGATGTAAAACAGCTGTTAGGAGTTCTCTAATCATCATATCGTTATCTTCAAAACAAAAAAAAAAAGAAATATCACAGACGGTCTCCTAAGGTAGTAATCAGGTTAAAGTGATCAAGTGCCAAGTTTTTAAAGCAAACAAACTAAGAATAGAAATATAATCATAATAAACATAAAATTTTATAAGAGAAAATCTTGATCAGTTTTTAGATAAAGAAAATGATACTGTAGAACAAGCAGTATGCTTAGATCCAATTGCCTTTTGAGTGGCCAATGATGTTGGCAAAATGTGCACAGGTGAGGTGAGCAATTACCGTTGGGTGATGTAAAACTTTTCATGTGTATAGCAAATCTTTCACATGAAAATGTTTTCGGATCGAATGTCATATTACGTGGACACAGGAGCTAAAGCGTAAACATAGTTATAAAGCATCCACGTTGCACTGAATCCAAAAGGTAGGTGTTATAAATCCAAAAGGTAGGTGTTATAAAAGCGGTGAAAAAAAAGCACGAATGTTCCCAACAATAACATACAGCGATAAAAAAAAATCATAACTTACTGTTATTGCAATAAAGTTAAAATTATGCTAAGGTAAGATAGACAATGAATTTGAGTTTAATTCAGTAGTTGAAACGAATGAACTTGATTAAAATAGAGATTGGATGTCTTTTGATTAACTCTATATTTACAGGTTTCAAATAAACTTTTTATTTAGAGGAAAACACAGGCCTCCCGCTTGACAGCTGTGAGTGACGAGTGTAATGAGCATATAGTGTGTGAATCAGGAGGATCGATGAAAGAGAAAGATAGGTTGTTGATCATTCAAACTATGATCAACAGCTTGGTCCTTGCTTGAAGCTTCTATATAACCCTCCTTCACAGAGCTAAGTTGTTCTACTTGTTCTCCCATGAGCATCGGACCCCCATTTCAAGGCAATAAATGATGTCGATGAAAATGAATTTGCTTTCACATGCAGGATTAATTTGGTCATATCTTTCTGTCTCCTCGTTTATGATTTTCATAAAATTTCATTTTTTTTTCGTCCATAATTCTTTGCAGTTAACACTGTAAAGAATTAGAATAACAATTAAGTGTAATTAATGTAATTAATTAAGTGTGATTAATTTGTAACAATTGAATTTCTAACCCTTCAAAAGCATAATGCCGCATGCAGTTGCACACTGAAGAACCACTGTCGCTAGATCATTGTCTTGCGATCATTTAAAAAACTAAAGAAGTTTGAATAATGTATGGTTGAGTAGACATTTTTTCTTTTCTCAAAAATAACATCTTTCTTCTTCCACTTAGAAACCTTAATTAAAAGCTTGAAAAGAACCATTAGAAAGAGTTTAGGCATGGGAAACAACCTATTACCTTCTTGCCAATAATTCTCCCCTTTCTTCACCACTTCAATTGTTCTCATCTGCTTAGAATAACTTTTGCATCCCTTCTCATTTCAAAGAATAACAGCTTTCCCCTCCTCCACTAATCTCTTTTATTTCTGGATCTCTGGGACAGATAGTGCAACTTATGTTGAATACATTCGAAGCTGAGTTCCTGCAACAGCTACTTATTTTGTTGAACATACACATCCGTACTCTGCCACGTTTTCCTTTCTTACTAGTAATTTTCAAGATTTAACACTGAAAATTCCCTTCTATTTAATGAGAGATTATTGATCTTATTGAATAACTTAAATTTGCTACATTACGGAAATAAAAATCAAAAGAGGACTATTTAATGTGGACAAAAATATCATAGTTTCTTTACTTTATTTCTATTATTTTACTTTCATAGTAAACTGGCGTTCAGTAGGCTTGCATAGAGACGTGATGCAGATGAAAACGATTCTATACAATATTCTGTTGCAGAATTTTAGCGGCTGTGTTTCTACTTGTCTATAATTTGAAGCAGAAGATTTTTGAGAGTGAATGAAAGATGAGTTTTCCAGTATTCAGGGCACGATCCGCAGTTACATTACCACGTGCGCGTTCCGTTGAAAAGGGTGAAGTAGCCACGCTTACCAGGTTCTTTTTTTGTTCTGGAAAAATTGTTCTGGAAAAATGCTTTTTTATGTCTGCTAGAATATTTCGAAGATTTTAAATATGCTTAGGATTTTAGAGTTGCAACAGTGCCGAATTTAGATACCATCCATGTTGGTGAACGGTATCGTCCATCTACATTATTCAAATATCGACGAGATTATGATTTGGTTTGTTTATTATAGTTTCTTCATTTTAATTCTTATGACTAAAGTTGGCATTTAACAAAATAAGGCTAATTATGTGACATTATAGTTGGACGATTATTATCACGACCGCATGTTCTTTGATACTCCATTGCACTGGCAAGACTACAGATTTGCAGCGCGCCGATATATCAACACTGATCCGACTTCAAGAAGTCTTGGTTTTGAATATCCTGCTTTTTGGTAAACTAGTTCTCAGCTTTTACTTTAACGCGTTGAATTGCTTTTCAACTTGATACAAGATAACCTATGTTTTCTTTCTGCAACTGCAAGTAAAATATACTTACAAAAAATTGCTTATTTTTCTTGAAACAGTGCTCTTAATTTGTTCCAGGTCACGCTATAAGTGGTACACAGATTGGCTAAATCCAACATATTGGCGTCGCTATCGCGATCCGAATTATGATCGACCATTGTGGAATAATTGGCAACCATGGCATTTGGATAGAAATAATGTAAAACGAGCAATACGTATGTACAAAGAAGGTTGGTTTATATTTAAACAGTAATTTTTGGTAATGAGGGGATTGTCCTGAAACATTTCAAATATTTAAAAAGAAAGTTAAGCAAAATTTTTTTAGCTGTTATAGAAATTGCACTTACATTATATTTTATGTATAGGTCTGATTGATTTTGGAACATTGGATCGATTTTGGATCGTACCCTCAGCGCTTTCCAGAAAAGGAAAAGATTGGACTGATGTGTACTTACCAGCTGGTAAGTTCAATCAAATTTTCATAGTATTTATTTCGTTAGGTGAAAGATGCATAATCTGTCATTAATTGAAAAATTTGTTCGTCTTATTTTCCTATTTTTACGGGAATATCGAAACATGACATTAATAACGAAGTACACAATTGATAATTCTTTTTCATATCTCATATGTAATAATTATTAGAATTACTGTAATCATATAGTGTCGCTAAACACTTTCAGGACGTTATGGTGCTCGACGCTATTTCTACTCATTCGCATAATCAATCGTATAAAGCAAATTCTTAACTACAGTTAACCGCATCTATCAAACGAATTGGTTTTTGTTCTTTCTCAGTATTTTTAAATTCCCTGGCATACAATGGCATGTAAACGATGTCGTGCAACTTTCCCAATGTGAATAAAATTGATTTGTACTTCCGAGTAAAAATTGAACGACTGCTATAATTGCTCAATGTGCTCATTAACATATAATATACATTGTGGTTGATAAATTATCCTGACCTGTGTTTTTACTTTTTAGAATTAACATTTCTCTTACAAATATCAGAGGGAGTGGACTGGGTGTTCAAATTTATGAAAACTGATCATTTAATAAATGAGTGGATTAGAAAGCATAGCTTAATAATTGATTTTATACGCGATTTTCGGAAAATTCAATCACGACAAATCCCACATTAGCGGAATTATCACTATAGCATAATATACTATCAATAGATAATCATTATACTTATTTAATTTAAGGAGAAAGTTTCCTCAGGAAAATGTTAATAAAATATATGCTTTCATCAATTTCTTGCTCAAAACTGCAATTCTTGAAAAAATGAAACATAAGAGATGCAAAAGCTCGAAACGCAGGAAGCAGAATCAAGTTCTACCAAGTAAATAAAGGGATCGTCGTTCAGATAAATGGTTGGAAGAACCAATAATTATGCTGCATATTTAATGCATGGTTGCATGATTTATCATATATGATGGTATGAATCAGAACAACTTTAGTTTCCATTCTAAATTTATGCTGAAATTGGATTCACTTAAGATATTTCATAACATCACTGCTAGCAGTGAATTTAAAATTTCACGTGAATTCGAATGTTTAGTTCGATATTGTTTAATAAGCTTACATTGCATCTGAGCAGATGGCAACTGTTTTCTACAATCTTTTCTGGATTAGTTTTATCTACACATTTTCTGGCGTTCAACAACTTAATACTTTCTTTCACCTCAAAAATAAAATTAGAAAAAACAGGACATAGTGCAATGGAAGTAATTCATAAATTGTCCTGGAAATTGGTTGCAAAGAATTACATAAGATTTCTCTTTCTTCTACATTAAATTTTTTTAATTCATAAAGAATAGAACAAGAAAAGGGAAATAGGACGGACCAGATTTTAGCACTTCAACAGCTGTCTGCAAAACAATCCATTCGTTTTAAAATGCAACTTTCAGCGTTGCAAAAAACAAAATATAACTGCATTAAATCAGCTTGCTGCGTGATTTAGTGACATATTTCATTATATTTTAAAAAAATTAAGTGAAAAAACAAAAAGTCTCAGAATGCCTGGATTGAAATTGCTTCCCTCTTATAGTGTAACAAAGATTTGTTTCACTTAATCAACTTATCACTTTTAGCATGCTTCAAATTTACACAGAAAGTTATCACAATGGATGATTTAAATAAAAAAATAAACCTAGAGGAATTATCTGCAGGTCTGCGAAAGAAAAGGTGGAGTCGTAAAATTATACTTCAGGGATTAGTGATTATTGCCTATTTAATGTTATTCCATCAATAATAAGCTTCTTCAATAGTGAGGCTTTAAAGTTACCAATAAAGCAGGATTTCTGAATAGGCAATAATCACTAAATATTGAATAAGAAGACAAGAAGCAAGATAACTTGATTCACAAAATACGGATACTCTAAGATCCAAATAAATATTGCCCAGTGGGTATAATTTAATTTTTCAGTAGTATAAGCACTAAAAAACTTTATTGCTTTAAAGTTTAATATTGATATTTGATTTCAGAAATTTCTCCGCAAGGACAGTTTTCTATCCAGTACTTCGTGGATGCAAAATTGCTTGTTTTAATGGCTGCAAATTGATGGAATTAATGAATTTTTAGGAGAATTAATGAACACTATCAAAAAGAATACTAAGGGCGAATTTTAGGTCACCACAGTTTTTATTTTAAAAATACATTTGTGTAGATTACATGATACACTCATAGACATATCAGCACTATCGTTATCAAATACGCCACACTTCTTTGCTAGGATGTGATAAAAGTTATCTAAAGGCTACTGATTTTGCGACTGAATACTTACAAAGAAAAAAAGGTTGGTAAATTTCTTGCCCAAATTCAAAGAACATCAGCAGTTAATAAACAAACTGTAACTGCTTTAGAACTATATCCACAAATGATGATTCTGAAGCTATAACATACGTTTTACAAGTTATTTCGAGCAGAATTTTCAAAAATCAACTATCATCATCTTCTCAAAATACCTGAAGTCATTATTCAGATGTGAAAAATTCGATTCACACAAGATTGTCGAAAGTTCGCTCGATTGCACTAACGCTTCTGCATCAAGTTTCTTCCTATCAGTTAGTTCATTGACTTTTTGCGATCTATTGTTCACGAACTGAGTGATAAACAAAAATGATGAAGTGAATGCACCTCGCAAATCTGCATTAAAACGACTGTCTCTAATGAGCAATTTACTAGGTAAGTAGAAACATCATAAACTGGACGGAATTCAGGAATGAGGTGAATGTCTTTGAAAGTTGATAACTATTCTGAGTAATCATATTAACCCAAACATAATAAAATGTGGACAACATGGTTTATTCAGAATACTAGCATATTGTTTTTCTTTCTTTTAGAAATTAAATTCTCCTTGAAACTGATGACCTGCCAAAAGTTGTTCCAGTCTGCTATCCTGTCCCTCATCCAAACAGACGGGAACAGTGAGATAAGAAAAAAAGATTTCAATCAATTCTTACGTCAGTAGTACTTTGATGATTTTAATACCGTATTCATTCGACGATACTTTTCCTGCTGGAATGATTTCTATGCAAGAACCATGTTTATCCAAACATCCAAACAAGTAATGCAAAATTAGAAAATCTTGCAGAGAAAAAAGTGGCAGTGCCTTTACATTTAGGAAATGCTAATGATACTAGTCAACTTACAATTGTGAAGTATCGAGTGTAAAATAATTATCAGTTCACTGTAGAATTGAATATCAAAATCAGCATTGATATCAAAAATAAACATCAAACAATAGTACTGGTTTTACATAAAATGTATTGAAAAATATATTGAAATAAAAACTAATGCAAATGATATAATAAAGCATAAACCAAACAAAATAATGTAAAAGTAGTGCAAAATTAGAAAATTTTGCAAACAGGGCCAATTAAGATTACTGATGCATGGTTCAAACGATAAAAGGAATATTTCCGCAGAAATTATTTGAAAATTTTAACAAATGGATGAAATTCCATGTTAGTATCGTGAAAATTAAGAAATCGAAAGGTACTCGCTGCAATACGTAACTAGCCAAAATTTAAACGAAAACTGGTGATGCACAGAATATTAAGAAAATCACCAATTAAAAAAGTATATGAGATCAGAACGAATTGTTTGTCCAGTCACATAAAGCAAAAAGAAATTATCTGAAATCGGTGTTGTACCTCGCCTAAAACTATCGAAAAAAATGAACAGAAGCGGAATAAACGGCAGTTGGTAGGTTACGCACGTGTTAAAAACAAATGTGACAAGAAAATACCGTGAAACACTACCATATGAAGTAATTAGAGAAAAAGAAACTATACATCTCTTTTAATGACTTCGTATGTTTTTTGGAATTGATGTAAATTAATTCCACAACATAATGTAGAATAATCAAATTTGCTCTGTACTGCTTTTTCCTTTTTTATGTATCCTTACTGAGCCATGTGCTACGCTACAGAATTTGCTAAATTTAAGATAAAGATACGTCCACTTCAAATATTTTCCTACAAAAATCATTAATATTTTGTCATAGTGTTAAAAATTCTAACGAAAATCACCAGAGAACTGAACCACACTGTCATATTTAAATCTCTTGAGAAATTGAATATCTCAAGTAATGCAGTTAGCACTGCTTCATTCTTCTCTACGACTTGTCACTAAAAACACCAGTCTACTAACTTTTCTGATCCATTAAGCAAAATTGTTGTGTACAGAATTCCATGAATGGGAGCAATATCAGCTCAAAACCTTTGCAGACATGCAAATGTATTAACAAATTCACTAAATGATAGGAAAAAGGTTCATTAATACCAAAAAAGAATAGATCTAGACAAAGAAAGCCAAGACCATTCTATGCAGCAACCTATTCAAACAAGATGTAATAATTTTTCGAACGCGGAGACATCTGCAGATGCAAAATATAATCCACATAGCTGCCACTATTTTTAATATCAAAAATAAACGGAATAATATATATATATATATGTCATTATCCAGATTCTGCGTTATTCGGAAAAAACTGTTTAATCCTGGTTTCCACCCGTGGAGCATTAAACAACTTAAATATTGAAATACTTTTAACCAATGAACTGCTTTTTAACACGCAAGAGAATGTAAGGGCATCCTGACATATTCAAGAATAGATCGAAGTTTTCCCACAACAACTTGAAGGTCTACAAAAGGCAAGCAAGAAAGTAAAAACGGAAAACGTATGACAATAGGCAAGCAAAACTGATCTATTTATCAACAACGCTATCAGCCATTTACGGGATAGCACTTATATGACTCCTCCGTTCTCTCTACCCTTCCTCTTCCTGGATATTTACTGTTGAAAAGCCTGATTGGGTTCTTACGTTCTGATACGATGGAAAATCGTTGCATTTTTGCCCCTTCTACAATTGATGACTAATTTCAACAGCAATAATAAAAGGATTGTAGAAGCGCCACCGATTTACTAAACTAAACTATGTATCACGAAACACTACGGAAGAAATTCTAAACATTAAAGTAAATCAATTTTGCTTCAGCAAATAAAAAATGAAATCAAAAATAACCAATACACAATATATTATTCCAAGCAAAGCGAAACATATAATCTAATTCGCAACAGGCTCGGTCTTAGTCTGCTCTCCAGGAAATGTAAGCTGTTCAGATATCTGCTGCAGAAAGCCATGCCTTGACCAATACGTTTCGGTATGGCAAAATAAGTTAATACTTTGATGGACTTTTACCATTTTTTCGTTTTACTTTCACTAATAATCTTAAGGTCTTCTATTAGCTCTGGTCAAATCAAACGATGAAAATTTCGGGAATTAATAGAAATCAGTCAGATATCATATGAATAGAATACTGTTCCCGAAAGCATATTATTTGGAAAAACATTTGAATAATAACTGAGCTCAATATTACTGTATGCTGAATTTTTTAACTTGGTAAAAAGGGGTTGACGGCTTAAGAATAAGGAAATGGAGCTAATTGTAGAAATCATACAGATTGAATCATTGAATTAAACAAACCAAGAGATCAGTGTAAGAAAACAAAAGTGAGAGTAGAGGTTATGAGCTCAAAGCCAAGGGACATTACGCTCCCAAATGGTAAGGAAATGATAAAAGTGGTATAAACTATTGCATCAAATTTGATTCCAACAGATTTACGAAAATGCATGAGGTATACGACGAAATTTTCTGAAACTGCAGTAAGATAGATACAAACAGGAAATGGAGCAGGCAGAAACATCGAGCATATGAGAGGATAAGTTACTACATATATACCAGAAAATTAATATAAAATATCCTTAACTTTTCAAGCAGTTCACACTAAAATTTCACGTAAAATTGAATATATGGTCGTACTGCAGTAAGAGAAAGATTGCGGATTTAACGTATAACATTAATAAAATCACAAAAAAAGAATGAAATCGAGGATGAACCAGGAGTTATAGAAACATTGTGTTAACAAATCATATCATTGATGATATTAACTATCTCATTTAGACTATAAATATTCAATCACTTGATGGGAATTGATTTATTACTGACTCTAAAAATGTCCAGAAAAAGTTTCCCTGAATTAATTATGCAACGTTGCGAGGAAAAGTGACAAATAAACGAGACGAGTAAAGTGAGATAAACATGAATGTCTGTGAGATATGTACAAGAAAGGCTGCATTTACAATGTTCAGAGAAGCTGTCAAAAATTTTTCCTGAGAACATGAGTAGCATATAGATAGAATAGATACTAACGGACTGCAACTAGCAGCAATTTGTTATTTTCCGAATAAATTGTAAAGCTTTCAAGTTGTGTAAAACTGAGAGGTACTACGGTTAACTTAAAATTAAAACGAAATTCCATCAGCGTTATGAACCAAAGCACTACGGTATGTAAATAAAGTAATTCCAGAATTCAATAAATAGACTAAGCTATAGTTAGCAAATCTCAGTATTTTTTCAGCTCTAACATCAATATCCGAGCTTGAAGCTAAACAATTTACAATGCTTAGTCACTTACTCTCTCATATGTACTCTGACTGTCAAAACAGCTATTACAATATAAATGGCTGCGAAGAAGAAATCAATTCAACATCCCGTCAAAAAGCCAGGAAGTAAAAGGCACTAAATGTGAGTATACATGTTTCTTTGAAAGCACATGAAGAAAACGGTAAAAATGAGACACAAAAAGTGGGAGAAGTCAGCGAAATTTCAGAAATTAAAACTTGGTTCCAAACCCGCCGAAAAGGTAATGTTTATGAAACAACAAATATAATTCTAAGTAAGGACAAATTGCGAAACTTTCCAAGATGTTGTCTTGTTTCTTTTAAACACAAAAAATAAAACCTTTAGAAATGTGGAAACTTTGGAGCATACCGGGACACTATCTTTTTCATCTATTTACTATTTTGGCTCTAAACACACGTGTTAACTCAAAGAACTTTGCTCGATCAATTCATCTCTGAGTAGTGGTTAATAAAATAACACGCCATAGTATGTTAGTCTCATGAATTAAAATATATTTTTAAAACAACAGATACCACAAGCCAGAACGAATGGTAATGAGGACTGCTATTTCTGTTCAGATTAGAAGTTTGCAATGCCGACAGGATAAATGCATTTCGATGTTTGAGTATTCATCAGGAAAATATCAAGATTTTGCAATTACCAAAGACTTTTCATTTACCCTGTTCCGCCCATTAAACCCTTGAACTGTATAATCGACTGAGCTTCAACAACCTAAAAAGTATTAAAAATTAGAAAATCTGTTTTGAAGTGGTCCCGAACAATAAAAAAAATGGATAAGTCAAAGCCGCAACATACCTCACTTCTATAAATGGTATTTTCGGCCATGCGATCACGAATTCGAGTCAGTAGCCTACCCAATAAATTCAAACCCCTCCACCGTTGCGGATCGCAAGCGTCTGGTTCGTCCATCCCCAATCCAATGCCCCATCGTTGATCACGGGGATTACATTCAACCAAAATTGTGTACATTGTACGAAATAGTGCTTGTCGGAGATCTTTGTTTTGCTCATACTGAAATGGCAATTAAATCATTCAATATTGGCCTACAGCCACAAATCAAACTTAAATATCACATAAAAAGGAATTTTTAAACGTCTCATCATCGTAAACTTGAAATTCAATTATTCAAACCTGAGGTTTTGTGCCTTACATCATGTAACAAACCTCAGTAGACTCATGTAAAACTGATACCCGTAAAGCATGCTGCACATACGAAAAATTAACCAGTGGGAAGCAGTTGAGACAAATAAAAATTAAATGAGAAGCAAAATTATATTTGCCTTCCTTTGATTGGCAATAGCCATGACTTGCGTCGAAAATCTGTCCCAAACTGGTTGGCTAAAGTTTTTTACTTTTGTGCCCAGCATTTTCATTTGTTTCGGATCACGACTTGCCATTATCGCCATAGCTGTATCTTCATCGTTGAACAATCCTCAAATTCATAATTTGCAAGAAAAAACATCCCAGCAAATGTACATACTCAATTCCTTTCTCAACCAGTATGCAAATCGCATACCGGTCATGAAATCTAACGGATCAGAATCGGTGAAGAAACACAAAACATAAAAACTAATTATAGGGAGATTGAAAAAGTCGTGATAACTGCGAAGGAATACCTTCAATCGTACCCTATATTTTCAACATCTAACATTAACTGAGGGTTGAATAAATAGCACATTTATTCAAAAGCACGAAAGAAAAACAATTAGGTAAGTAATAATGCAAGTTCAAGTCAAAGTTATCACTTAACACTTCACTATTGTACTCTTAAATAAACATGTAATATAAGGAACATGAAACCGCATTGTTATTTAAATGAGGACTGAGGAACTTACTAGCTTTCCAGTACATGTAGTACTGTTCTGTGCAAATAAAATTCATTCCATCAATGCAGAGTTGTTGACATAAATAATGGTTACTGAAGACGTATTTGTCAGTGAAAAATAATGTCAGTGGCTCATTACGAGGTGACATTCGCACTGGAGCTACTAAAGGCTGCAACTAGTAGAAAATACGATAATGTTGAAAAAAAAGTTGAAGGTTTTTAGGTATCCTTCTTGAACTCAGGTAAATTTCTAGGCAGAGACCAGGACTTGATCTGAATAAAAGATTTAAATACGCGTGACATGTACATATATACTTTTCCATCTCATTCATGAACTAAATTTTGAAGGGATTATGAAGCATTAGTAGTATCTGCTTCGATAAACTATTACAGTAGATTCCATAGCTTTCTAATGCCTAGACAAATATGAAGCGACAGAATCCTGTGTAATCGAAAAACTTCACTGAAAATGAGAACTTTTGCAAAAGATATCACAGTCAGTAAAAAATATTTGAAATAACAAGAAGGTAAAGAGGAATGTCACACAATGCTCGCACAATTTTCGTCATGTATATTGCTGTTGAAGGATAAAACAGAGAGAATTAAAGATTGAGTAAAATTAGAATGTAGGTTGATTAAACGCCTAGCATTTTAGTCTTTAATTGGTAATGCGTTCATTAGCTGTATAGAACAGCTATACTAATAAGCATATTAAGTGTTTTCTTACAAAACAGCAGGGTAGCAAGAACTGAAAGCAGACCATTCTTGGACGAGTAGGTGAGCACTCAGCTTTCTGTTCCATATTTCTTAAAGACAAACTGCAGTTGCCGCCACAGTGATAAGACGACCATTGTTTTGAACAGCAACAGAGCTGTAATGCACATTTGTGTTGCTGAGTTGCTGTTGACCAATGATACTGACAAGCAAAGTCCACCAAATTGCTAGTCAGTGAAGCAAGTCCAGCAGGTACATCACTTGCAGATGTAAATCTAAAATGCATCTCTTTTGAAACATTTTATAAATAATAAAACATTTCTATCTCGTTTGAACAACAGAAAGATAAAAAGATGACTTGAAGTATTAAGGGTCACTCGGTCATTCGCATGTTATAAACATTTCCGAATACTGCAATACGCAGGCAGTCATTATAAGAAAATAAATGAAATACTATTACAAACGTAACATCAAATCCTATATAAAGAAAAGTAATCAAAAATATACCTTGCGTGCTGCCGTTTAATATAAAACGGCATATCTTGTGCAGAAGCAGACAATGTGCTACTTGAACTGTCGAAAAAACCACCGGTATGGTTAACACTTGCACCGATCTCAAGATCAAGATGAGAAGTATTAATGTTACCGTTATAATTATTACCACTATTACCTTCTAAATTAATATTACATTGATAGTTATTGCTTGTTGTAGTTGGAGAGCAGCTAGCAATAGAAGTAAACATTGTGCCACTACTGTACACTCCTGGTAATGTTGACCAATAATGCTGCCCACTGCTCAGAGATCTCGGTTCATTATTCATAATCGGGTTATTGAGAAATACTGCATGTAAGAGATTCAAGAGATCTGTAGTGGTGCTAGCAGATGAACATGAAGAACTGAAAGGAATAGCTGTATTTACTGATGACCGGTTATTGGGTACTATCGGTGCAATTGAAGGCCAGAATGACTGCTGCGGGTAAAAATCGGATGTTGCACTGTAGCACCTTGATTGTGATGGTAAAATACCACGACTGCTGGGTATCATCATCCAAGTTATACTTACGGAATGATCATACCAGGTCCTGAAAATTAATTTATAAAATCAGGTCGTGACGAATATTGTACGGTTAATAAATCTCTCTCTACGCTCAAACTCGCAGAAACGACAAAATCGCACAATATCATGTTAGATTATACTATACAACACTGCGATATTAATGAGCTACAAATGCAAAAATACTAGCTTGAACTCAACTTCAGAAATCACTGATATCCTCAAAAAGATTTCATGCTAAAAGACTTGATCAAGTCATGAACAAATTGTATCTCAAAAAATACACTAACAATGCCCACACTAGCTCTTTACGGTCAAGGAACCACGATTCATAAATCCAGCTCAAAAATAATCGTTTATCAGGTAAAAAAAATTAAATGATTATTCAACAAAATAAATTAATGCAGTATATCATTCTAAAAAATATCAGAGAGACAAATCATTCATGAGAAGTACCGTAAATGAACAGTAACAACAAAATTACGGTAAAAATAACTACCGTGCAACAATTTCATATAATTAAAATTGATGGTAAAGTACCATTTCAAAACAACGTTTGATGAGTGAGTGGCCTTCATAATAAGTTTAATTTCCACAGTACATAATTTTGCTGAAATTTATTATGACGACTTGAATTAATTAACTAAGATGGACAACTATCATATCAATGGATGCTTAAACAATGGAAAAAATAGGCAACAGACGAAAAGAATGAAAGATGCACTAAGATACACTTCACGGCAATAACGAAAAATTTAATCAATTTTTTGTATAAAATAATAACTACAATGTAAGGTTTACCGGACTGTACATAGGAAAAATCTTAGATTATTACTGATATTTCTGAACAATACATAAATTAGGAATGACTGACAGTCAAGTTTAGACACAGATTCCCTACCCTAATGTTCCCGCTTACAAATATCAACAGTTTTTTCCTTAAAAAAAACGATATCAAACCTTATTTTTCATTAACAGCATATATTACCAACATCGGTTCTACAAAAACATTAACAGAGAAGGTTTACCGAAAAACTGAGGTTATGTGCAAGGCAGCAACTTGCATGACAATTATCTGAGTGCATTGATGTACTTCTACAGCTTGGCACGGATATTTCTCAAAGGAAGCAGAATTCTTGATAAACATCAAAAGCAATGGTGTTAGTGGTCCTCGTTGTGAAGAAAGAAAATGAGTTCCTTTCAATCTACTTTTTTTTTGTTCATGAGAATGAATGTTGATCTTACTGGTTTCACAATTATATTACTTATCAAACATTATTAAAACCACAAGATGAATGATTAGAAAACTTTCTACATAAGCAGTTCAAACTTGCTAATTACCTCTTCTAAGCTGCGCAGCGGAATCGAAGCAATTTCATCTACCATGACCTTCTACAAGCAACTCGATTTAGTGACTGACGGGAATGATTTCGATAAAGCGAGAAATGGTGGTTCATCACAGTAATGTAAGCAATGCATGATTATTTACAATTAAAATTACTGCAATACAAATCAGTGTCACTAATCGAATACATCTTTTAAATGAATTTGAGAAATATTGCCAGGCATTAATGAAATAATTACTTACAGCCATACACTGAGGATACTATCCCAACCCAGTAACCTTGCAGACACGGTTATTCATAAGGTGTAGTATGAAAAGAACGATGATATGTCACCACGTAGGTTACTTCATCATAAAGCGCTCTTGTAACATATTTTTCGTCTCGATCATACAGTAAAAACGCTCTATATTAAACCTAGACAGCGTCAAAATACCATAATTTATAGAGCAACAACTTACATTTAAAATGTATTGTATTTCGATATAAGGAAACACGAAAAAATGGCCAGTAACATCGTTACTATGATGGTGCTGTTCATCACGAAGTTAAAGTACAATTGCTTCCAGTTTGAATAAAATTCACAAACAAAACTAAGGCATATGATGATGATGCTTACGTGGAAGATCTTAAAACTTATGCCCTTCAGACAAAAAAAAACTAAAGATCAGAACGAGTGATCCGTCGTGTCCAATACATGTGTACCACTGTAACAACTCCTCTAAGAACATCTGTTTACAACAAAAATACAAATGGATGCGAAAACCTATGCCTCTCAACCGAATCGTATTGCGACAACTTTTGGATATATTCCTCGATAATTCTGAGCACAGACGATGACAATTATTAAAACACAAGATGTACTAACCAACCATAATTCATAAGCGTACATTCTGTTAATAAAAACATCGGTACATTTTTTAAAGAGATGCTCAGCGGTCATTTCCTCATCCAATAGCAATTTTTCTATAAAAATCTGCAGAATTCATGCATGGTACACCGTGCGCACTAGTTGATCAGCCTTCGTCGGAACAAAAATATAAAATATCAATTCCCAATCAATCACACGTAGCTCACTTGCAAATCACAGCAAAATTTGCAGGATTAATAACGAGAATATATGCCGCATTCTAAAAAAAAAAGCATTACTACTCATATTTTGTGAAATTTGAATACATCATTCGTCAAAACAAGTGCGACTGTTTTGTCATCTTTCGCTCCTTGTGTCTGTGTTCCCAAACTTCTGCAACCAATTTTTTGATTAATCAAAAGCAAAAGAAAGCCATTATCGTTAAATTCTTACTATCATGAATTTCGTTTTATTTGAAAGTATGTTTATGGTAGTAAGATTCATTGCTGTGAGATCGAACTTAATCAATTTTTGCAAGCATTTTTCCTGCGATTCGTTTTGTATGGCTTTGTGATAATCTTTCTACGTTCTAACAGTTCTATTTTAATCCTAAGATACAGTACTCCTCCAAATCTCTGTGACCGATCAACGATAATGAGCTCTGGCTACGATGCAGCTCCATAGTTTCAGTAAGGCAAATGTAACCAGTACAATTTACAGAGGTAAAAAGTCAGGAGTTCGAAATTTTCTACCTTAATTAAGTAAAGGAAAAAATGGATCCTGATTAGCCATCGCCTCATATTTTTTACATAATTCTTCGTCTAATGAACAACTAGAAATCGAATACATGTCAGCAACGGCAAAACAAGAACCTGGTCTGGATGTAATTTTGCCAAACAGCTAACTCAAGTTCTGTAACTTCCAATGCGCAATTTCTGCTGATCAGAAGCTTCCCATACTGTAGGGACTTAGTTGAAAAGAAATTTGATACTCAGTGTATAGACAGTTATAATTAAAAGACGAAATATTTTATAAATGTTGTATCGAAGCGGCCGCGCAAGAATTCATTAATGAGTAAAACTTAATCAAATCAAAACGGATTTTCGAATGAACTGATTCAAGTGTGAAGCTACCTCGTGGTACGCAACAATTCGCCTGAGAGTATCACGTACAACAAAATCACAACCTGATTAGTTACTTCTATAAACCCCCTGTACACTGTTCCCTGAGAAACGCCACTCCAATGCCTACCCATGCACGCCCCAACCCTCCAACGCCAAACCCCGCCACCTCCTCACCTTCCATGCACCCCTTCCAGTTTGGCAAGCTCCTCCCAGTTGAAGCGTGTGCTGTCGACCTGCAAACAACGGCTAGCCGCGAAATATCGCACAGTTGGGGCGTTTACTTGCTGGCGTTGGTCGTTAGGGAATTACGTGGGCATGGGGTTGTTGATACAGCTAAGATTGATGGTGTAGCAGGTGTCTCGGGTAGTGAGCGCTTCAGGATTTTGTATTGAGAAAGTGTTCCAGCGCTCTTGGAATAATACAAATTGACGAATTCGAATATGAAAGCAAGATGAAAGCGGTGGGATATGAAGGGAACAGTGTTATAATGAAATACAATCCAGTGACTAATTTTTGAAAATAAAATTAGATTTTGATTCTTTGAGATATTGACATGCAAACCTTGACATTTTATTTTTTTCATTTGTCACCAGAGTGGCCATGTAATGGGGATAAAGCGATAAATTTGCATATAAAGTTATGTGGGGCTAATTAAGTTGAAGTTGTAAAGAGGGCAGCTGGAGTCAATGTACATAATTTCTGATATTTTGGTACAGGACCGAATCCACAAATCCAGGAACACAATAATGCATATTAATGAAGTAAACGGAGCAAATGGATTTTGTTTGTTCAGTTAATTGTATGCATTTCGTTTTTAGGAAAATGATGTATTGCAGAACTAAAACGTTTGCTTAAGATTCATGATTGCCGTAAGCTTAGATTTCTGGACTAACATGCTGCTTGTTGACTTATGAACTGAATTATGTTTCAATGAAAGCTTGCAATTATAAATAAAAGTTGTTTTTATTGAAATTCTTTAGTTTTAATGAAAGTCTTCACATAAGTTTCATTTCATCACCTGAACCATAAAGCACGGAACTTGTATACATTCATCAGTTTTATCTCTTTGTGTGCCCATTTATCATAATGAGCGTTTGTTGAACCAACGTAAAGTTTGTTATAAACCCTCATCATAATTGTTTGCTGTTATCTGTTCTTAGTAACATTCGAGTATCAGTTTTTTGTTGGCGAAATCGTTTCAAATTTAATATATCAAAAGTACTGTTACAATTAATGCTGTCCAAGAATTACTATAATTGCAGAGTGCGTCATGCTAACAAAATACGAGTAGCGTAATTAGGTTGACCTGAAAGCACTTTGGTTGATGACATAAAACTAATTAACGTATATTCTTGATGAATTTACGGGAACATCTGTTGCATTATTTTGTTTTCAAAAACACAGTAAAAAGCACTATTTTCTTCCACTTTTCAGAACTACTCGCTAAAGCAAACTTTATTTCCACTGATTGTTCGTTGGGGAAACTCATTTCCAGGGAGAATTTGTGTGGGAAGGCAGCCGTCTTTCATGTTTTCCTGATAATTCAGGTGAACTTATAGCAAATGATGCGTTGATTCGCTCTGAAATTTTTGTTGAAGGACTATTTAATCTATGTTTTCTGTAAAAGAGGCGGATATCTGAGACAACAGATTGTGAAACTCGGGGCATGGGGCGAAGGTGTGAGGGGGTGGCAACTATTTTTGTGAAACTGCAATTTATATTCTCTCTTCTGTCTTATGTCAATGAAGCTGTGAGGTTCGGTGCATGAATATATTCTACCTCAGTTAGACAGCTAGAGAACATCAAAGAAAGTTGAAAGTAAGCTCAAGGTTTCGTAAAGCAAGTTATAACTACACGTTAAATGGCAGCACCCAGATAAGTGCATCGAGGTGTTTATTGGTTTAATTGATTAACACTTCGAAGTAGTGATGTTGTTAAAATAGTTTCGCTTTCTTCGATTTGTTATTTTCAACTTTTTCGTTTAACTTTGAAATGTTGCTCTATTTGAAATGCAGAAACAGTTTTTGAAAAAATGAAATTTTAAACGAATTGTGAATGTGAATCTTTTTTAAGTGTGAATCTAAGTGTGAATCTTTTTTTGTTTGAACAAAATTTCTCCCCTAATTATATATATAAATATACATAATTTCTAGCCGCAATTTATTATTTTATGAGATGTTCAGATTTTATTGGTTTGGTAAAAGTTCTATGTATTTTTGATCGCATAGCCGTACTGAGACATACAAAAGCTAGAAGTTTTTGTGTTGATCGCTGAAAAGCAACTGTTATGGGCAAGTGACTGCTAACCGGCTGAAACTTTTATAAAGATGTCACTTGCAAAGCAATGTTTTTCGAACAGCATTTAAAAGTTGAAAAAAGGAATAAATACAAAGTACTCGTTTATCCAGCTGTTGTCTCCTACGTTTTATATTTTATCGTTATAAAGCTTTCTTCACAGTAATTTGTTGAGAAGAATATCGATATGACACGAAACAATTAAGGTGGTGAAAGTGGTGTGAGGCTATTATTGAAATCGTAATTATAATAGATTCTGAAAGCTGAATTTTTTTTGAGAAATTCAAACAAAGAAGTCAAAATGGTGGAACTTGTTCGAGCACAGTCCGCTGTTGTATTGAGACCGTCCTATTCTACTACGGTATTACTCCATTATCATCATCCTTGCTGAAAGCTTAACTATACCAACTTTGGAAAAATTGAGCCTAAATATTGCAGATTTATCGAACGCGATCAGTTCCAGATTTAAGCCTGTATAGCCGTTATACTCCGAAATGGCCATATCGTTACTACAGAGACTGGGATTTGGTAATTTAATTGTAGGATTAATTAATGTGTGCGCTTTTATGTCTCTGCCTCCTGGAATTTCATTTGTAAAATGATGATTTACCGACAAGATATTTTTTAATTCCTTTTGTATCCGGAACTTCTATCTCGACACTCATTCAATTTTTTTCTAAACATAGTTCGGCAATAAGAAATGGATGTCATGAATATACGAAATCTTTTTTAATTAGAAATATTTCTTATAACTTTAAAGGAACTAATGTTTTATTTCCTTGAAATAATCTTGGCCTATTCAGTCATTCAGATAGTTCCCTCAGATCAAACAGTTGCAGTATGATGATTATTGGTACGATCGCTACTACTACTACAGTCCACTATATCGCAGTACATTCTTTCCTCGTCGCTACTACTATAATAACTACGCTTTGAATCCATATAGTTATTGGAACTATCCATACAGCTACTGGGCTCGGTACAGAGGATACTTGTATGTTTCCATGCTCTTTCCAAAATGGTCAAACAATTCCTTAGATTTAATTTCCCTAAACTTTTTCAGCAGTAAAAGAAAATATCAACTGCATGTCTTTACAAAAAAAACCTTCGGAAGCAATTTAACGCTCCAAAATATCTGGATTATATTTATAACGTCGAAGGTTCTGCGTTTTCAGATATGGTTATCCATCGTACTACAGTAGATACTATTATTATTATGACGATTATCCATCCTATCGTTATACATATACCTATCCTTATCGTTACGGATATTACTCGCCGTTTGATCGCTACTGGCTTTCGTCTACTTATTGGGATCGACGTTTTAGGGTGAGTATTATCGTATATATATATTATTACTAATGTTTAAAAAAGAAAAAAAAGTTAATTTTTTTTCTCTATTTTGGCTAATAATGGAAGGAGACTATTTCTGTTAGAGATTCTTATTGTATACACAATCCTTCAATTTTTTGATCTCTTTTGCTATCTCATCACGAGCTTTTGATAGAATAGCAAAGTAATATAATTATGAACTAATAATTACAATTTGATTTCATAGAGATTTAGCCAATGGATTTAGTAAGTGAAAATTTTTTCTCTGCATTCTCATCTTTTAAGTTCTAAGTATTCATACTTCGAAGCATTGCTTACAATTTCTTGCCTTGTTGTTTTTTTGTTTTTCATCAAATAAAAGTAATTTTTTGCAACTGCTGACCAGTAAATGACAGATCGGAACAATTTCTCAGGCTTCCCACATTTCACTGAAAAAATACTTAGAAAGTAAGAGGAACGTTTCAAAATAGGGAAAAAAGTTTCAAAATAAAAAGTCTAGCTTAAATTATAGAGATCTATTAGACTAATTATTTGTTTTTAAACACTAATATGTTATAATTTTTCTATATTTCTCTGAAAATATGGAACAAGTTTGAACAGACAGTTGACTGAATTTAATGTGGTACAAAGATTGACTTTTGATTTAAATAAGAATAACAAAACATATTGTCTTCGATGAAGTAGCTTTATTTTATATTCATCTTCCATCGAATGTGCTTCTGTCCTAAAACGGTGCTTATATGCTAATTTTTACGGTTAAAATTCTTAAAAAATTTTTTCATATCATCTTCAAGGATAAAAAAACATTCGGATGTTTGTACTATCCGCAAGAAATTTTGATCTTTAGCAAGCTGAATTGTTTGCTTCACTAAGTTCTGTTATTAAATCTTCATATTCCATTCACAATGGTATGTTTTATCGGTCTGAAAGTAAATAAATAAATAACAAAAAGATATGAAAGCTGATATTATTTTGCAGCTAAATCCATTCTAAACGTTTTTTATTTAACGTGGATTACGATATCTTACTTTTTATCTTTCGTAGTCTTATATCTTTAGAGAGGTTGCATATCGCAGGAACTTATAGTTGTATTCATTCCCAATTTTAAATTTTTATGTTATTTAATTGTTTCATAATATTTTTTTTATAAAGAAAAAGCGAGTAGGAATTGCAAACGGAAATTGTATTTTTCTGTTAGTAAGATATTCTCATAGCCAGCTTTCTTTGTAAAGAATGTTTTCGACATAATAAAAAATAAACAATTAAAAATAAAATTTAAGACAAGTTTTGTTTTTTTATCGACCCATGCTTTCTATATTACTGAGACAAATGTAATATGACTTTAGAGTGAGATAAATTTGACGATCCTTACAAGAGAGTAAATTCTCTTGTCTCTTTTTTTGTTCATTTAATTTAATATTACTATTTTTCGATTCATGACAGTGATTTTTTCTTATCATTTATTTCACAGACTCAATTCAAAGTTTTAAGATGTGCATTAAATGAAAACTGAAGATTATGATGAGTGTTACTAGACTAAGCAATTCAATCACCTGAACTGCTAATCAAGTGCATCCCAATCAAAAGCAATGAAGATGCAGTAAAGGTGGATTGCAACAAAATATGTTTAGGACAGGTAGAGCGAGAACAAACCGATTTATCATTTCTTTCTGTTTACTTATTTATTTGAAGTATTGGTACTATTAATGTGCAACGTGCATATATCTACAAGATAGGACTGACACAAACAAGCATGGGACAAAAATTATATATGCTGACATATTCCGATCGTCAATATCGCCAACAATGCATACAGTGGAAAAATCAATTGTTGTGATCGAACAAAAAGGCCGCAATGCGAATCAGCCCATTTGGTTTCTTCAGTAAATGTTTATTATCTCCAAATATGCCTTTTTGCAAACTTGTACATCTTGCTGCTAAACGAAATATCGCTTAGCTCAAAATTCTTCAGAAATTCTGTCCACTGTCGTGTTGATTATACACCGTAAGTTACTTCATATATCGTCATCTTCAACGTAGAATTTATTTTTATGACATGAAAATTAATTCCCAATTTTATTTCTCCAAAATCATACTTTTTTTCGTTTTTTGATTAAATTTCGTTCAAAACATGCAGTTTTTATGATAATCTTCAACCAATTTGTAAACAATGTGCGCAATTGGCTAGAAATTTCAGAAAAAAATTTTTTCAAATAATGCAGATTATTCTTGGAAAACAATAGCGAAAGTGGATATGAAAAGGCTGGTAATGGAAGAAATATCATAATTTCTTAAAATATGCATTGAAATTATCACTAAAATGGAGTTGATTATATGCTAGGGTATACATCCAAACAATATAGCGCGTGTGAGAGGTTTACGTATGAGAATTTATGAAAATTTACGTACGTACGTATTCCATTTAGCCGTTACTTTAGTCCTCTCTTAGTTACTGGGCTGCTGATAGAACATGAAATATATTTCTTTATTTATTTATAAACAACGAAATACAGGCATCAGAATAAGTCTACGTATGTGTGATATTTCACCCCCTAAATGATGCTCTTTTTGCACTGGCGAAATTTTATAATTCTGCTGCGATGATGATATTGACGACAGCAGCATATTTAAATTTGTCGATTTCAGTATTGCTTAACTGCTAATTTCGAAATGCATTTTCTATATTCATGTTTCAGAAAACTTTCATTAATTTTTAAATACTTTTTTGTATTTCTTCATTTTCTGCTTCAACATTATGGCTGCCATTTGTGCGCACTGCCGCGTGAATTATTGTAAATAAAATTTATGATTAGAAAATGTGGCTCTGCACAAAAAATACTTTTTCTTAACCAAATAGTCGTTTCATATTGCAAATTCACGCACTGCATCTTCATTGTCAGTCATTTATTTTGATTCAGTTTCAACAGAAAAATTTTTTATATAAGTGATGAAGTCCCGCTTCAGAAAGCAGATCATTTGTAATTATATGCTAGTTGGAACTTTCTATTTTTAAGATAAGAACTTCGAACTTCCCTTATTCCTTATTACCTGCAGTAACAACATGGTTCTTTTCTTCTGCAGCTTTTCTTGATAATTAAATCGAAATTTGTTAGAGCATTATCTAAGAAACTGGTTGGTTACTTTAACTGAAGAGCTATGTCACAGATATGTTAATTCAAATATACGCTTTATATCATTCTATTATTTTTTGAATCACCTCAATTTCTCTCCTTCTCATATACATTATTATTCGAATAAAATGTGGATTGTTTGGGTTTGTTATCCGGAACTTCTTCTTTTGATAGGGAATAACCTATTTTGGTTTCATTGTAGGATGAAACACTTTCTTTATTTTCAATCTGTTTAGATGCGGCTTTGTCATAAAATTAGTCTTCGATTTGAGTGAAATAAAAAGACTCAGTATCATACCTCAATTTGTGTGAAGTTCGAATTTTTCAGACAAACTTGAATCTATCAAGATTTATTGTATCTCTAAATTAATGCATTCAAGTCGTTGGTTTATTGAGTTAAATAATGCAGGATTGGTGCCAAGAGTATTTGTGGCCGAGAATACAATCACCGTTACATCTGAAGTTTTTCCCAAACTTCTATACGGTTTGGGGAACACGACAAGCAAATTTCCGTGTGATGGCTTCCCTTTCCTCGAGAACCGTAGTAAAAGCAATTGATCAATAATCAACAGCATAAGATGAAGAACTTGATGAACACCAAAAGAAATTTTTCAAAATTGTTCTACGTGTTTGACTCCTTCTCAATGTGTTGTAAGAAAAGCAAAATGATTCGGCGCTTGGCTCGATATTTTCCATTAAACTACATTTGGACAAGTGTCTTTCATTTCAGAGTTTTGTGGATGCAATCTCACATTGTCGTTGCCAACGATTTAAATAAATAGACAATTTTTTATTTTAGCTCTTGCATTTTTTAGATTTCAAATGAATCTTGCTTTATAACTGAAACTATTAGGGGAAAGTCTCGAGTCATCTCATAAAATTAGTCCTATCTGTAATCCTTTGATTTGAGATCTCGCGTTAGCTTTATTTGTTATAGACAATCCAGTAACTGCTAAATCTATTTTAAGAACAGTCCTGATATCACTTCAATATTTCATACACCGGTTATCAAACCTGACCAGCTGTATGCAATTCTCTTTATTGAACCAGAAGTATTTTAAATTCGGTAAATGATTGCATGTTGTGAATTTTGGATTCATTTTAAATGTCGCTTCACTTGAAAAATTTTACTCTGAAAATTTTAAGAAGTTTTTAATAACTGAAATTGCCTGTGCCATCAAAAAGAAAAAAAATAGTCATGAATGTGCCATGCCTCCGTTTCCGTGTTTGTGGGAACATCCTCTGCATATTCATGCAATTCCGTCATTTGATAGAATTAGAAACTAGGCCTGATTTTCACTATAAGTTCACCATGAAGATATTGAAAACAGTTCCCAGTTCATTCTTGTTTATAAGCTATCAATAAGAAATAGGGATTTTTTTACTCGAAAACATGCCGACATTAATTTTCAGCGCTGAAATAACTTTGTGAAGTGGCATCTCAGCATGGCGGTACAATGAGTTATGTATGAATCAGTTTTCACGGGCTAAGGGCAGAAGTGAATAAACACAATATAAAATATTTTAGCTTAACTTCTCGAGTAAAGTTCTCTGCTTATAATTTTTGAATTCGAGTGTGTTCATTTTGCATAAGTATCCACTAAAATTTTATTCCAGTTCAATTTTCAAATTTGAGTTCCAAGATTTAATTAGAGCACTTCATGTACATGAGACAAGGTACCAAAGATGCCTACTTTCACCTACTCAGTACTTCTTCTGATGCATTGATCCATGAATTTTTCGGAGAGTTCGATCTTCCGTCAAAGTACACAAATGAATATCGACTATGATCGCAGTTGACATTTGCCACCGAACACTGATTTATGAAGTGCACTGGATAGTGTTCAACTGCAATTAGCCTTCCATAAAGATAATTGATATCACTGCAATAGCATTAGTTTGGGATATATTTTTCATTGATAATTTATTAAGTAATTCATATTTATTACATTTTTTTTTCGAAAAGATGTGACATGATCTTTGGGGTTTTCAAACAGGATGAAAACATTTGTTACGTCCGGTCCACTTTTCTAACGATCTAAAGCCTGTCACCGCTTAATGAGGTGGGTTATGGGCAAGTTTTTTTCAAGGAGCTCATTTATAGCAGTATTTAGCGCATCGTATCGTGCAATCTCGAGAGAAAACTCTTAAATATATATATATATGGAAAATAGAAAACTCTTATTTATTATTAACCTCCAATTGATTTTCATAAGTTGCGGCAATTTGGTCAGCACTATTTGATACAGATAACATGAAAATTTGTCCACTGATACTTTGATTTATTCTTGACCTAGAAAACATACAATTACTCTATTGCAGATATAATCATACTTCTATCATTGCTAGGTATGACTCATACGCAGTTTAATTTATCTTTTGAATACATATTTAAAAGACGGTATTGAGTTCTTTATGAACATGAGAGTATTGCTGAAAGAAATTCTAAAAATGGTGTTGAGTTTAGTTGTAATTCTTTCTGAAAAATTCGAAAAATCTTTTATAAACTTGAAGTATAAGTTTTGGAGATTAATTATAAAAATGAGAGATAAACAAACTTATGTTTTTGCATCTGCCATATATAGAAAGGTGCGCGTAGAACTCGGAAAAAAGCCAACGAAAAGAAAAGTAGCACGATAAAAATAGTGATATGTAAGGTGGACAGGTTGATAGATTCGATGAATGATAAATTGGGAGCAGTACGCTGCTGCAAGCATGTCTCATAAATCGGTTTATCAAGAATACTTTCCTGCATACCATTGACCAATGTATAATACAAGCAGAAAGTATAATTCTGGAAATTATTATAATTAATCCCTGGAAGAAGTATAAAGTAGTTCCAGAACTATTATTTTAATGTTATATTCAACAAAATATATCAATATATTGTTACCTTAATACTAAATCGATGTATTTTTTCAAAGTAAAAGTTAGCAACAAGAAAAATAAGGTAAGAAATAGAATGGACTTCCGCAGCTTTCAGCTTCATGATATTATAAGTATGCCATGGATTGTATAGCGATAGTTGAACCGTCCTGCTATTCAATCCATGTTTATCACGTACAGCTATAAAAAAATGAACTCGATCTCTAGCATGTATAGGTAATGATGCATTCCATGCCAGCGTAATATAATGTGAGCCAACCTGTAATCCACAGCACCCAAAATGGTTGGATTATTTTTACATTTTTATATTTGAACAATTTCACTGCCATTAAATGACTTAATTCTCGTTATAAAATTGAAATATTCATGGAATACAATTAAATAAAACAAATTAGTAAAATTTTAAGTACTTATTCATTTCTGACGCTCTATCCACCACAATACACGAATGTTTTAGAGCTTACTGCTATTAGAAGAAAGTTGTTAGCAATTTGAAATGGGTTGCTATTTATTACAGCCACAACTACATTTTTAAAAAATTGGATATTTTAAGCATTTTGAAGAACTTAAAAATTCTCACTTCGATAACATAAAGAGTGATGAGGGGCTCCTTAACTCGTAAACGTATAGTCTGATGAACAAAATGTTTCTTTCGCTTAACTGTGCACCGATATTCGCCTTCATCTTCTGCTAACACAACATCTAACCTGATTGATTTATATTCACTAGACGATAAATTTACTGCTATAAATAAACCATAAGGGTTGATAAGCATTTTAGAAAAAATTTGTAATGACATGTTGTTATTCTGAGAGTAAAGAATTAATTATCAATTTAAAACATTAATTAGTAAGACTGTTTTAAACTGATTTCCTGTCCGAGCATTTTCCTTTTCTTCCCTTCCCAAGATGAAAATTTGCAAAGAAATTGAAGAATTTTTTAAAGAATTTTTTATTGAAAGTAATAACCAGATTTGTTCATTTGTTGCCCATACACGTGGCTGTAACACATTTGTCGCCTTCTGATCGAAATTAAATTGGCGATATGTGAAAAAGTATGAATTTATTTCCTTTGTTGGCTATAAAAACACTTCAAATAAACCGATATCAATAATAAATTGAAAGAAAAAGTGGGAAAATGAAATGAAAAAAAAATCGAATGACATTTCGTTAAATGATAATTATGAATGTTATGGACATTTGCAAAATAATTTATAATTGAAATATCGGTCCGATTCGGAAGTCTCCATGACAATCGATCCGATGGCTGTCGTGATGCACAATAAATGGAGCATTGTTCTCCGATTATGGCTTCCATTGATTGACCAAACGGTAATACAAGTTCTGGACGACATTCTTCAAGCGTCCATGTCGCATAAGTTGCTATACTGCAACATATAAGGAATGATTAAATATTGAAATAAATTTTATTTCTAGCTCTGCATTTGAATTCATCTGAATTCGTTTTAAATTGATATTTAATTGCATCAACGATATACAGAATTTTACCGCGAACCTCCTCAAAACTCCTTTCGCAGATGAGCAGGTAGTTTGTTCTAAATTGCGAAGATGAGATATATCCTTTGTAATAGCCTTAACGATACAGTCACAACTCAAAGGATTATGATCAAAAAAGCCTTGTGATACTGCGGATAATAGTTCACTCGGCAGGACTTCTAACGCACAATGCGAAAAGTCTACGCTAAAAGTATGATTTTGAAAATTTAAGATAAGAAAGATATGCCATATGAGGTAAACCAAAATCGAAAAAAGTAAACAAGAGAAGAAACGACAGAGAAACCTATAAAGCATGGTGTTGTTGATAAAAGCGCGTGGTGATAGATAAGTCAGTGATTTTGAGTAGCTTAAATTGACAGTTTGTAAATTTGGTATTTGGGAAAATGCAAACTGTTCCAAAACACGTAGTTCAGAACTGTAAGATAAATCAATCTCCTGAAATAACTAAACTTATTTGCAATTTATAAATGAATTTGTATTGTTTAGGTGTGACTATGCGAAGAGTTCGCAACAATTTCACTTGCAACTTTTCGTCTTAAAATCGAGCCATCTTAAAAATAATATAAATTATGCATTTTAATTGCATCCTTTATTTTATTTGTTTGCTAATTTTATGCTAAATGAAATTCCGATAAAGTAATCATAGAATGACTGAAAATATGTTAAATTTTCAAGAATATTTGCTACATTTGCATACTTAGGCTAAGTAAATTGACTAAATCACATCTTTGATATTCAGAAGTAGTGATGTATATAAGGTATATATAAGACTATATATATATAAGACTTGTATATAAGACTTACATGCAACATGGGATGCTTAAGTTCAGAGTTTGCAATCCGTTTAAAATGATTAGCGCCCAATTTAAGAGTGCGTAAACTGACAAGTTGTCTCATATCAATACTTGGAATTATTTTGATATCATTGTATGACAAATCAAGCACTTCTAACTGAAAATTCATTAAAATTTATGTTAGTTATATTTAATACAAATAAATTTAGTGTATAATATGGTCGATAAAACGATTGTTGCAACATAAGAAACCGTCGTTTGAACTTTGGTTTTGATCTAACTCCTGTTGAAAATAAACCTTTCACTGTATTATTGCGCTGCACAATTTGAACTTATTTTTTATCCTTTAATCTCAAATTTTTAAAAATATTTTATGGATTACATGAACATTGAAATGAAATGCTTCAAATCAAAATTATAGGTTATTTAAATGCAAAAAAAAGTTTATTGATTAGTATGTAAAAAAAATAAAGTTTAGTAAAAATAAACGCATACTTGATATAATGAAGAAAATGAATCATAAATGAATGTTTTGATTTTGTTGTGCGATAAATTCATTTCCTTCAGTCTAAATCCATTCATGACAAATGTTAACATGCAATCAAAAATGATATGTTTTTAATAGGAACAAAATTCACCTATTGATCTTTGTACGAAAGAGGTCATAGTAAAGATTTCAGCTAAAACAATGTTTTAAAAAGTTCCGAAAAGAACAACAAGAATGGAAGTTACTTGCAAAAAAAAAATACACATTTAAGAAAAATAAGAATAAATAAGAATCGCAGAAAGAAGAAAGAGTAACTTTTGTGCGAAGAAAAAATGGCTGCTTTTTATAACTTGCAAATTATTATAACTTAAGTCAAGATAATGCAAACTTGGCATAAATCGTAGCATATTTTTGTTGATATACTGCAAATATCAACTTATTAATTCCTTTAAATTTCCAATCTATAAGTGAATCTTTTGGGAAATAAACGAAAAATCTCCATTTTACTTGATGACAATACAAAAAAAAACATACAGTGAGATTGTTATTTGCAATGATAAGCTGCTTAAGACGATATAAACGGAATGCTTCCCATTCAATTTCACTGATAAAGTTATATCTTAAATCAATTAATTCTATGGCTGGAAACATTCTGAAGGCGTCACGTTCCATTACCTGCACATGTTGGCCATCATGTAAGATTTTTATTATTTGGAAAGTAGATTTGGCGGAAAACGTTACTTCTAAAATAAATAAAACTATATGAAGCAATAAGAGTGCCAAATATAGACATGGTTTAACTTCTATAATTAAGGTATATATCGCATTAATTGAAATGTTGTCAAGAAAGTAAATTACTAACTTACTGTAAAATGATTGTATCTGACAATCAGTTGCCTGAGATTTGGAAATGTGTTGCCTCGTGATGTGTTAAATATTGAAATACAATTATTTGACAAGTCCAAAAAACTAAAATTAAAATGGATGAAGCATAATATGATTAAAATGAGTAGATTTAACTGGCGCTCGGTCTGAGGTCAGTGTATTACTTGAATTAATGCGGGATCATTTTGATCTTGCCAAGATAATAACTTACGTCAAGCGCTTTATGGTAGGAAAATGAGTCAAATCGGAAAGGTTACTCTCTGTAATAGACAAATTTAAAATGGTCAGTTGTTGTCCTTTGAGTTGTGCAAAGAGTTCATCAGGTTTTGTGACACTTGAACAAACTGTTGAAGTCCATCCTAGTAGAACTAACTTTAAGATTTAAAGTTAAATCTTAAGATTTTAAGATTTGATATACGAATAGATAGTTTTTCCTCTGAATGTAGAATTTAAATTCTAATGATAAAAAGTTTCAGTGAAAAACTTCGTAAAAAGGGATTTCTTATCACTCAATGTAATGTATCTCTCAGCACTGTAATTTTTACTTCTAAAAAAAGGTGCGAGAAAGTTTCCTAATTTCTTCGAACTCAAGTATTATTTTGCTCTTCAGTTAAGCCATAGAAGATAATTTGTAAGGTGAAATATATAAAGTAATTCTCTTTTTTAAAAACAAAATTATTTATGGTAATGGTCACTCTCAACTCACGCTCTCGCACTTCCCATATATTAATATATTATTTAAATTTATAAACACATGGAAAGTACAAGAACAATAATTGAATTTTTATACATTATTTAAAATTTTTCGATACCCATGCAGCTGCAGTTTTGTGGACAAGCATTATTGCGCATTTCAGGATACATCACTGAATGCACGAATCGATGTACTGAAACAAGCATTATCAGGACGGAAATTCCAATCTTTTCCTCAAATTTTGTTCCCATATCATTAATGAATGATCGTCACCATCTATTCCAATCAATTCTTGTCACTTCTTCGACAACAAAGATTTCTGATTTGAAGTCCCGGAAAAATTCGACCTTTATTATCACATATGACACATACATGCATATTACATAAACATATACCATTGCTCGCAATTCATCGCGGACCAGAATATAAAGATGCTTTACCGCCTCCGTTCAAAAATAATTCAAAACTTAGGAGGAAATGCATAAAGGAAATGCATGATTAAAAAATCTTAAATGCTCGAAATACTACCATCCTTTGTCTTTGAATAAATACAAAATATATGAATTTAATTTTTGCTAAAATCATCAGTTCTACGACTTCTGACCTTGTATTTGGATTAAATTGCACAAATTCGAATTTGAATTTGAATTCTACGGCTGACTGAGCAATATCTTGTATTTGAATTTAAATTTATATAAATTATTTTTGAATCTCCAACCAAAGTATTTATTTATTTCTTCAAAGAGTTTCTGTCTTTAAACAAAAGAAAAAAAATCAAACACAGTATTGTTCCTACTAAGATTATCTGATTGATATAGAAACAGATTTCTGAAGGAGAAAGAAAAAACAAAATTGATGACAAACAATGTTCCATTATACATTAAAGTAATTGTTCCTAAAAAATAAGAACCATTATTGATATTTTCAATACAGTAAAAATGACAGCCTTCTTCAATTGCAATAGTCTGCAAAAAAACTTAGTGCCTGATTTGGGTAAAATAATTATTATTTACGGTGTACTCCTTATATATTTAACTTGCACCAGACATTTCTAATAGCTTTAGCAAACAAGATGGTCATTGTTTATATAATTAAATCATAAACTTTTCTCAAACATTCAAATGAACTTTATTTCATTCATATGCAAAAATTGATGTATCTGTATAAATTAGAAACTGATACTGCCACAGGAAAGCTAAAAATCGTTATACACAGATGGTTATAAATGAGGCTTCAAGATTCATCTGTATCTTAGCTTTTAAAAAGCAAGGTGTTGACATCCTAAATACTACAGTTGCAGTATTTTGTAGATGATATTAATTGATGGAAATAATATCATACAACGAAATACTACTTATTCGTTGTTTTTTCCACCTTTCGTTTCCCATTACAATCTATCTAGGTTTTATAAGAGTGTTTGAATTCAGTTCGCAGACAAGAATCTTTCGATGCATGAAATAGGAATAATATATAAACATTACTTTGCTATAAATTCTAAAAAAATATAAACTTAACAAATAGGAAGTTGCTAATATTAAAAAGGAAATTGTCATTTTTCGAACCGAGTGTTACCCAGGGTAAACCCTCCCCCCCCATTTGGTTGAATTCCACGATGGTTCACATACTCCTTAAAAGTACTACGTATTGCCATTTATGCAATACTAACACTAATCTCCAATTTCCAACAATTGGTCGTCCATGGTTCTGAAGCTTCGAGCAAAAGTTGGATAAGGCAATTTTGACTAGACCAAACTGACTTTGTTATATCTGCAAGCGACAGCAGCAGTTCAAGTTAATGACGGCTTCTCGTCCACTGACAGTCATATTTACTCGTCCCTTGCTTCTTATAGCTAATCTGTTATCCATTGAAAACGTATCAGTGAAACCACAGGCCAACACTTAAATCTGGCTCTTTGTCCTCTGTCACCAAAAAATTTGCGGTTTTTCTGTCTGTCAGTCCTTACTTATAGTCTAAACTAGAAAGCAATGAGTAAGAACGAAGGAACTCAGTCAGACACTAATCCAATAAGCCCTAATGATGACTCTGCTTTCTAATGATCAAATTTATGTCCCCAACATTTCGACGATGCAATTATTTGAACATGCATAACTACGCACTTCAGCCCCATGTTAGTGTACCAATTTATTCAATCAAGAACTCATTCGTAATATTTTGCTTCATCGACTTAGCCATATGAAAGTGACGAATAGACGGTGCTGGGTTCGTGACTCCAGCTGAGATGCGAATAGGGAAGTTACTAACAAAATATCTCTTTATAATTTCCACATTTATAACTTCAGCAAGGATACAATTAAATATTGCCTACGATTCTTACACAAGATACACTAAAAGAAACATCACCACTCGCAATAATAGTAATCCTAGTGCATCAGAGGGAATCGTGTGAATAAGTTTTCCATTCCTTGCTTCTCTCCCCCTCCATAATAAACTTAGAAAGAAACTACTCTACACTCTGCTGTTTGCTTCGAACATTTCCATGATGCTGTGCTAAACCAAACCGGTGGCCTCCGCCCAATTTCAAAACTGGTTTGACATACCATGCAAACTTGAATAAATAACTGTAACTGTGCCAATGTATTAATATAATCATAACTATTTATATTTAGTGCAGTGCAGCACACCTACACTTAAAACACAGTGCCTTTTCATTATATGATACATTTTTCGAAATTAATCTGGAATGCATTCGTAATCGAATTGCTGTTACCATTTTAGTCGAGATAAATTACATGTTTATTACCCTTACTCTCAAAATGATTGTATCCCGCTCAATTATGAAATCCAGTAGTATTAATAATATAAATTAAACCAGCACACATTTTCATCAAAAAAACAAAACAAAAGCACAGGAAACGTATAATAAACTTCGAAAAAGTATAAAATTACAAAAGAGAAGAAATTTCATTCATAAAATCAGCATAAGCCTCGTCCGTATCTTTCGCTTCTTTTTTTTGTGCTGATTCGATCTGTATTCCCATCATATTGAATCTGAAATCAAATTTTTCCTTAAAATCAAAAAATAAGTTACAATTGATTTATGAGCCAAACTAAGGGATTCATCAAATATTCTAAAATAGACCACGAAACGAGAAATTATTCAATTTCGTCCAAAATTTTGCATCCAGAAACAAATCGTTATGAAGAAATACTTGTTAATAGTCTTCTTTGGTTGATGCTTGCTTCGATTAACTCGAAGTGCTGTTGGCACGAATTTTGTAACTTCTTTTGTCAAATCTCTCAGTTTTGGCTCCGCTGAAATTGTAGCTTCTCCGCTATCTTTCATTGCAACTCCTCCTGATCGTCGAACTATTGGCTCTGCCGATATTACGGAACCGCTTCCTGGTGGACGCATAAACGGGATCGGCATTCCTATAGTAATGAAAAAGAAATTCTTTCAATAAATCCAAATTTCATTATATTATCACAGAAAGCAACTGTAGCTTAAAAAAATCAGCTTTTAAAATTAGTTTTCACAAAACTTTTGACTTTTCTAAAAAAAGAAATATTAAACAAGACGTACGAAAGTGAGGTGGAGGAGGGGGAACACGAAGGGGAAGACGAGGAGGGGGTGGCAACATATTGGGAGGCAACGGCGGTGCACGTAACAAAGGCTGTTGTGGAATAATGGGTGCCAGTATGGGTATAGATCTCACACTGTCGACATCCGCCATTTGGCCATGTTGCAACACTTCCATGGGAACTGCAATAATAAAATGAGAAAACCACGAGATGTGTGGCCAGTACACATAAATTTACCAAAATGACTAATATTTCTAAACAAGAAAAATCCCTTTCTATAAAAAATAAAAAGATAAATCAGAGTGTTAATTTTACTTTCAACGGGCCCGAAATCATCGTCAGCTGCTTCGATACTGTCTCTTATAAAGCTATTTGAAACGTCTTCCTCAAAGCGTACGCGTCTTTTGGAGGGTGTTTCATCATCATCATCTTCATAACCAATTAGTGGCGGCAAACCGCAAGGAGGTCCTGGTGGTTCTGTTCGGTCGCTTATATCTCGAGTGACGTGTGAATTTTTTAGAATACCAGCTCGTGCTTGCGGCATCAAAAACTGAACCGGTATGACAGGTGTTGCAGGTGTCATTGCTGCGTTAGGTATTGAACTACCATCTGGCAATGGAATCTCTACAGGATTGGCTTCCAACGAAAATCGTAATGCATCTAAAATTATACTGAGCAAAGCTGCGTATAAATGTGGCATAAAATATTTTCGAAGAAAAGAAAATCAAGTCAAACAACTTACTATACTGTTGTATTTTTCGAGCTCTCTCTGCTTCGTACTGTAACATTTTTTGTTCCAACTCCCTCACTTTATCTTCTCGTTTCTCCTGCTTGTATAAGTTGATTACTTCGTTGTAAGTTTGCTTAAATTTGATACGCTTCTCATTGAAAACATACTTGCTATGATGCTCCACGTGTATGTCGAATTCTGAAACGAGATGGTATCCTGATTGCTCAGTCCATAGCATTCCTTTCTTGATCAGTAATAAACGTACAGGTTAATTTCTTTCAAACGACTGGATTATCCGGACAATTAATACACCGTTTCCCCATAAGTGAACCTTTGTACTTTTGTCATGGTGTACGAGATTCCTGAGGGCAGCTATCAAGTTATTTCGTTTAATCTATTCGTAGAAGTATATTCTGATGGAAATAAAGTCTGGTAAAGAAACCAGTGAATTAATGCCATTTTATAAAGATGAGTAAGCAATTTCCCTAATTACCTTGATCATCCAAACGCGACAAGTTTTCTAAAATTTCATCGACGTCTTTGCTTTTTAGTATTGCGTGCCGAACCATAGTCCTCTGTTTTCGATTTCTTTTAAGCTCTTTTTGCCGCATACTCTTACGTTCTTGATCAGCCGGATTCATAAATCGCCCCGACTTCGTCGTACTACCTGGCCTGCGTCCCATTTCTAATCTGCAAGTTAAGCTTCTATGGATAAAAGAACATACTGGCAAAGAAAAAACTTCGGAACCTCTGACAGGTATTACAGATGTCTGCTGCGTTAGGTGTTGAACTATCATATAGCAATGGAATCACTACAGGATTGGCTTCTAGCGAAAATCGCAATGCATCTAAAACTATACTAAGCAAAGCTGTGTGCAAATTGGCATGTGAAGGTACAGTCTGTCAAGTTTCTTCGGAATTTAAAATATTTCCAGAGAGAAGAAAACGGGAGGTGTAGCGGATGCGAGATGTGGGGTGTGGAGTGATGCCCCACACCTCCCATTTCCTCCCAGTCAAAATGTCGCTGAGCACGGAAAATCGAGTCGTACCCGTATGAAACTTACAGTCCCATAGCTTCCACTAATGATGATTGAGAGGTCTAGCTCGGCCATTTGCGTCAATTTCATCATGACAGGAACTTTATTGTTTTTGCTTCTCATTATCATCTTTATTTCTCTCCCACAAAAGCATTTTAGGTCACCAAGATGGCACTGCTAAATAAAGGTTAGTCATAAAAGACAACTTCGCATAATGACTTCGGAAAGACTAATGTTAAGTAGACGCAAGTAATTTGAAATTTTGTGACTTAAGAGCTGTCAAACGATATTATATATGCAGGCCTCATTAATTTTCTCTGAAGTTAGCACTGTCGTATGTTTTCTACAAATTTCTACTTAACGTTAGTTTATCCATTATCGATAGATAGACGCTCATAAGCAGCATTTATGAAATTTGTTCTTTACATAAATTTCAATGCTGCAATTTTAAAGAGTATGTAGGAATTTTTGTTTTTTTATTTGGGAATTTCAAACGGTTTTTGTGCAGTAACAGACGTAATTTTGTGTGTTATTTAAAATCAGAAGATTTCGAAAATTTTTAATGAAATTTCGGACAATTAATGTTCTATTAGGTATTATACATTCATTATATGCGAGCAGTCAGTCAACTTTGTTATATTATAAAATCGGATGAATCAATTGCTGATCCTCCGATCACTCGCTAACATTTGTTATCTTAATAACGAATTTATTTTATTTTTTGCGTTATCAATGATTAAATTTATCATCTCCTAGGAATCACATCTACTAGGGAACTCATGGATATTTTCGTTATCAGTGAAAAAGAGAAAGAATCAAATAATACGTGGCCGCTTGAATCAAGGAAATGAAAAAATGTAGGTTTGGATATCCAAGAAAGGTAAACGAAAATTACAACTGCTAAAGAGTTCATCAAGACTATATGACATTGTATGCGAGAAAATAACATAAATGAAATAACCCCTCAATAACTTAAACCGAAACATTTTACCCAGGAAAGGTTATTTAAGGGTCACTTTTCCCAGTCATACCATTGAATGGGTCGGAAATGTCGGTAGCACAATCGAAGTCGAGAAATCTTGCAATTGTTGTTTTCTGGCCTTTAGTTGGCGAGATCCCTTGATTTAATTAGAATTAAGCATGAGAATTTCTAGTCGATTACTGAGACCATCAAAACTTTTCTAGGGCGCATCAACAAACTATTATGAATTATCAAGGTCAGAATTTTGCAAAATGCATATGATTGATTATTTGAAAGCGAACGACATTAATTTTAAGTATATCGGTTTTTTAATCTATTTCCTCCAAAAGTTATTTTATGTGCTAATTTTTCCTTTATAGTCGATGAATAGTTATTTAGATACTTATTTTTCTACCACAGATCATACTTGCTATTCCGATCTACACTTTGGTTGTTTTCGGAGATAAAATAAGTGGTAATAACGCTCCGAATTTTTGTCTTTCATCTTTTCATACAATCGAGTAAAAAAACACGGTTTTTTTTCGTTAAGTTGATAAGATTTGTGGCTTGCTCAAAGTACGAATTTCATAAATAAAGATTAGATTTCAACAGTTCTTCTAAAATATGCTGCTGTTGCTTGTAGCGAATATCGTTTAATTCTGTTCCGTTAGTCATGAAAAATTATTTGTCAACTTTTTGTAATCATTTATTCAAATTAGCTTCATACACTTCTCTTTCTTTAAAAATTTGTGTACTGAATTGAAATTCTGTGCGATAAAAAGCATCAAATTCAGAAATTAAATTTTGATCTGAGAATCAATGCATAACGTATGGGTTTTACTGTACATTTGTTTAATTATTTAGTCTATGAACTGTTGAGGTATTATGTTTATTCTGCAATAATTTATTATAAAAAAGCGATCGATGAATAAATGGATTTGAAATTCCTGGTAATTATCAGAACATTTATTTTTATATTTTGTGATTGTTTCTACGATTAAATTACGGTTGTTTTTTTCTATTTGGTTTTGATTACTATTTACAATTTTAATTCGAAATTATGAGGGGGAAAAGATATTTTCGATCTCAACTCTTTCCTTTTATTCTCTGTCCAAGAAAATTCCCTATCCAAGAAATTTGTTATACATTTATAGAGCCTAGTTAAGCAAAATTGTTAACACCTGGAATCCATGTGTTTGCAATATAGGCACATCTGTATAAGTTTTGTAGTTCTTCAGTTGTCTACAAAATTGCTTTAGTAAATCCGATTTCTCTGATATTTTAAATTTTTTGTTGATATTGATTGTGAAGACCTGGATCATACATTATATCTACTACAATTCGAAGATATTAAAAATGAATGCAGTTTTGATAGTGCAACTCAACATGATTCTTATAGTGTTTTTCAGATAATCGTGAAAAGAAGTATTACAGAAACATGGATGGGAATATTATTAAAAGAACGTTGTTATCACAATTTTTTGATTTGTAGGATGCATTATAAGATATCAAATCAACAAAAACAAATATTGATTTCGAAAAATTCTGTAATTTGCGTTTCATATATCACGCAGTATTTTTATGCATGAGTATTTTTATGTTATATGTCACGCAGCATTTTTATGTCATGTATTACGCAGCTTTTTTATGTTTGAGTTTCAAATTCCAATGTGCTAAAAATCTTCGGAAAAATATTTTTGAAATTCGGGCTTCCCACAATTCATCAGCTTCCTTCTCAATATAATTCTTCGATTTCCCAATAAAAAAACATAGCGGTTCATTTTTCTCTCATCTCAAACAAAGGCTTCCCATTCTGATTAAATTTTTAATTGAATATCAATTAGCTTGTACTTGACATCATAAATCTCTAGATTTCTTTCGTTACACAGTGCCAAAATTTAATAATCCAAAGAATATGGAGAAAAATATGAAGCAAATAGTTGACAATTGATCTAACAATAAAGAATGATCATGCGGTAGATATTGCAGCCCACTTTCCATATATCTTTACATAATTCTAAACGGTTACAAGGTTTAATGGTTGGACAAGTATGAAATTTTAAATTTATTGTAATTTTTATTTGAATCAATTTTTATTAGAACTCTACCGGTTGTATTCAGAACTCAATGTACAACAAACTAGGAATTTTGAAAAAATCCTTAATGCACTGTAAGATAGCAATTTGAAATAACTGAAGAATACTTTTTTTCTTTTACAGGAATTAAGCTGAAGTCAGTTGATACTGGGTTGAACAGCATTTTACTGTACTCGAACACACGGCTAAATAATCTTGATTTTTAATGTAGTATTAATACATCGAAACAAAATATATGCCATAAAGCACGTAATGGAATTTAGCTTAAATTTCTATATGGAATACCAAATTTTTGTATGGGTATATATATGCTAAGAAAGTTCAATATTTGGAACTACGATCACATAGGATCATTTATGAATACAATGCACTCAGTTTTGTTCCACAGTTTTTTAAACAAATTGAGGTAATCGTCCTGCTCTTAAGGTTTTTTTTCTAGGGTAGAGTTACAATCAAAATTGACTCATTGCTATCAAAAAAATTTTAATGATGAATGGGCGTTGGAACCGTCATATTTCACATCTAGTTCGGTGGATTTAAATGAACAGAAATAAATATTGGGATAGGCTAAAATTAACTACAATTGAATAAGTCTCCGTTGAATTTCTTATACTTCACCTGATTTTAAAATTGTATAAAAATCGAAATTATTGGAGTGAACTGAAGTGCAAGAGAGTTGCAAAAGCGAAAAATTTATTATAAATAGTCAAGATATTACTAGAATTACTAGAATTCCTTTTCTTTAAACTCCACTTTCGCAGCCATATTCCAACTTCGGATCATCGATGTAGTATTTTTCCAGATTCAGTTTTTTAGAGCGTAAATCCAACAAAAACAACTGAGAAGTGGATAAGATGAACCACAACAATATCAGAAGTATGCCAAAACTATTTGGATTGAGATTTCTGTTTTGAACACATTTTTCATAAAGTCAAACATATCTTCATAAAATGAAATGAAACGGCTGCTGATTTCAAAATACAGTTTCTATCACTTCTGTAGTGCTACTAACTATAAAAAAGTTGGAAAAAGAAATATAGTAGTAATTAAAAGATTATCTAAGCAAGCAAGCAATGAACTTTGATTGTGTCAAACAAACAACGGAAAAAAGAAGGGAAATTGGGAGGAATTAAGAAAAAAGATAGGCAGGATACAACAAGGAAAAAAACAGATGTGAAGAAAAAGTCTATTTAAAGAGCAAAATTTACTATTTTTACAAAGAAGGATATTTGAGTTAATAGGGACTTCCTAGTGCTTCTTAACCCTTTGAATTTGTCAAAAGTTTCCTTTGAATTAACCTCGGAAAAATTAATGAGAATGAGAAGAGAAGAGAAGAAAAAGAACGAAATTATGATAATTAGTCTTCACATCACCTTTTTTTGTGCTGCTATCAGAAATCATCCATCTCACAGAACAAGACAAATTTGAACCAGCTCTTCACTTCTCTATTTATATCACAGCATCCGATATAGTTTCATTTCTGCTCTGAATATTCATACAAAGAATCCTCCGAATTGTTTTGAACATAAATTCATTAGTCTTATCTGTTTTGCAAATCTTTATCAATCTACTACACTTCTCTAAATAAACTTCGGTAAAAATTTAAAAAAAAAAATATTTGCAAACTTCGGTCATTAATTGCCGCTCTTTACGTTATTCGTTCTGCGAACTGAATCCAAGTACACCCGGGATTTCTATATTTAGAAAATTTAGAAGAATATTTTCCATTTTGTCTCGTAATGATAAAATCAGGTCATTTTTCATTTTTAAACGATACACTACAACAATATACTTTTTGTCAATGAATCTATGAATATGTGTCCCTTTGCTTAACTGCTTTTCACATTTTTGTTCATTTTTCTCTTACTGACAAGAAGCGCTGTGTATGTTATCGGCTATTTAATGCAAAACAATTGAATTCGATGATCATTTTGCTTCGTTAAATAGAATCTGACCTTGCTGATTATATTCAATTAAAAATTCTATCGTTTCAAAACCTGAAGATTCAGAGTCTACATGGCACTTTCTGGAGACTAGAATTGGGGACTTCTTTTTTAATTCTTTGTCATAAGAAAAAAAAGCATCTTTTAATTTCAATATAACTCTTGTAGTTTTTTTTTGTTTACTAAGTTTTTAGTTTTGTTCACGGCGTTACATGGATCTTCTAATACTGTAACGTTAATATTGGTGTTGTCTGTACTCCATAAAGATACTAAAAAGCTATTTTTTTTCGTTATCACTGTAATTTACTGATTTTTATTGATTATAAACTGTCACCAGTGGGACTGATTAAGAACCAATAACAAAGCCATTAGCATTTTCCTTCATTACTAAAAAATTTAAGCATATCACGGTTAAAAGTTGGACAAAACTGTTCTTTTTCACTTTCATATATCGATATTGGTTTTCTCGTGGTGAGCTCACTAAAATAAGTGAAAGAATAGATCACATGTGGAGCAAAATTATGCGTCTTTGACAATATAAGTGATTTCAAAGCTTATTGTAAAGCAACAAAAACAAAATTCGAAACAACAGCTCAATCAAACAGCAAATAAAGTATATTTGTGATAAATTTAAGAAACTCTACCAACTAAAGATTTCCGTTTATTGGAACGTTAGTTCCATTTCATTCTACTTCATCGTATTTTGAGATAATATTAAACATTACATTTAGGTGTTGGATACATCTTTTCATTGATTTAAATCGTCACTCTTTACGCGATTGTTTAACTAAGCACTGCTTTCTCGTAATATTGCTTACCGTTTGTAACAGGAATCATAATATTTTTACGTTTACTCATAAATTTTTTAGATATATGAATTGTTCTGATTTTCTGTTACGACAGATCTATATTTAAATGATTCTTTTTTAATCGCATTGCTGATGATAACATAGATTCTCATATTATAACGAGACTGTTTTTGGATATGTTTTTTACAGCATAGCACAAAGCATAGTCTCATTAGCATTACATGTTAAAAGGTTGTAAATATTCAATGATAAACTTTTTTTATTCATTTGGTTTCATTGTTTTTTCTGTCTTCCATTCTCTGTTCATTATATTCTTAGTTTTGTTTTCAATACGTATTTTCGCTAGATTACGTGATTGTTATTTTAATTTTATGATCTTACACATTGCTTTTTGTATATGTTTTTGTACATTGCTTTTTGCTCATATTAAGCCTTTTCAAAATTAGGCTTATAAACCTTACCTCTTCGAAAATATTCCATCTGATATTTTAAGCCATCGCAATTTTAGGCATTTGGTTACGATTTTTATTAAAATATTCTTTCAAAACTTCTCCGAATTACTTGTGCATGATTTAATTGCTAACATTCGTTATATGTCTTTCACATATTTCATAAAGTAAAGTGATAAAATCATTTATTTACACTCTCTACAAAATTTTTACTCTGTGAGGAATCACGTAAGTTGCATTTCCTGAACAAATTATTTGAATAAATGTTTTTAAAAATAATTGAGAACATGGTGATAAACTAGCACTTCATGAAAATAACCTAGGGAAGCAGATTTCTCGGTGGTGATTGGAAAGGTCAATAGAAAAGAACCGCAATATAAACATTAGTGTGGGAGGGAGGTATTAGCAATTTTCTAAAACACATTGCGACCGCTTGTATTTGATATTTACTGCTTATTTTCATACTTATTTGTGAAGAGAAATCAGGAGAAAGAAAAAACTGAATAAACTGCAATCCATATCTTTGCCGTTTTAATTCCACTACATTCACATCTGTCAGTTGTAAAGCAAACATAAATCTCAAGGCTTTCTTGAACTATATTATTAACAATGTGAGTCATTCCCGCCACAACCGCGAAGATTAAATCATTGATGCCAAAATCTATTCTTAATAGTTCTGTAGCAAGTTGTTGCATGCCAACTATATGTTTAGCCCAAACAAAACTGCACATTAGAAGAAAAAAATAACTGTAAAATAAAATCAAGCTCACTTCGCTTCTCTTAAATTTGATCTGACATGTGATTCAGATCTGGCTTAACTCAGGTTGATTGTGGCACTGAATTAAGAGAATTTTGTGTTCGTTTAAAAATCTTTGTTTCAATGTGTATCGTTAACTGAATTGCAAACATCGTTTCTTTCTTCGAGAAATATTCTTCACGCTAATGTTTGTGAAGGGCTGAATGGTGAAATTACTATCTTAAATGAGCAGTAGTGGTGACGGTGACGGTTAAGATGATTTGACCGGGAACCCGACCGCTGATGGTTCATCCACTTTGGTGACCCAGCCGCTGTCACCACGCCCTTCTCTGCCCGTTTTGCGCATCTTCATAGTGAAAGAAACTGCCTAAATTATAAAGGCTGTCAGGTAAAGAATTGAGTTGAACCGAATTGAATCCACCACCAAGAAGTCACATCAATTTCGACATTCCGTTTTCACTCCACTCCGATATCAAACACCATTGTGCAGTCAACCGACTGCCATAACTCGATTTGCGATCTAATCACAATTGCCTTTATTATTTTATGATTCACTTTCTGGCAGCGCCTATCTGTTGCAAATCCTTTTTTTTATCTTCTCTTATCTTCTCATTATCCTCCGTTCTCGTTCTAGTGCGGAAGAACTATATTCATAACATCAGACAATCCGCCTCCACTGCATTGTACATATAATCATGAGTCTTGATTTCTGCTAATTTTTGATTTGGAAATAAAGGTTTTCATGCAGCTTAGGAATTCATGCAGTAATAACTTCTGCCCATAATTTTTACCTTTTATTACATATTATTTCTATGTTATTCTTTGCTATAGTTTTTCCAGCTTGTCAATAAGAATGTAAAGTAAAAACTTAAATGTGTTAATATATCAATTAATATATCACTTATTCAATCTGATGATGTAGGTTTGTTCAACGGTGCTGTCAACTAATATTTATATTAAATACAAAGCAATACTATTAATGATATATTAATTGATAGCAAAAATTTTTTTGCTTTATTTTTACCTTAAAGTTTCCAAGATAGTCGAGCCTATGAAGACACTTAAAAAAACAATATATTTGCCGTTCTTTTTTCATCTAACCTGCATTACAAATATATTGAAAATAACTCATAATACTTAAAATAACTCATAATAACATCCGGTTGTTTGATGTTACCAGTGAGAATCATCCAAACAAATAATATCAAATAGAGCACCATTTTCTGCATATGTTTGAGGAAAGGTTTTCCGGACGTGATTGTTAGTATAATGTAATCTTTTATTCAAACTCTTTGTTTAATATTTAAAGAAAACATCAGTGTGATATGGTTACAATTCACTACCAACAATAGGATCATTTTCCTGCACAGCATTGGTAAAAATCGGTATAGCATGTAATATAAGTTAAAGTTTTATTAAACATTCATAAATTTTCTCGCAGTAATCAGTAAAATTACTTCACGCCATTAATTTCATTTGCTAAAATATATTATAACAAATATTACATACTTTGTTAATTTATTAACTGTACTTGCAGTCTGATTTCTTCGGAAATAAACAGTGTTATCAAAACTGTAACAAAAAAATATACTGCATACCTTATACTTTTTTTTATTTGTCAATTTCCTAACTATACTTACCGTCTGATTTCTTTAAAAATGAACAAGTAAGTGTTATCAGAATAGTAAACAATAGTAATTGAAAAAAACCTTTTTTCACTAAAGAAATCTGAAATTACATATATATATATATTAGGGAATGCCACTTAAAAGTTCTTAGAAATGTTCTTGGAATAGAAAGTGAAGCTTATTGACTCCAACCCCAAGAACCTCTATTCCTTTCTCCCTCCATCTTAAACCTGTATTTTTCTAAGAAAGCCTAATATGGCTGTTTTTCTCTTCTTTTCGTTTCAAAAATAAATCAAGCTGATAGCTTGATCTTACAAACTTGTCATCGTAACTTTGATCCCCTTATTTCTCACCGATACTTTAGCCTTCACTCACACAGTGGATGACAGTTTAATTTCATCAAACTGATATAGCTTGATCTTAAGATGCGTCTACGCTCAGATAATGGACAGTAAACTCACAATTATTAAACTTTACCCAGTTGCCGTGAATTGTCGCTCGATGATTCCGCCATTATAAACGTTTTAGAAAAAAATATTAAATATTTGGAAAAAAGGCACAACGTATTATTGCTAAGTTACACTATTAAATGTGTGATTATATCTGATAAGCCCCTTGTATGACCCCTCAATCGCTCAGTAGCGCGATCATACATCGTCATATGATTTGATCAGATGCGTCTACGCTCAGATAATGGGTAAACCACACCTCCCCACAATTACTAAACTTTACCCAGTTGTCGTGAATTGTCGCTCGATGGCCGCGTTAAATATGTGAAATTGAATGCTGGGAAGTGAAGTGTCGTTGTGTAGAGGTTCGCGTACCACGTGGAAGGATCCTTTAGGGTAGTGAGGTGTGCGCGATTCGGTATTTTATTCTCGTTGTTGTTATTAACATCAGTAGTTCTCATGAAGAAGTTGAAAAGACGCATCAATGCTGTATTCCGTGGAAGCGACACACCTTCAACTTCACCAGTTAGGTAGGCCTTACATATTGATACTGTTCGAACTCCAAAACTAGTCTTTTTATTCGTATAGTTAAGATTGAAGGATTTCATAACGATGATTTTGTTATGTCTTTCCTGTGCAATATATTTTTCTTACATTTCATTAATAAGTTTTTAAAATTAAAGTCTATGGAATAGCAAAGTAATTTCGATTCTCTAAAACAAGGAAGCGCTAATTAGAAGCTTCTTTGAAATGAGAATTCTCATACATTACAGAGAAGTTGTAGTAGTGTCGTTTTTGATTTGATGTATGTTCATAAGTTCCAGAAATTGGCGCCTATCGGATTCGATGAATGAGCTGGCAGAACGTTTAGCGGCAGACGGAGTAATTATTGAAGAATGCGATGTCCCGCCGGCAATCATACCTAAAGTTCCACTTCCTGTTTTTTATATGAAACACAATCGCCTTCCTGTACCAATGTCACGACATTTTTGCCCAGACTATCCCAAGAATCTGAAAGCATACTCGCCAACCCAGCATCAGTGTTCTCTGTTTTCCAGACAACCTTGTAAGTATGAATCAAAGGCAGCTTGATTTTCATACTATTGAAGATGAAATTTTGTTTAGTTTTTAGAATTTTGTCAAGACATTTGTCACCACAAAAGAAAAGAAATTTCCTTTACGAACTTTTAGAAGCTTTTACTAACCGGTTATTTATGTTTATGAATTCTATCATTTGAAGGGTACATTGTGTAAATCGAGTAGTTTTGTATTGTTTTACAGAAAATTTTGTATGGTATGATCCTCCACGGATGGATCTTTGATCATTTTTATTATGGTTAGATTTGTAACACTGATAATATCCTGACCAATTACTACAGTAAACAGGATAGTTTAACTACTGCAGTTGTGAACAAGAAGTTCATTTCCATGAAATATTTAACATCTGGAAACGCGTTGATTTCACATCTTTGCAATTTCAAATGACATCATTCAATTCTGTGTGAATATTTAGCACTTTTTCATTCGTACTTCTTTCCATTCAACTTTATGTAAATCAAGAAGTTTCCTCTTCTTTGAAATGTGATGTCCACTTCTGTCAGATAATCTTTCATTCGAGGATTAGTTTCGGAAACTTGCAACCTAATTTTGATATCATACAGGGGCAAATGTCATTTAAAAACTGATCAATATAACTGAGTTGGTAATGAAGAATTTGAGAAAATGATTCAAACAGCCAAATTTGCGCTGTCCGAGATTTTGTCTTATGACAGTATCAGACATCTTGTGTCGGTTATTTCCGAAATAAATTTAGAAACAGTCGGCAGAAGTGTTAGCAGATTATTACAAGAGGTGTTTTACTTGTGCGAGATCTCTATTTTGTCAAAACTTGTTCGAAAATGCATTTTAAGAATACGTTCTCATCTTTTTTAGTGAATCTTCTTCAGTAAATGATAAGGTCATCAAATATTTGTGGAAAGCATATTTCCAAAAGTCCTTATTTTTTTAAATGTAAGTGAAGAAGTGAAATTCAACACTATTGATTCCCTTCGACCTATTAATTTTTCACAATCGTTGAGGTGACTCATAGCATCTTAATAGTAGTTTGCGATGACTGACATACAAAGTATGATTTTCTCGAGGCTTAATATTAATATACGGTGACGCACATCCTTTTTGTATTCAAATTTTCCAGCTCTGGTGACAGGTGACAACAGTAGTGGTCTTCAATCTTGAAAAGTGAAGTATTTATAAGTGAAATGTGCCAGTCTATAATTAGAAATATTTCAGCAGTGTGGAAATACCGGTGGATAGGACCGAGTGAAGAAAATTTGGGTAAAGGAAGGAGGGTGCGAAAGGTGAAGAATAATGAGCACTGTTGTGGTGAGCATCGAATTTCGAACACAGAAACTCGTGAAATCCACATTCGTTTCGTAGTCATTGATCTTTTATTTTTTTAAGACTTTTTCATTTCGTCCCTCATGACATGGAAGTTAAATTTGTGAAAGGTTTTGGAGGAATAAGAGTAACAGTTTGTTCAACAATGGTAGTGGAAGTGTGTTTAGGCAATTGCATTTGAAAAAAGAGGCCTTTGCTTAAGCCAGCTTGGACGAATTGATCGAGTTAGAGAGAGTCATAAACCGAAATGCGGCAGACCGACGTCGCTCACGCTGTCGTCAGCATGTGATGCTAAGAAATATTGTAAAGTCTGCTTGAGAAGATATCTTGGAAAGACAGAGAACGCTTGATTAACTTCTTTTTGTCACACTTCTCTTCGCGTTGTGTATGTGTGTATCACTTGATCCCGTCTCCAGTCTCATTTGCATCCACTCTCAATTTTCTAATTTGTTTGTAATGGCTTCTGAATTGTCCAAATCTGCTACATTCCACAGTTTTTGTGATGAGACCGACATGCTTTCGCCACTCCCGTCTCAAACACCAATTCCAAATACTTTTGCTTCGTGGATTCACTTCTTTCTGTTACGTAAACGGCGTTCCGCCATGAGGCGGCAAATTGTTTTAAGGCCATCCATTTCGCTCTGTGAGTGTTTTTGCATGTCCACGTAGTCATTTTACTTTCTTATGAAGATACCACTTCTGGACGAAGATTTAGGATTGGTATTTATAAGCAGAATTATTTTCTCTGTTCGAATGATTGACTTATGTTGCTTTAAGCAAAATAACGTTGCCACTGAGTGTTTTTTAAGAGTATGTCCGTTGGACGTATCGAAGATGTACTGTGACAGGTATAGAAAGGTTTATTTTATGGAGACGACTGGAAGTCTGGGAGGAATTAGAAATTAGGTAGAATTTGGACTTTCATATAAAAGTTAATTTATAGTTATTAAATCTGAATGTCGTACTGGATATGTATGTCAAGGTTTTAAATTATAAAGAATTTAATTATGTTAAAAATTCGCTAGGCGCATTCTTTATGCTTCTAAACTGCTTTTTTTGCAGCTGTTGTTGATGAAACGAAAGCGCTTGGTTCTGATGGTGAAAGCATTGAGGTTTCGCCTTGTAGCAGCGATCAATGTGCAAGTCAGTCTGATCGTCATGTCATTAATGTTAAAATGCGTCAGAAACCAACACGTCGTTGGAACGAGGTATTCAGATTTCAAGATAAAATTACTGTTGTGTTACTACATATAGTGACTCGAAGCTAACGACTTGCAACGGGTCTTGTGAACCGGTAACGCTGTTAATAACTTCTACTAAAATAAATGGCGGAGAGCAGGTGGATATAAAACGATAAAAAAAAAGCAATAAATGGTAATGGGTCAAATACAAACGGACAAAATGGAGAGTAGCAAATAGTGAAATCAAATTGGAGGATGAAATATCGAGCAGTGCCCCTTCCCAAATATGAAAGCAACGTAATCCCTTTTGTTTCCATTTGGTAGAAAGTGAACCAACAGTGGGGTGAGAAGGTGAATGATTGTCCTTCCTTCCCCATGCTTTCATCTTTATTGTACAATACGTGAATTCAGTTTCGCATTCACAAGGATTACTTCATCGTCATGGAGACTACCTTCAACCCTGTGGGGACTATACTATTGCCATTCGCTCCAAAACAGTAATCATTAGGAATAGTTGTAACCCTTCTCCCTTTCTTTCAAAACAAGTGTAGAAATGATAAGAAATATGTTCATATCGTCTGCTTATCCTTACTGTATTGGTGTTCTTTCTTTTTACTGAAGTCAGCGTTAGAAATGTTTTTGGTAATGGTATGGTATGTTTTATTACAGCAGGATATTCAGAAACGTTTATCACTTCCCGCCGATCTAAGGCTTCCGTTAAGTGTGATCGAGAAACTGAACCGCACACCAACATTAGATCAACCCTTAACGAGAAAGAGTCGTCGTGCATCTCTGGTATTTTTTATAACTATTTTTCATTTTGAAGAGAAATAATCGAATTATTATTATTGTTCTTATCTCAATTTAACTACCATTTTGTCGACTTTTTCATTTCGATTTCATTTTTTTTTATTGTACTTTAGAGTGAAATTGGTTTCGGCAAACTTGAAACATATGAAAAATTGGAGAAGCTAGGAGAAGGAACATATGCCACAGTTTATAAAGGACGATCGCGATTGACAGAAAAATTCGTCGCTCTCAAGGTAACATTTTGTTACTGGTTGATTTTAATTAGTTTGCTTCTCATTTTTCAAGCAAAGTAGAAACTAAATTCTTTAAATTTTTTCCATTTTTTTAACAGATTTTATAGATGTCAGAAGCCACCTTGCAGGAAATACGTTTGGAGCTGGAAGAAGGAGCACCTTGTACAGCGATCAGGGAAGTTTCTATACTGAGGGATTTACGCCATGCGAATATCGTCACATTGCATGACATAATTCACACAGAAAGAATACTCACTCTTGTCTTCGAATATGTTGACCGTGATTTAAAGCAGTATCTTGATGACTGCCAGGATGTCATATCGATGAGGAACGTCCGGGTACATTCTTTTTTTGCTATTGAGATTCTTATTTATGTTAAAAAGGTTTGTTAGTTGAACGATTTCACGTAGACTGGTCGGTTAATACTTAGCAGTATGGACATCACATTATTCTTAATCAGTTGTATTTCCAGTTATTCTTAGTGCAGTTATTACGAGGACTAAATTATTGTCATCAACGACGAATTTTACATCGGGATTTGAAGCCGCAAAATTTACTTATTAACGAAAAAGGTGAACTGAAACTTGCTGACTTTGGTTTGGCACGGGCGAAGTCAATACCTACGAAAACATATTCAAATGAGGTATGTTTTTTCTGAATTTTGAAAACATGCGAAAAAATGGCTGTATCAAAATTGTAATGTGCAGCGCACCACTCTTAATATCCATCCATGTCTTTACATGATGGGAGCCGGTTTCCCATTTCTCTATTTTGGATAGTTTTCTTCCATTCAGAATGTTCTGTCTGTTGTATTCCGCATCTCATTGCAAGACATTAGTCACATAACACTTATCCCTTCGCGGTGTTGTCTATTTTGGAAGTGTACTTTGAATCTCGTAGCTAATTTAGGTTGTGACACTGTGGTATCGTCCACCTGACGTTTTGCTGGGTTCCACGGACTACTCAACCCACATCGATATGTGGGGTGTTGGTTGCATTCTTTTCGAAATGATTACTGGTTTGTCTTTGTTTTTTATACAATTTTATTTATGCTGAGATTTATCATGTAGTAAAATCTAATAAATTTGATTGATATGCATTGAAATAAATTTCGGACAAAACGGTATCAGCTATTTGGAGTAAGTTTTTACAGGGTATGCGCTATTTCCTGGTTCTGTCGTTGAAGAGCAACTTCTCTTGATATTCCACATGCTCGGCACTCCATCATCATCTAGTCATCCTCAGATATGTAACTCAACCACATTTCGCTTGTGTAGATTTCCCCATTATCGTCCCAACAATCTGCAGATTACATGTCCTAGAATTGATCAGCATGCGAATGATCTCTTGCATCGTTTGCTCCAGGTACAGTGTGCATTCTCAAATCATAGCATGATATAAAAGGCCTGCTTTTTTTTTTTAATTTTTAATATATATGAAATTTTTGTCTTCCCGGTTTAAAAATAGTTTGGATATTTCAGTATGAAGGTCGGAAACGGTTGTCAGCAGCGGATGCATTACAACATTCATTCTTACAGTGTTTACCAAGGGCAATTTTTGAACTCTCTGATTGCGAATCTGTTATGTCAGTTCCTGGAGTCCGACTGGTCAAGGATTCTGCAATGTCAGATCGTACGAGTTATCGGAATACTCGCTCAAGTCGACGCAAGAGCTTACTTCTTTAAGTATATCATATGATTGATTCATTGTAGTATGCTTTGAATGCACGATTTCTGCTTAAATGCGAGGTTTTGAATTGGTTCATATTCTTAGGTTTCATGGATATATGATATAATTGAATTACTGATTTTGGTTTATACATTTTATAAAAACTGGAGAAAATATAAGTCTGGAATTTAACTTTGATGCCTAATACCTTCATGTTCGTGGATATTTTCATCTATATCTACTCTTATATCTACTTCATTTGTTTAACTCCTGTCATTTGATTCAAAGTCTTTTAAATCCCCAAGGAAGGACATATATTGATCTGTTTCGTAACAACTTTGAGCTGATATTATGGCTTTCGGTTTCTCTTTCGAACCTATTTTTGCGCTTCACTTTGTTGATTTCTCTTGAACCTTTTTCTCGCGCTTCACTTTATTCTGAATTGTTTGTTGTTTTGTTTGACCAAACGTTTTTTGAAATCATTGTACTTCCTTCCAACTTCTGTCCGTTTATTATCATCCTTTCACTTCAAACACTTCCCTTTGCACTTTGGTCACTTCATACCTATGGTAATAATGTGTTTTCCATTGCGATTTCTCTTATGTATTTGCTTCTCATGTTTGTTTGTTCTCATGTGGCTTCGAAAAACGTAGTACTGGATTTTTTTTTTGCAGTTTTGTTGTTTTATATATCTTTATTTTGTATGAATTTATGTATTTAAGTTATAAAACCTCGTCTTATGAGCTGTTTTAATAGAATACTTGGTATTTTTCCACAAGTTACTCAAAAACTCCATTGAAGCTTTTCCTTTATCATTCATCTGGGAAAGAAGATATGCGGTGATGCTGGATGTGAGATTGGCAATCACGTTCCCGAAATTAGCATGCATGCTTAGGATTGATGTATTGAAACGATCGCCGCTTTTTAGAGATTGATAGTAAATTCAACATATGTTAGTGAGGGAATGGCTGATACTCATACTTCTATTCAGTTTTAAAAGGATAACGCTATCACTTATTCAGGAAGTGTGTTGTTGGGTTTGTCTCGTTTTATTGTTATGTGGTACTGTCTGTTATGTATTACCTTTTTCAGAGTATATTAATTATATATAATGATCCGCGTACAAGCATCACCACATCCAGGAGGACATTTTTCATGGATTTATCATAATCCATTTTACTGGTAATTGCGCTTAAATTTCAACATTTTCTAACTAGCGACAAGGGACACAATTTTACTGATGAGAAGTAAATTCAAATTATCGGGGCAATAAAATTTGTATGCCGTCCCTATGTGAATTGTCATATGTTTTGATGGAAATTTTCATATTGGTTTTTCCATTTGAATCAATATAGGACTTGTGATTGGCTCTCTATTCTGACTAATGTACTTTGGCTAGAAATCTTATTTCAAAATTCTTGTAGGAATATGTGTAAAGGTTTGGTGGTTTTCGCTGGTGGAGTTTTTCTCGTGCGGGCTGTTAGCGACGAATGGGATTCCCTGTGAAATCATTTCGTACCATAGGATTGATTCTCTTAGCGAATGCTTCAAAAATTTTATCTATTGCAGTGTGTATTTCATAAACTACCAGCTTTGGAAAATGACTTATACAGCCTATATGTTATAATTTAATAGTTGACGTATACGCTGCGCAGAAAAGTGATTAAGAATAAACAAGCTACAAATAATTAACGGCACCAAGGGAGCCTCTTACATACCCTTTCAATTTTGCACTTTCATTCCAAATACACTTCAGTGCTTGGCATAAGAATTTTTATTTATTAATCGCCATACATTTCACTGGATTATCAAATTGTTCCAATTCCGAATAAAGCGCTGTTTCAATGATGGTTTAGCCAGGAGAACCTTTGCTGTAGCCTCAAACTTGGTCTGGTTTCGTGAAATATACAGTTGTGCATCCTGACTCATCTGTTCCAACCTGAATAATACAAAGATGTGAAGACCTTGCATGATTACCTGTTTAGTGCAGTTTTTCCTACGGTGTGGTGAGACGCTAAACTCAAGCAGTACTCTTCTACCACAAATGAGGCTCCTCTTCATATATCGCTCCTTATTGTAGTTAGTTAATTGCGAACTTTTTCGGGTCGGTTTCATCCAAAGAATAGGGGTAGCTGGTGCAGGGATTAAAACGTATATAAGATCCCTTCGACAAAGTATCACGCATGCATAGGTCGACAAGTTCAGTGTCCGTCGCAGAATCAATAATCCGCAGGATTTTTTCTTGAAGACGTGTAGACAGCCTCAAACAAAAATCATTAAAGCAAGCATCCTCAACAGAATTCGCTCTAACACACACACAACGCTAGACGATGATATTATGAGTATTGCGCCAATATTGTAATACAAACGACATATTTTTTTGTACAGGTGGGACATCATGTAATTATCCCAATAAATTAAACGAGAGTTTATAGCGAACTTTACGCCATTCAGCTCGACTTCTGAGACGGTTTTTCCATTACCGACAGAAACAACGCATTGTATTCGTTCACGTGGCCAAAGCATGCGTGCCTCATGAACCGCTAAAGCTGTAGGATTATTAGTAAGTACACCGCCATCTTGATACAATAGTGGCCCGAGTGAAACCTGCAAAAAGTTGATCTGGAATCTCGCTTTTATCCGCATAGCACTACTTTTACAGCAAAGTTGGGCAAATTTCTGGCTGAAGCGCCTATCTGCCTTATCTAGATATTTATTTTGATAATATTTACAGGAAATATATCAAACACAGCAAGATTCTGCAATGAAAGCCAATATTCGAAGAAATAAAAAGGTTTATGAGGCTTGAATACAAAAAATCAGATTAACACTATCACAGTTATAAATCTCACCATGTAACAGATGGTTGAATGAAAGGTATACTCACTTCTTGAAAATAGCCTGGAGCAGCAGCAGAAGCTTGCAAAGCCTCCCAAACTTTATGATTGCACCCTCCACGGTAGTGGCTTTCACTTCCGCTGGGATGTCCGTAAGTACGAAAAATGTATGGTTGCAGAGTTGGTGTGTTCACGGTGCACGATACTATACTGAGCATGGGCGTTTCCCAGCGTCCACATATTTCTAGCAACGTGTCCTCGCCAATAACCTTTAACAAACTTCTTTTAATACACTTCTAAATACCTGAACTG